CTCTTAAAGCCCCGCGTTTGGCCCCATGATGGCAATCCCAGCAGGTTTATGGCTTGGTTTGGGAAGAACGATTTGTCGGGGTCAAACTTGCATATTTCCATTGCTGGCAGGATGTTCGTGCCAGTAGGCCCATGAGGGTGCTATTTCGGCCCATGAGGGTGCTGTTTCGCCCCCCGGGTCATTCGCGCTCAGTCTTTGGATCTAACTTCCAAGGCCTAATTTGCAGCGGCACCAGCAACTTAGGATTTGCAAAACCGGCTTCCCTTGCCAAGAATTTTCGTATGGTCAACGCACCCTGCTGCTTGGGGTTGGGGATGGTCCTCATCCTTCACCATTGTGATCCCTAAGGGAACCATGACCCAACCGACCAAAGAATCATGGGGGCTGGGGGGGAGGGAGGAGAGGGGGGAGGGAGCCCACATAAGCCCTTAAGCCCTTAATAAGGCCTTATGTAGGGCCTACTTGGGCTCCCTTTCTCCCCCCCCCATCCATGAAAGAAGCGGAGTGAGGAGACCAGCGCATGGATTGGCTGCTCCCAGGCGAGGAAGCAGAAGGTTCCCCAGTTCTCCCGGGTGTCGCAGCTCATCAACTCCATGAACTTGCGCCCTGGCTTACGATTCGGCTCGGTAGCTTCAAGGATCCGCAAGGAGGGTTTTACGAGCCATTCCCCGTTTTGGAAGCTCCAAAAAGTGGCAGTTTCAAGGGAGACCACCAGTAAATTGCAGCTTTTGAAGGCGACATCCAGTGGCTTGGTTTGGCAAGCGGAGCCTCGCGCAGCTAATAGGTAACCCCATGAGTGGTCTGGATTGGTTGACCCTTTCAGGGCTCGGTTTTCTGTAAGGCAGTCCAAAAATGGGCTCCTGGTTTCAGGTCACCTTTATTTGCTGGTCCAGATTGGCTTGGGGAGTTCTAAAAATCCAAAGCAGGGGCAAGGTGAATGCAAAGCAGGCCGGCGATATTCTCTTGGGCAACCCATACAAATCTGCAGGGAAGCATGGGGGGCCTCCCCTTGTGTAGGTATAAGGAATCCAACTGGGTTTAGTTGGTCTCAATCTGAGAAAACTTATCCATCAAAGCGACTTGTCTGCCATGCGGGACCCGCAAGCGGCTACAATTGAATGCTGTCCAAGAAATAAAGGCCTCTGAGTATGGCCGTCGGTTGCCCCGAGCCGACTGTTTGAAAGCGACCGAACCTCAGAAAAAAATGTCTTGCGAGGAAACTTCAAGGGAAGTCGAAGAAGTAGGCAACTTTCCTTTTTGAAACCAGAGATCTGATTCTCCCATTAAAAAACAAAAAAAACACCGCTCCCTTGGTTTCGAATGTGCATCCCTGAAGAGAATGGGGCTTGGATAGAGTTCGACATGGGCCATGTCTCAACACTCGGGAGCTGCAAGTGCCGCAATTGGGACTTTCCTACCAAACCATGGGCATGCTCTACCTTTGCCCTCCCGACCAGAAAGTGACTTTCAGTCTTCCCAGTTCTGCGAACCTTGAACACTGGTACTTTGTTGCGCCGGATGCCGATTTCCTTCTTTGGTTCACCCAACTCCCAGGATGCAGGCGCTTTTTTCTGCTCGCTTGCGCTCAAGGCTGTGGCGGGACTTCGAGTCTGCCCTGAGCTGCCTGCGGGCCAGGGCCTCGGGGCCCCGAAAGTCACAGGCAAAGCCAAGCCAAAACTTGTCTTCGGCTTCCCTTGACATACGAAACCCACCAACCAACCTAAGCTAGCGGACGAACTTCTTTTAGGCATTGTCAGACCCTTGGGCCCTCAAAGCCACAGGTTTCAGGTTTCCTGGAGCATGGCGTGAGGCCGCCTTGCCTGGCGAGCATAGTTTCGGCTATGGAACAGCTCAAGGACTGTGACCTTGGAGGGTGTACCACTTCCACCTCCCGAAAAATGGGGGGCGCAACTTGAAGGCTCACTCGATTTCTGCGACACATTGTTGAATCAACCCGGCCCGGAGAGCCAGGTTGCTGCTTTTTTCCCGGCACCCTACAGAAACAAGCAGCGACTGGATCCAGCTGGGTTCCGCTCGCCGCTCCCGAGGCCACCGCCGACGTGGCGGCCAGGCTGCTGGCAGACCGGCGCGTGGCCAACATCACGGCGCCGCGGCGCAGCCGTCAAGTTGGCCTGTGTGGCGTCGTAGGTCTCGGGGAAGCCCAGTTCGAGGTTCTGCAAGAGGGCAACGGAAACCACAATGACTAGTGTAACTGCACGGAATCCACCTTTGCCATCCTTTTCTCCTGCAATGGCGAAGTCTGACCTTCAGGGACAAAGAGAGTTTCGATGGCGCATTCTTTGAGAGATGCCACTTTGAACATCGAGTTGAAGCGAGTCTTCACGAGACCTTCATTTTGGAAACAAATCGAGGGGATGTCAAATTGGTCCGCGGGCCAAGTTGCAAGTTGCAATTTTTCCATTGGCAGTTGATAATCATCGCACCTTGACTCGGGGACATAGGTTTGGAGGTTTGGGGGTATTTGGTTTCAAGAGCGACTGGGCCAGGACTGTTTGCAATCAAACAATAGCAAGCGATCCCCCGAGGCTCCCTTGTTGGAGTGAGACGTTGACTGGGCTTTGCAAGGAGGTGTTAAGAATCTGGCTGTTCAAACCCAGGGATCCCATTGTGGGGTGGTCTTTTTTTTGAGTATGTAGCTTCTGGGGAACATGGCTGGCCCCCCCAAAAGTGTGGATTTAGATTTCCTGACTTGTCCCTAAAGGGATGGCACCATCGCTTGACAACCTGTGAGACAGCTTAGCCGGGCCTGAAACTTACCCTTGTGAGAGCATCTTTGGGCGGAGGGTAGGCAGGGTCCCTGAAAAGACGTCCACACTGATAGGTTTCGCCAACTCGAGGGTGCTTTGGGCTAACTCTTTCCATGGATGACATACCCACACTTTCGGGTGTTTCAGATTGGGGGTCCAAGATCCTTCCCACCTTTCAAGTTTGTGCCTTTTGGGGGTGCCTTTTCAAGGGTTCAGAACCTGTTTTGTTTGTTGATGAGCCAACTTGCAATTGTTCCCTGCATTGGATATAGGTGGCAGCATCATGTGAGTGTTGAGTTTAAGGTTGCCACTTTCTGTGAGCCCTTGGGAACCGCCCCGCAATATAAGGGTCAGACCAATTCAAGCACCGTATCTCTCGGAGCCTAGGGATACTTTGAGCTCATCGTATTCTCCAACCCCAGAGATCGCACTAAACCGCCAGTTGTGGAAAAGCATCGCTTCAGTTGTTGAGCTCTGAGGTGTTTATGGTGGATCCGTGGTTGCGAAAGGCTGTCACTGCGCCTCTGGCGAAGGCGCGCCGGCGCAGCACGCTTTTCAGGCGAAGTGTTCAAGGACATCTTCAAGGAGCCTTCGTTTTGTGGGTACTTCACATTTTTCAACACTGAGGTCTGTCGAGAATGTGCCTGACGTGCAAGCCACCAAAGGGCTGTGCCATGCTCCCAAAATATTGCGGCCACCAATTCCAGCTTTGACACGTTTACGACACGCATCCAAAGTCGGCAAGGTACTGCGACGCCAAAGTGAATTCAACAGATTTTAAACTCGACAGAGCCAACGTAAATGACACTCGAGCAAACGTTTGCACGTGCCCAAGCAAAGCAACTCAAACCGATGAGTCCGATTGACAATAGCACAGCAACGCAAGCATGCAACCTTCGAAAACACCGCGCCCGCGCACCGAAGTGACAGGCAACGTCTCAAAAGCTACGATTTACGCACAGGTGCAAGAACAACAGCACCTTGCAAGCCATACGGATCGCACATGCCAAGCGTTCCCCAACGGCACGGCCTTCGCAGCGGTCGCGAACTGTGGAAAGAGACTTCGCGAACACGATCTCCACCCCCACACCCCCACTTATAAACGTTTCGCTAGTCGGGAAAAATCCCCGCTGAGACAAACAAACACCCCCAGCGACAGGTACCACCTTTAGTAAGGACACCAATTCATTTGACTGTTTGGCTTCCCTTTAAGAGAGACCCCAAAAGTACCATCAACATATATATATATATGTATACATGTATGTGTATATATATATATATGTATATGTATATGTATATGTATATGTATGTGTATATGTACATGTGAATGTGTACGTGTATGTGTGTGTATATATATATATATATGCACACCCTTATATGCGATCGTCCCTCGTAGTGCAACAATCAATGTTCAGCATCCACTGCGGGGAGGGGGACGACTCCACGGTCACTGGCCCGACGTTTTATTTTTCCGCGAGGAGGGGGGCTACTGGTGGTTCAAGCTGTGGATTTGATTGATCTTGAAGGGAAGGCAAAAGGAGACCCAGGAATCTTTTAGGGGAGGCTGATTTGTTTTTAAGTTTTCGGCCGAAATGCTGGCAAACATTGGAAAGACCCGCTGGGTCCAGTGCCTTTGGGTGTTGCCGTTTGCGAGTTACCCTTGGTTGAAAGGGAGCCGTAAGGAAGCTAGCGTTAAATTGAGCTCCTAAAAGGGCTGAAGTTTAACCCAACACCTATAAATGTATTCATGTCTATATGCAGTCATAAGCTTAATGGTTATACATATCTGAGAGGTTTTTCATGAACCTCTTGCTCACGCGCCGATTTGCCGATTCGGAGTCGGAGCAGCTGACGATTTTCTACCTGGGCCAAGGGAAGACCGAGCTGCAGGCGGCGGATCCGACGGCGGACTTTCTCGGTTTCCGGTTCGCGTCACGTGGATAAGCCAAACCTTTCTCCAACCCCACGCTTTTCGACTTTTTCAGGGTATACTTCACGGTTGTAGACCTTTCTAAGGGAGTAGTGAAAGATGAAAGCCAGCCTTATCTTTGAGGAATCTCGGGCTCAGTGGCTTGAACTTGACTATTTGCTCACTTAGGGGAACTTGAATTGGTCCATTCAACCAGCAAGAGGTTTTATGATTGTTTTGTTTTGGCAATGGAGTGACAAAACCAGGTGCCTCTATGACCTGACTTCGCCTTTTCAGGTTAGCTGAACGTGGTTGCCAGAATCTAACAGCTACATTTTCAGTTGGGGGCAAATGCAGGTTTGGCTGGTGTTTATGTTGCACAGACAAAGGAGAACACCATTCTTAGTTGCGTTCCTCTTTCAAGAAATGCTCGTTTCGGGCGTCAGAAAATGCGGATATGCTTCAAAACTGCTCTGCGCTTTTTGTTTTTGAGAGTCAACCGGGTGTGTCTTCTTGGGTTCAAGGCGCCCATTTGGGCTTCCAAAAGAGCCACCCGCAACTTGTCTTCCGGACTTTTTTAGTTTGAGCAGACGGGATATTTTTAAGCAACGAAGTGGGAGACGTTTTGTCACCCAGAGCGACAATGGGTGCTGGGGTGGTGGGAGGCTTCATGCAGGTTCCAGGGAGGTTCCAGAACAAATCTAAGAACCAACCCTTAGAAGGTTCTAAGAGCCTCTCCCAGACTTGGCAATTTGGGGACGATGGTTTTGGGGAAGATCATTCTTGGCCTGTTTTGGTTGACCCCACGTGCGGGAAGCGAGTCAACGTTTTGCTTCGATGTTTGTTGATACACTGTGCGCCTCAACTTTGGCACCATCCCTGGCGAGTTTTCGGGTGTTCGGGTTTTCAGGATTCCAAGGGAAGGAGGCAGGACATTCTTGGTGGTTTCCACGAGGTTTCCTGGTAAGATACCGTGGCATCGTTCGATACTGCTCGAATGCATGCCGTGGGTCACCATGCTGACAGATGGGACCTGGGAGCCGATGAAACCAGCAGTTTGCGGACCGTGAAGTCTGGTGTGCCCGCGCGCGGAGCTGAGAGACTTTCGTCACAGAGCAACAGCCTGGGCTCCTTCACTGCGCCGTTCAGAATCTTGCAGCTGTTTCGCCGCGGTTCCATCGCGGTTCCGGCCGGACCACAGTACTCGACACTGTGGAGATGTCATTCAGACGCGAAATCAAGTGGAGGCGAACGTGTGCAGCTCAAGACTAGTTGCAGGACCCTGTCTGAAGCAGCCCCTGACTGCCGGGCACAAAGGATGCCTGAGCACAGCGGCGCTTTCCTGAAGTTGGATGCAGAATCCACTTGATGCTTCAATATCATGGTTGTGTGGGGTTTGAATGAATGGCTATGCTGAAAAGTCTTGCTTGTGTCCAATTCTGCTACCGTCTTGTCCGGCAAAGAGTCTATGAACTACGTTTGACTGGACACACACACACAATACTCCATCAAGCACGCCGCATCAAATCAGATTGTGCGTTGGCTGAACTTTGCATCCTTGTTTTCGACTCACTGCCTTGGCCAGCCGGGGTTTGCACCTCTTCTGGCAACAATTTTTGTCGGTACTCACAAGGGCGCCCTAGCCGTCCTTGTGAGTCCCTCTCAAGCAATGTCACGCGCCTTTTGGGGGGGGGGGGGTACGGGAAACCCAAAGAACGCCTATGGGGTGTGGTTCCTTTCTTCGGAGTTGGTATGTTTGGGGTTGTTTTCAAGGGAAAGCTGAAGCAAACGTTACCCTTTTGGGGGCTCCCTATTTCAAGACACAATGGCTCCTACGACCTTGTTTCCTCTGGCAGAAGATTCAAACGAGGCTTGACATCATGGTTATGAAAAGAGCGGTTGTGGGTTTGACATGGATTCAGGGGGTACCACGCCGCACGCTTTCGAGAAAAGAGCGCTGCAGCGCCTTTCACGTGGCTTCCTGGCTTGTTGCGCTGCCCAGGGATGAGATAACACAAGATCACAATGGGCTTTCCGTGGTCACCTTGTTTGTACGATACTTGGAGTCTTTGGATGGTTCTGTTGATAGGCCAGTCGACCAGATTGGCACGGATGTTGGCGCGAGTGTCTCAAAACATCCTCTGTCTTGGTGATGATCCCGCGGGGACGCTGAAGCCAAAGCAGTTCGTTTGATGCAGAGGGCCATCCAAAAATGGCGGAACTGCGACAGCCGGGAGACGTATGTCAGCGGTGTGGAGCAGGAACTTGCAGAGTCGGAAGACCCTACTACGCTTCGGAGGATTCTCCGCCGCGCCGTGGCTGCCTTGTCACCGCCGCGATGCAAAGGCAATAGTTTGCTCGCTTGCAGCTCGCAGAGCCAGCTGCCATCCAAAGTTCTGCAGGCTCGGCTGCGGTCACTGGTGCTTGCATGCCTGGACGGCTTGGATTTGACGGATTCGTCATTGGCACCTGCGTTGCTGTGCTTGCAGGCTCATGTGCAGAAGTTTCAGGAGCTTCTCGTCAGTGAGAGCTCAGTGGCCAGCCAGAAGCAGTGGCTTCGAATACAGGCAAAGTGTGCTGTCATCTCAGCTGAGGCATTGCCAGGCCCACCTGCTTGTTCTACAAGCTTATGCGTGGATGACAACGAGATGAAGCGCAAACGGCCAGCATGCAAGTTGGCTTCAGACAATCAGCGGGACACACATTCTAGAACACGGCACAATTGTTCGAATGGCAAAGTGAAATGGGACTGCAAGCACTGTGCTGGATGTCCGCACGGCAGCATTCAGCGGAAATGCACGAAGTGCAAAGGGTGCAAACACGGCAGGCTTAAGGCGAAATGCGCGAAATGCAATGGGTGCCCCCACGGCAGGCTAAAGAAACGGATGCCGACTGTGCTGTCCATGTCCGCACGGCAAGCTGGAGCGACACTGCGCGCAATGCCACCCGTGCCCCCACGGCCACCTGTCTGCTGATTGCCGACGGTGCAGTGGGTGCCAACATGGGCGCCTCAAACGCAGATGCCGAGAGTGCAAATCCATTTTTTTGGACAGCTGACTCCGCTTTCGTCGGAAAATGAGATATCCGGTGTATCATTCCCAAGGGCTCTAATCGAGGAGACACATGGGTCTGTCTTCTTTTTGGGGAACCTGTATTTGGCTGGTTTTGAATGGACATCAAAAGGAAAGCCACCATTCTGGGGGTTCCCCTAATAAAAGACACACACACACACACACATGGGGCATTTGCATCTCTGACCACGTGACAGCCGGGGGTTGAGGTGCTGCTGCGGCTCGAGGAGAGCAAGGCCGGGCACGAGAGAACTCGCCGATTCGGGGGTTTGGCTCCAGCTTGATGGACAAATCCTTCCATGTGAGAGAGATTGCCGCAACTCATCTCCGACAAAATCGATGCCAGCGCGGCAAAGCAGCCTTTTGCGTTGATAGCTTAGCATAGCTTGGCAAGGTATGCAAAGCCATTGGGTGCCAAAGTGGTCTGCGCTCGGAAGCCTGGGCGGCTTAGGCACTATAATGGTTGCGGCTGTTGGGGGAGTCACAAGCCGCGGTTGAGGAGGTTGTTCCGTTAGAAAGATGCCGCATTTCCTATTTCTGCCACGTGGCTGCTCGCTCTATTTCCGGGGTCTTTGCAAAGCCACGGCTCCTCAGCTCTGCAGAGGTTTCTCGCTTGGTTTGCCTCGCAAAACAGGTTCGCTTGAATACATGGTAAGCCATCCCCAGACGTACTTTGGAGAACGGCTCAACATGTTCACTTAGAGAGACCCACACTTTGGGGCCGTCGAATCTGGCGTTTTTGTCGGCATCCTTTCTCGTTGCAAAACAGATGCATCCAAAAGGAGTGCTTGCGTGTGCACTCCCAACGAGCTCAAAACCGCGCTGCAAAGACGGACCTTTCCCCCGCGGTTCCTCACCCGTTCGCCTCGATGTCTCGGGAACTCTCCAGGTTGCACCCGAGCTTTTGGCCGAGGCTTCTAGGGACCCTTTGGCGGGTTGCTTAAACCGAGAGTTATAAATAAATATATATATATATATATTAAAATATATATTAATATATATATATATATATATATATATATATTATTTTGCCTTGATGAACCGAGAGCTTTCCCTCGATGAACCGATGGACGGGCTTGCCCATCTCCGATTCCTCCAGCTCTTCCGCTTCCGCAGGTTTGCCCGCCGCTCTTCACCGACCTGCAGGCTGGGGCTGGTGGGGGCCGCTCAAGGCGCGGCGTTTTTAGTCCACAAGGCCAGGGGGAGTGTCCCTCATGTGGAGAATGAACAAATACAGGGGCTGTGTCGCAACATCAGTTGGACAGCAAAATCAGCATAGCGGGTTCCTTTACACCACTTTGCCGCGGGTGGATAGGGAGCCAAGGGGGGAGCTATGTCGCACAGCTTGCGGCTTTTTGCCGACCATCGCAATGGAGCCCCGCGTTTTCCAGTCGGTGGTTCGGTCCTTGCTTCACATTTTATGACCAGGGCTCACAGCACGATGTTGCCGTAGACATCGCCAGTGCCACAAGCTGAAGCCACCCGGGTCACCCGTTGCCGGCATCGGGTCTCCGTGGGAGTTACTTCCGACAAAGCGAGCGCAGCCGCAGTAGGCGCACCTGTTTCTATCTGTTCTGTACCAATGATCTTTCTGGTGGCTCATTTTTATTTTTATTTTTTAAATAATAGGGGCGAGGTGTTAGTCTTGTTTCCATATGCCAAGGTGCTGTTTTGGGTAGCTCCTAAAACAGAGCCACAGCCAGCTGGTTGAGGTTTCAAACAGGGGACATCTGCGAAAGCCGGAGAGGCCATGGTAGCTTCTTGGTCCCTTTTGCCTTCGCGTGAAGGGCAAGCCTTTGTTTTGGTACCCTTTTCGGGGTTGAAGGGGAGTCAACCCGGCCCATCTGGAGACATGGGTTAGTCGCAAAATAGGATTTGGACCAGGCGGGTTGGTTTCCTGGTTCTCCTCCAAACCAACCGCAAGGGAGCCCAACCTCGAAGAAAGAAGCCCACACTTCACGTGGGCAACTGACAATATTATTGGTCTACTGCTGATTATAGAGAAGACATGCGGGTTGCGTGTACCCCAATTCCCTACAACATACCCAATCCTGCCATGTTTATTGGGGAAACAATGTCAAGTGGCTGATATGGTTCAGTAGGAAGTAGTCATTGTATATGTTCCTATTCAGGGAGCCAGATTCGGAGTTTCACAGCACATGGGGAAGTTGGGTGAAGCCCAACTTGTCCACACAATGCCTGCGGAGAACCCCAATTTCTCCCTAAGTCTCCTTGTGCAAACAAGTGGGTATGGCTCAAAATTAAAGAGCTAGGGCTACGCAGGTTTTAGTCTTTGGTTCCATGTACCAAGGTGCCATTCTTGTACCACTTTTTTGAGCCACAGCCAAGTATCTGATTCTGTTTGGGGGTCAAACGGTTGGACGATGGGTGAGTCGGTAGGCGCTGCCCTTCCGATCGCGGACCGGCGCGGCGCTGCCAGTGGGGGTCCAAAGAGTGACGCATCTGGACCCTTCCTGCGAATCGTTTTTGCTTTGAGGTCTTTAGTGTTGCTGTTTGGGGTTTCCTTTTTCTTTCCCGTGGTTTGCTTTGCAGCTTCCTTTAAGTTTCCTTTCAGTTTGAGTTTAAGTTTCCTTTGGGTTTCCTTTCAGTGTCCTTTCGGTTTCCTTTCCGTATCCTTTCAGTTTCCGTTCAGTTTCCTTTCAGTTTTCCTTCAGTTTGATTTTCAGCTTGTTTTTCATTTTACGTTCAGTTTGATTTTGAGAGTTGCCTTTCAGTTTCCTTTCAGTTTGACCTGCAGTTTCCTGTCAGTTTAATTTCAGTTTCCTTTCAGTTTGTTTTTGCCAAAGCTACGCAGTTGCTGAGAAACAACACAGCGAGCATTCTGCGGAGGAGTGGCAAGTATGTCTCAACTTGAAACTTTCTTGTCAGTTTGAGTTGCATGGGCATGATCGGACTTGTATCTCACCCATGGCCATTTTGGGGCAAGTGTGCTGACTGGGCCTCATCGAAGTGCCCTCATGTCGGCGTGCTGAAATCATGAGCCGAAGTGTGCTGCCGACTGACCATGAGCTTGCAAGTCTTGACTCGGTTGATGCCATCCGAGACTGGGCTGGCATGACACCAGATGTATGGACGCTTTTTTCGCAGGCACAACATTTCATCAGTTCGAATTTTGGCGTGCACTCCCAAAGAGACTCTGCAGGCCGTGTTGTCAGGCTTGCGCATCCTGGGAGCTGCAAGTGGCGCAGTCAAGGGAGCTGAGTGCAGTTGAGGCGATCAGAATTGCTTGAATGTGGAGAGTAGCCAGGCAAGCCTACAACCTGGATGAAACTCAAACAGCCCCTGCAAGTACTCCTTCGGTTCCGGTGGCTGCAGCCGCCCTGCCGCCTGCAGCAGTGAAGAAAGTCAAGATGTCTCAAGCGGACCAGCAGCTAGATGAGACTGAAGTGGAAATGCTGTCACGGGGTGAGATCGATGAGGCATACAGGGCGCACCGATCGCTTGCAGGAGCTGACCCCAGACCAGAGAGTGAGGTAACTCCAGAGCAGATATCACGGTCCTGCGAAATACGATTGTTGTCCGGTCTGATCCCCCGTATGCTGACTTCAGCGTTTTGATGCCCTACGGGTGGAGGCTGCAGAAGCATGAGGACAAGAAGCTCCAGACAGATCATGGAAAAGCACAGAAGTTCCTGGTCCCCCGACCTTCAACGCCTGGGATGCCTGCTGGAAAGTGTACAAAACAACGTTGTACATGCCACAGCGTAATCCGGATCCGAATAGTACGAAATGGCCAGTGGTGACAACGGCGGTAATGGAGGAGTATTTCGACAAGATTGCGGAACTCAACGAGGAGTACCCAGAGTGCTGGCATTTGCTAGTCCAAGCAGAAGACAGATGCCGGGGAGAGCATCTTGAGAGGATCAAGAGAAGGCTCACACAGGCCCGCCTTGAGGGAAGGCTGCCAATGGGGTTGGAATTTGAACCATTCCAACCTTGGGCTGACGTCTTCACGTACGCAGCTCGCAAAGCACATGACCCGCCCAGCTCAGACTTCCTTTTGCGAGGAGGTGCAGGCAGAGTGATGCCCAAGGAGGTGGCGGAGGATGTGAACGTCTCCGACAGTGAAGAAGCGAGCCTGTGGAGAAGGGCTTTCAAAGCAGGCAAGAAAGCGGAGGAAGGGCAGTGAGAACGCTGAGGCAGCTGGCCATGCAGACGCTGGCTGGAGCATCGCCTGGCAAGATGCGAGTCGCAGAAGCGCTGGCGTCAGCAAAGGAAGGGGCAAAGGCGCTGGAGGGGCAGCGCATCCAAAGAAGGTGAGTGGCGTGGGAAGGCAATCAGATCTGCTTCAAGTATGCCAAAGGCCAACCCGGATCCTGCGAAGAGCCATGCTGTGATGGTCGTTCTCATGTAGCAAAGGGAAGTGAGATGAGCAGCGGGTTGTTCAGTTCCCCTTCAGATTTTCTCCGTTTCATTTCGGTTGAATCTTCAGTTGGCTTTCATGTTCCTTTCAGTTCTTTGTGGTTTGCTTTTGGTTTCCATTCGTTTCCATTCGTTCCCAGTCGGTTTTCTTTAATATTCCTATTGTTTTGTTAGTTGTCTTTTAGGTTCTTTTTTTTTCTCTCTTTTCTGGTTTCTCCTGGGTTCCTATTCTTATGATCATTCTACAAACTTTTGGGGTTACTTTTTGGGCGCTGCTTTTGCTATTGGTTTCCCTTTGGTTCAAGATGCAGGCTTCCGTTGTTTTCCGCAAGGTGAGAGTTGTTGTACCGCAAGGTGAGAGTTCTGTTACCTGGGAGTTGCGTGTTGAGAATTGCGTTTAAGTCTACCTTGAGTCACAAACTGGAACGCCACCCGGATGACTTTGCCGAACCATTGGACGTCTGGCAACGGTCGCTGCGCTGTCCATATGGCAACCGTAAGTTTGGGAAGTAATCACACGCCATGTTTCCCGAACCTCCAATGTGCACTTTTGTTGGAAAGAGGATAGATTCGAACCCGGGAACACCCAGGCGTATTTTGGTCCTGGTTGGGCTGAAAAAACGCGAGCGTTCACACGTTTCGAAGCCGGCTGAGCTGAGGTGCTGACGCCCAACCGCTCCAGGGTTTGGGCGGGTGCCTCAGACGGGTTGCAGACTTGGCGAGTTGGAAACTTGGTTAAACAATCAGAACCCGGTATTAACCAAATGGTTCAATGGGTGAAGTCCGGTTTCAGCGTTCAACCGCCCAACCTTGGGGCGCAACCCTAGGGGCAACGCTCGGCGTGAGTTGTGGGCGAAGTTTGTGGTTTGAACCAGACCAAAACTCATGCAGCCACATGCCTAAAATAACCCAAAAGACACCGCTGAACCAGCAGCACACACAACACAAATCAGCCCCAAGACCCTCCCTCATGAAGATCCAAGCCAGCCTAACCCCCTCCTAGCAAACCAGCCAGCAACTCCCAACTGCCTTCCAATCAGAGTCAATAGGCAAGCCAGTGATGCTGGGGATGTTGCCAGCCCTGCCGAAAACCAGGCCAAAAAGCCAACACCTCTACCCCTCAGGCGCACGGCCAGAATAGCCTTTGCAGTGCATGGGTGTGAATCTTGAATGGGTGGTTTTGAAGGCTGCCCTAAGCAGTTTGCCCTGGAACAAAAATTACGTGCCATATGGGTATGAATCTGAAGTTTGTTGGATGTCCACTTGGATCTCAGGCACATTACCTCCATCAAAGTTCATAGCAAACACTGTAATATAGCTGGATGAATACACACATACTTTTGCAACTACATGAATAAGTCGATGAAACAACTAGACACAGAAATACAGACAAACGCATTAATAACCAAATCCTTTGGGGCCCACGGTGTATACCCTTTGTGGATCTTCGTCATAGTTGAACACAGGCTGCACTTTTGTGGGACTGCTATTGGCTCTGTGTAAAAATATTCAACAGACTTTCACCATCTGAACCAGATCCGATCCAAGATGGATATTCATTTAGGGTTGCTTCAAGGATACTCTGCTTGACATGGAAGCCAGAAAATATATCCATTTAATACAACCTGGGGCAAGGGTGTTCTTGTTGTTGTTCCATGTGACTTTGCACAGATGTTGGCTATCTTCAATATTTACTAGCTGATCTGGGAAAGGATGCTTTGGCGAAACCGATTTGGCGATTTTGGTTGATTGTATCGATGAACTGTTGATTGGGATGTTTCAGGTTCGTGTGATGCTGGGATCCCATAAGGAAATGTCGCTCGCGTGGCTTCAATGCAGTTGGACAGATGGTTTTGTGGGTTTCAACGCGAATCCTGCCTAGCGCCTGATTCAGCAAGTGGGAAGATCAAAGCCACGCCATGCCAGGCTGCCTGGCTTTGGGGGCGCCATTGGCTCTCTTGGCAAAGGTCGACCAATAATATGACACAGCAATCTGTTGCCAAAGGCCACATTGATCGCAATTGGTTTCCAACTTTTCGTTCCCTTTGTATAAATAAAGTCCATCCAACCTACCCCTGCCAAAACACATTTGCTATTTGCACTGATAGCGAGCTCTCAGAAGGGCACAAATGATTCTGCTGAGGCCTGTCTTGGCGGCGAGTCCTTGTTTCAGGTTGATTTATCCTACGCAGGTAGTGGGCACCTGGTTTCGGATGTCAGTTTTTGGATGAGGCGGTGCTGCAAGTGACCCTGGAGGACGGATTTCCGGGAGCGGGAGCAAGGGATCCAGTGTTCTCAAGGGTTGCGTGCGCCACCCTCGGAGACCAGGTTCCTCGAATCCCGAAAGATGTCTGGCATGAAGGACGTCCGCACCTTGCGGAACTTTGTCACGAGGTTCCCAAGATGGGAGATGAATTTTAAACACATCTTGGACATTTACAAAACTCCCTATGGCTTCTCGCCCCCAAGCCTTGCAGTCAACATTGGGGCACCCAGACCCCTTGGGCTCTGAGCAATCCCCACGGAAGTTGGCGGGGTGGGATCCATCATTTCGGGCAAAATGTCCGGCCCCCTAAATATGATTCCGGTTGCCTCTTTGTATGCCATACTTGTGCAAAACAAAGGCGTTGCAAAAGCACTACCCTGGCGGGAGGGTCTGAGTAGAGGAGATATCCTGTTTTGGGCGGTTGGTAGATGATGATTTTAGTGTGGGAAGGGAAACTCAAATGAGGTCTCTGAGAAGGCCCCCTTTCCGGGAATGTGCAGAGATTGTCCCCAGTCCGCCGTCCCAAGCTGATCCGGGTGCAGAACTGTTGAGAACTCTTTGCTCTATGCATCCCTCTGCTCCAGAGGACTCCTTGCGAACCGCTGAGGCGGGGGAAAGATGGGGCGGGGGGGGGGGGGGAGAGCGAGAGATAGGGGGCGGGGGCGAGAACCGAAATTTGTTGCACTTCTGCGATACCACGGTTCCACCCCAGCAAGCGAAGAAGTCGTTGTTGCCAGGCCCTCCAATTGGCTTCGAGGGGACATCCCCGTCTCGTGAAGTTTGCTTCCGGCGAGCTGCTTCTTTGCTGCTGGGATTTAGGGGTCTGCTTTTGAACCCCTCAAAAAGAATGTACTCCCACTACCATGGCCCCTGACAGAGGGTCCTGACAAGAGGAACATGATCATCCAGGTACCCTGCCACAGGTGCTATGTTAGCGGAAGGGAGGGTGCTTGGTAGACGACCCAGGCTTTTCCCGGCAGGCGACCCCGGTTCCTAGGGTGCTGCAGGATGCTGGCGTGTCGCAGGACGGGACAGAGAGTGCCTATGGGTATGTCTTTTTTTTTCTTCGTTAATCCCTCTTTTTGGAGTTTTTAAGGGAAAGCCACCAGTTTGGGGCTTCCCCTATTTTGAGACACGCCCAATGATTTGACCATCCTCCAAAGGCCCGGAATCCCCGAAAACCGCATCTGTTCAACAGAGTCTTGGCAATTCTGGCACGTGCGCGCACATTTGCTTCATCCAATTGCACAGATTTGCGGAAGTTGCTCAATTCTACTTGTCAGTGAACATCATATCAAGGTTTTTAACTTCTGTTCCCAGCATATTCACAATGTTAGATGCAGTTGAGACAGCGTTTCATTTCTGAAGGAAATGCTGCGATTTGTTTCTATTGCGAAGGTTAGTTGAAGACGTGTTTGTAAACATATGGTTTGAGTCGAATCCCACACCACTGGAATGAAGCTTCATTTTCAGTTTTCTCATGAGTGTGTATTATTTTGCTATACATTCTCCAAAGAAACAATGCATGAAAAAGGGAACGTTTCCATTCGGTTTCTTCTCTTATCCATTGTTCCATTGTTTGAGCACGAATACAAACGACACATTCCAAGGGAACGCATCGAATCCGTTTCCAAGAGGCAATGGGTTCATATATGGCTCATACACTCAGCCTTCGAATCCGTTTCCAACATCAATGTGGGATCTGCTCTAAGCTTCTAGTTGCTGCAGGTAGGATTTTGCAGCTTTATCCTACGGCCCTTTCTTGTAACCCTTTTTTAGCGTTGCTTGGTGGTTGGTTGGCCGACCGCCCGGTCAGTCGGTCGTTTTGTCGTTTTGTTGTTTGGCGGCTTTCATTCCAATTTCCATCCAAATCACTTTTTTTGGTTTCCACGCGGTTCATGGCTTTTGGTCAGGGGAATTGTCCGGTACACCCCACGCGGTATTTCAGGTATCTAGGAGTTTGATTTGATCCATTTGAGGGGGGACGACGGCAAGCAGCCAGTTGAGTAAACAAATCGTGGGTTTTCTGCGCGCACTCATATGGAACTCCAGTTGATTCCTCCTTTTGGTTCCTTGGTGTTCTGGTTTCCCCTTTTAGCCAGCCAAAAGGCCCCGCAAAAACGGGTTCCCCTTTTCTACCAGGGGTTGTTGGGAAGCGCAACTAGGACTTCCTTTACATTTCTGTGATGCCAAGGGATTCTGCGCCAAGGGAAGTGGGAAAAGGGAATTCCACCACTTTGGTATCCGGAAGCAGCATTTCCACATTTCCCCCCCTTCTCAGTTTTTTACCCCCCAGATCAAAGGGGCATGTTTCCTCAGGGGACCTCAAGAGGTTTTCCAGAGGTGAAACCGGCAGACCCTTTTGGCGACGTCAGGACCCCTATGCTGCCAGCCAGTGCTTCACCGATTCCCACGTGAGCTATCTGCGCACCCGGCGCCGTTTCCTTTTTTTTGTTGTTGCAGGGCTGAACGTATGTATTCGTTGCCGTTTAGCCTCGTGTCAAGAATCGATGAGTAGTTGTTGAAGAACCCAGCCTGGGTTCGCAACATATTTTCATGAGTGGACGCACAGGCAGCCTTTGATTTGGTTTCTCCTGGTCGCAGATGTGGGCGTGGGTCCCAGTTCTGGGCACCAAAAGACTGCCCAGAGCGAGTCAACCTTTTTACCTTTTTGTTTGTCTTGCGACACATGGGATGGTTTGAGTTGGTGGCTTGGGCTGGCCCAGGACACTCGCCCTGTGAACCAGCAAAAAACCCACTGGCCTTGAATAGCTATGTGGCCGAAAAGAAAGTTCGTGCGAGTTTCCCAGAAACATGTGCTCTTCCATTCTTCGCGGAGTTTCCAACGCGCCATGGCATGTTTCCTATCTCCTGGAGAACTTTCCTGGGTGGAGTTTGGGCCTTTGGTTGGCCCCGAAGGAAGCACCAGGGGGCGGAGAATGTTTCTTTTTCCACTCGATTTGGCAGTGTGAAAGGACTCACTCGAACATCCAGTTTACGATTATCGGTTTGCTGATTTTGCATTGCCTTGCCCCAGTTGAACCGCAGGTACATGAAGGCTAGTCAGGGACAGTCCCAGAATTCTTTACAGCCGCAATGAAAACGCAGATGAAGGTTTAGTGACTCATTTGCCGAAAGGCAACAGAGGGGATGGCTTCCACCTGTATGAAGTCAACCAACCCCGCTTGCGTGCTTTGGTTTCGTTCAGGTGGCCTCACTTTGAACCCCCCAGAAGTGGGACAGTTTCAACCAGATTTCACTGATGGTTGTCCTTCGGCTTGCTGGGGTGAAGTGAAGATTTGTGAGATGACAAAGGATCCCGCACATCAAACTGGTATGGGCCAACATTACACCAGGGGACCGCAGGTTTGCCTGGGTCCGACTTCGGGGATTCTTGACCCACAACTGCGTCTGGCCCCGGAGCTCGAAGTAGCCGAAGCGCGAGCATCCAACAGCGAGCCTGGGAGACGTTCTCCCGACTGGCCGGATGCAAGCACAAGACCCGCGGATGCGGATCGCTCTCTGACATGGGGGCAGTACCCCCGAACCAAAGCAACAAGAGATTTCAACAGGTCCGTCTCATTTTCGCCAGCCCCCAGCTTAAGTTTGCGACTATCACTTTGGACCCTGTCAAAGGTCTTCGATTTGCCTCTTGACTTGGGGGCTTGAAAGGAACGGGGCGCCGGAGACGATTTCGCATGACATGGCAGTTTTTGCAAATGGACGTGCTTCTGGTCTCTCACCAAGATCGTGAGGAACCCTTCTAGCAAGGGATCCCAATGGATCTTCGAAAGGGACTCCACGGGCCTGTCTTTGTTTGGACCTCCAATGGACAGTGTCTTGGGGACGATTTCTCCAACAAATCCCCTTTTCTACGCAGGAGAAGCCCAACCGAATTCCGCCTGCCTTTTGTTTCATCTGGGACCGGCCAGGCAGCTTTTATGCAGCTTCATGGGTGGCGTGCCGGCCCAAAGCAATTAGCATTGCTTGATGCGATCGATGCGAAATGCACTGAGCCCTCTTCCGGGGACGATGCGTTGATAACACTTCCGTGTTTTGCATTTGGTTTTGGATCCAATGCGGTGTTTATGGGCAGATGGTGTTGGTTTGCAATGGGCCCTAGGATGAGGGCTCCTTTGACAGGCAGCTCTTGTTTTGGGATGGATAATTATAGTGCTCAACCCTGGCTTTTGCATTTTGCCTTTGCAGTGGTTGACATCACCGTTTGAACCTTCTCGAGGGCACGTTGCTTGATGGTTCTTGCGCGGATCCAAGTGCAGGTTAGACACCATCTTGGTCATTCCGCGGTGTTGGGAGCGCTGGTTGCCTTGTCCATCGCCTTGCCTTGAGAGGAGCAGTCTCCTTGTCTTGGGCAAGCTTCTTTTGGGTATCCGACGGCACCACTGCCGGTTTTTACGCGCCTTTGCCCTCCATTGGCGTCCTATTCTTCAACCAATGGCGTAAGGCCACTTTCCCACCGCCTTCTTTCCAGGGAAGGGCCGTTTGTCTCAGGGTACCTTCCATTTCCATTCTTTCCAGGGATCCTTCCTTTCAGGAAACCATCGAGAACCCGGGGGAGAGAAAAGAACGAGGGTTGTAATGGGGAATCAACCCCTAGAATTTGCTGAACTCCGCCTAGCTCCGCCACGGACACCCGGAGCGCCTGTTGATCCAGGGGTTCCCCTTCGCGAAGCTGAGGTGCTGCTCCACGTAGAGAGGCTGGAGCAAAGAGCCAAGGTGGCGTGGGCCCCAAGGGCCGTTCGTTTTGGTTCGGAAGGGGCTCATAACGGGGAATCAGGGAAGCCATGGTGTGGTTTGGGTTGGATTGAGGGATTTGAAGCCGGTGCTTGTGAAGGGCAGGGAGGCTGGGCTGACCAAAATTTGGGGGAAGCTGAGGGAAGGCCTCTGAAGCTTCGGCTGCCTGTTGGTTTTCCCTTCAGAACAAAGCTAAAGAACCCGTTTGGGGTGGAGATGGATGCCGTGTTTACTTCTGCTCTCGTGATTCTCCCCTTGGGCCGTTTGCGTCAACACCCCAGGTTTTTTGGCGGTTTCGGCTTTCGATGTTCCCATTGAAACCACACAAAACGTGCATCAACTCGAACAGGGTCCTTTTTGGGTAATCCCTCTTTTGCATCACTTTTCGGGGAGCGCCCCCTTCTTCTTTCAAAAGGGACTTGAGCAAACATGTACCAACTTTTAATTGGATATTCCTTTGTCGTGCCTCAACAAAAGATCCAAGCAATAAGGGGGGAGAGGGAAGGCACGTCATCTCCCTTTGCTCTCAGGTCAAAGTTTGGGTGGACAAATGTATGAAACACAAAGACGAAGGTGTGAGCCCCTGCTTTGTGGGTTAAACATGAGCTATGTGATGGGCCGTCTTCCTGGGTCCTTTCCCAGAAGTGATGAATCAGGTTTTTTGAGCCCTACAGTCGACCGCGCCGGCTTTTCGAGCTCTTTCAAGATGCAGCGGCAACGATAAAAAACACCGATTCGGGATGGTTTCCCAAAAAAAGGAGGATTGATCGGATCTCGTTGAGGCAACTCCTCAAAAAGAATCCCCCATGGCCACGGAGAAAGCAAAGAAGCAACAAGCACAAGAAAACATAAAATAACAATCCCGTTGGACAAAGAATCCCCCATGGACAAACAAAAAGCAAACAAAAAGCCAACAAAAACAAAACCATAAAATAACAGCCTGCGGGTATCCCTAGGATGCCGTTCCTGCCACTTCGAACCTGGGGATATTTTTCGCATCGAGATGGTCACTAGTGACCTTTTCAAGTTAGGAAGAGGATACCAACCGTGGGAAGGGGGTCCGATGCTGCTAGCAGGTCCCAAAAACGCCACGAAGAACCTTGTCAGGTAGATCTGGATTGGATGGTTTGTTTTTTCTTCGGGGGTCTGATTCTCATTTGGACCGACCAGCAGTTCCTACATGCCACTAGCTCTTCATTGGCTTGGTTTGAGTTCATTTTTCAGAGGCAGCCGAGCCTTGAACAGATTGCTTCTTTCTGCTGTAGACTCCCTGTACTTCCCCTTGAAGGGCAGTGTCAGTGTCACCGTTTTGGCCCCTGCCCTTCCTTGGTAGCGGTGATGTTTCCGCGAAACCAAGACCTTACCCGTTTTGGAGGAATGGGTTGGCATTTCTGCGCATGACGACTTCTTCCCCCACACCCCGTTTTGTGACCAAGCCTGTTACAGATCCACTTCCGGGTAGTTTGCGAAGGGAGACGTCAGACTTACGCTTCACTGGGGGCTGGGTGGAGTGGGACAACGCCCCTTTGAACATCAGACCCGCAGCTACGGGGACAGGAGGTGTTCTTCGAGAAATCAACCACTTGAGGTCCAAAAGCCCACCTTCCATTTAGGCGGGCCTCAAGGCCAGGCGTGGTTTGTGGCGGGGAACGAGCTTTCTGCAGGCTTTGGCTACATATTTCTTTGATGCCAGAACTGGCTTATGACTCATGTCCTGAACGATGTTGGCAGTTGCTGGTTTTTAATTCGGGACCCTCATTGCACTGCCCTCACTCCAAATACCCGGCTTTTTGTTGTCAATGATTCAAAGTCTAGGTCTGCCTGCGCAAACACTCGTTGTGTGGTCAAGTCTAGGTCTGCCTCCGCAAGCAATCCTTGTTTGGTCAGGGTTGGCATCATACTCTTCAACACCGGCAATCCATGGAACCCAAGGCACTGATTCCGTTTTGTTTATAAGAACGGTCTTTTCTGGGCTTGGACTCCCCTTTTTGGGGATCCCGTGCCAAACCAAGCGTCGAAGCGGCGTATTTCCGTGTCCGAGGTGGAGCGAACTCGCTCCATCTTGGAGGCAGCGATGGATGTGAACAAGGCCGGCAAACCGCAGCCGACAATTTGCGGCGAACCGCAAGCGACACTTTGCAGTGTGCTCAGCCGAGTTGTGGGCAAACCCAGCAACTTGTGCCAAGCAGGTCTCCCCTTCTTGAAACAGCCCTTCAAATTGGGGATCCTTTGGTTGACATGTACAAAAGCACACAGGGATTTATGTCCATTCATCTGGGAGTGTGTTCCAACGAAGATTCACAGGCCTTCCTCCTCTTTGCCGGCCTAAGAAGATCCGGCTTTGGCTTTGTGCTAGGGAAATCCTCAGGAAGCTCAATCTGCATTTCAGGAGCTGCATGGCTCCCATCCCTCCTCTTGCGCTCCGGGTTTGAACCTGAGGTTGGGCTCTGAAAGGCCCAGGGGATCTGGGAGTTTGTTTGGTTTCGAGCTACCCTCCTCAAAGGTTGGTGAACGGAAACCAAAGGGAACAGACACCCAATTTCGGGTGTCCAGTGCAGAAAGGAGCTTGATGAAGTAACTTGGTTTCCCTTACCCCCCAGGCGCTTCTTTGCCGCCTGGCTTTTCCAGGCCAAGACGCTGGCGGACTTTGAGCAGCGTGTGAAGCACATGCTCTCGGGCTTCTTCAGCGTCGCTACACTCGGAGTGTTGAGTTCGATGGTTTCGATGGTTTCGGATGGACCGGTGCCAGGTGTGTGTCACTCCAGTTGCATGGAACCCCAATCATTTGGGTGTGTCTGTTTTGAGCGTACCCATTTTTTGGTGGTTTTGACGGGAACACCAGAGGACAACTCACCCGTTTTGGGGGTCCAAATCCTAAAGCGGCAAGTCCACAAATCCATTGGTAGCGGAATCGTTCATGAAATCTGCCGGAAAACCCAGGCCGGCAACTGGCCCTTTCGATCGCTTGGGTTTCAACATTTATGTTGTGGGTTCCCTTCAAAAAGCAAGCAACCGAAAAGGGATGTCAGCAATCAAGAAAGGCTGTGACTAAGGGTGTCTTTTTTCTTCTTCTTCTTCTTTGTTTTCTTGTGCCACGAGAGGGGATGGGACAACTCCCACCAAGAGGGAATTGAGTGGCCCACTGGTGGGTGTAAGCCAACCGTAGGCACCCAGAAAGCGAACCCTGGCAAGTGGGACCATTAGACGACCGGTCCGAGACGAGCAGCTGTGGCGGATGTCGAGCCACAGGTCAGCACCATTCGAATTCTCTTCTACGACCCTGAGAACAAGGCCCTGCTCCTTGCCTCCTCCCAAATGCGCAAGAAGGTGCCGGAGCGCCAACGGAGAGCGGGGCAATCGGGGGGTGACCCACCCGCCGTTCATGACCCAACACTCAGTGGGAGGGCGAAATATGGGGCCAGGAAACAGCCTCTCTGAGCTTCCCTTCCAAATGGGTCCATAGTTTTGGTTGCTTTGGCAAGTGTGTCGAAGATTATTTCAAGTTGACTGATGCAGAAATCCCTCATATCAAACCACCGGGTTGACATCAATCCCCCAAAACAAGCGGGTGTAGGAACAATTTGGTGAACAAATTGCAACGCGAGTTGCACATATTTTTCTTCTGGACGCTTTGAATGGGTTTGCAAGCCAATGCCTCCCCCCCACCCGATTTCCTGCGAAGACTAGGCCAAAAAGTGGGAGAACTCCCGTTAAAAGGGAATACCCAAAAGAGGAACTCCGGTTCCCCAAACGAGCCGGATCAAGGATCCTTGAACATTTCTTGGAGCAACTTCCATTCTTTTATTGATGCACTGGCGCGTTGAAGGAAACGGACCAGGATGTGCTCGGGGCCTTCTTTTGAAGATGGGTTTGCCTCAAGACGGCTTGCCCCCGTTTCCTTTGTCCTCCCTGAGCCAACCAAAGGCGGGCTTGCTCCTTTGGCCGAACAAACCCCGTGGTACATTGGAAAACCCAAATTGTCAGATTGGGCTAGGGAACTGAACACGAGCCATCCTGATCTTGATCCCGTTTTTGGAACCTGGACTGGACCGCGCGTTTTTGTCCGCCCTCCCAAAACGGTGCAGTGTTGATTCCCAGAAGTAAGTGAAACCTGGAAGAGAACCAGGAGGTTCTGTCTCAAGTGGGAAACCATGCCCTAACCAGGAGTTTATCGATCCTCGGCCAAGATTACACAAATGAGGATTGGGGTGCCGTGGAAAGACCATGCAACCATCCTAAAAGCCCAACCAAACCACCCGAATTTCTCACCCTAAAGTCACCTAAAGGGAGTGAGCCCTTCAAGTGAACCAATCAGGGCTGTTTAGTTTTCTGGAAATATGTCGAATCCGGTCCTTCTTTGTAAGAAAAACCATGCCAGAAATGCTGCGGAGTTGTTTAACAATGGATGGATCGAATGGGGGATCAACTTTGAGAGAATTGCAGGCGAAATGGGAGGGTTTGAAACCCACAGGTGCTTGCCCCTGGTTTTTCTTTAAAACAACAACCAATAACGGAACATAATGGAACCCTCAAAATAATTGGCGCAGGCTCAAGCAGCAACTCCTACGGATGCCTGTTGAGGGCCCCTTCATCATGAGTCTTGTTAAACGTGATAGAAGGAACCCAGCGAAGAAAGCGTCCAATCCCAAAGGAGATTGCTTAAGATGTAATTTGAGGATATAAACCATGGACGATCCCATTCTGTTGGGCAAAGAGGATGTCCCTTTGAGGATGCAACACGTGCTTTCCCACAGGGACCCCCCCCCTTTAAAGGGGCAAACAAAAGGCAATCCTTCTTACAGTAGGATCCGACCCTTTGTGCGAACGGCCCCTTTGTCTCTGGTCCTGTCGTTCCCCTTTTATTTGAATTTCATCTCCGGTTGGTTGTTCGCAGTCTCCTCTTGGCAGCTCCTGTTGCTGTCTGGTCTTCTTCCGTTTCATGGGCCCAGTGGCTGCCGAAACCGCCGCCGCTCCGCCGCTCCGCGAGGGCGCCACCAGCATCGGCGCGCAGAAGGGCATCCTGGGCCAGTGTGCCCAAAAGCAGCAGGCGGGCGGTGAGTGCGGTGAGTGCGGTGAGTGCGGTGAGTGCGGTGAGTGCGGTGAGTGCGGTGAGTGCGGTGAGTGCGGTGAGTGCGGTGAGTGCGGTGAGTGCGGTGAGTGCGGTGAGTGCGGTGAGTGCGGTGAGTGCGGTGAGTGCGGTGAGTGCGGATGCCTGCCCGAAAGGGAGGCCTTGGTTTGAAATTATTCAGAGGGTCGCCTTGGTTGGATTTCCGAGGTCGCCTTTGAAACCAACATAGGGTGCCTTCTTTTGTTTTCTTCCTTTTTTGTCTTCTTCCCATTTGGAGGTCCGGGCCAGTTTCCCTTGGTCAGATGGGAGCACTACCTGGGATCTCTCGGAATGACATCTCAATCGACATTTCCAGGTTCACGAAATGCGATTGCCTGAAGCTAAGCTCCTTTTCGACCTTTTGATCATTGGGCTGAACATGGGGTTCCAATCTTTAAAAGGGGACTAAACATCCACCTGCGGGTAGAGAAAGAGAAAACGAAAACCCTTTCTGCCAAGCCGTTGCTCACCACAGAGTTCAAACTGAATGGTTCAACAAGAATCCTTGGGGTAGCAACTTGGACAAACGATTTCTTTAGTTTCCCTCGCCCGGGGCAGCTTCCGACCTTGCGATCGGATCATTGGAGCAACGCTGGTGAAAACGCAATCCCTGTGAGCGTTTTGTCCTTTCGGTTCCTTTGTTTTCCCTTCAGCCAACAAAAGGTTAAACTTCGCATGAAGTCTGAATCTTGCCAACAAGGGTGCGGGGCGAAAAGGAAGGGCAGTTTGGAGGGCAGTTTGGACTCTGCTTTAGCATATTTGTCTTAACCCAAAATGGTTGGCTTAATTGTTTGTTTGCCTCGAAAGCAAAAGAGGGTTCCCCTCTTCGGGTTGTCAGCAACATCCTCTTCGGACAATGGCCCATCTTCAACTTTCTTTTTTTTGGAGCCTGCCAAAATAGGTGTATCAGTTGCATCTATAGTACGTTGCAATTTGCTTGGTTTTGATATCTTGTGGCCATGTTTGCTACCCGCTTTGGTTGTTTTGGGGTCAAAACGCGTCTTTCTTTACATTTTTTTTTGGGGGGGAGGGGGGTTGAACATGCACATGTTTCGCTTGCTTTCGTCGTGCCTCAAAAGGAAATGCGGAGCGCCATTTTTAGGAAATACACCCAGAGTCAGAGCAAGCCTTTAGTAACCCAATAGTTCATGCGCTTGGCCTTTGAGGGGGGCTTCACAACCGCTTGCCCTTTTGCCAACGCCTTTTTTGAAAGAAGACGCCATTACCACGGTTCGGAGGTAACAATGTTCCAAGGGAGTCTTAAAATAGACTAACTCTGTTTCAGGTTGACGGTTCCAACAAATGGGATTCCAAAGAGAAGTCCTTTTGAACATCACCCCACCCACAGGAATCTCCAAAATAAGTAGCAGCCAACAGATTGTGTTCAACCAACCAACAAGAAGGGCAACACAGATGCCCTTTGTAGCACAAGTCAATGTATTTTGACCGGTGACCTGAGCCACACGCATGTGTTTCCACAGGGTCAAGCAGAGAAAAGCAAAGGTTCTTGTCTTTGAGTCTTTCTTGAAAACAGGGAGTTCGTTTTTTTGTCAATGGGCGCAGGTTTTTTTGCCGGCAAGTGAAGCCATGTATGCACCCGGGCAGTCCCAGGTGTATGCCAATTTGTTTGAGGCTCACCCATTGAAAGTGTTCAAAGCCCGAAAAAGCAACCGGGGATCCCCTTCGAAGCACGCTGCAACCCTTTTCACCGCCGGCAAGCCGGGCTGATTGATATCGATCGACCCATTGGAGCCCGTCATCGGACCAGGTCATCAACATTCCGGACATCCACCAAAATCCGTTCGCGGGCGCCTCAGCCTGCTTTGTTGTTGAGAGAAACTGGTGCGCTCAAAAGCCACTTCGCGGAGCCCTTTGTGGGTGGGCAAATTGTTTTTTTAAGCTGTTGCCGTGGAACCCTTTGGCCCTTGTTCTGTGCAAAGTAGAAACGAACAGGTTGAAACGAACAACTCTGACTGTGAAGGTCTCGGATGTCGTCATTTACTGGTCAATGATTTCGTTTGAGCTGTGCAGGTTTTGGGTGGAGAAGTGTCAAATCCATGCGCAGCAGTCATACTCACTAGTGTTCTCACTTCCAAATTCCGCGGATTGCTGGAGCAAAGGCGGAACCTGGAAGTGAAAGGCAACGGTCCACGGCGTAGCGAACGAGAGCCGGGCCAAAAACAAGGTCACGCCGCCACTAACGACGCGGAGGAATTCACAACCCTGGCAAACACCCAATCAGGATTTCTGGACATGAAACAACTACGGCATTGCTTCCTACAGTGTTGTGCCGCCATTGGTAGTTATGCGAGTATCGCCACCGCTCGGGATTGAGCCCGCCCTTCTTCTTAGCATGACATAAGGTGGCAGCCACCTTTGCACGCCTGTCCAACCTTTCAAAGATCCTGAGGCAAGAAAACATGAGGGGGAAACTGCAGCGAACTATGGCTCACAGAAATGAAGTGTACGTCATAGTCTTGGAGCCTTCGGCGGACCAGTTGTAATTAGCAAGGTTCGATGACACACGCCAGGGAATATAAAAGTCCAAATTCGGCCTGCGTGATACGGTGTCCGGGACTAAACTTGTGACTAAGCTACACAATAGCAGGCATCCGAGCAAATTGTGCCCCGTACGTTGTTACCCCACCCCACCCCACCCCGCCAAAGTCATCAAGGCGTCGACCACAACAGCGGGAAGGGCGGTGGGACGTGTTCGCATAAAAAATGTGCGAAATGCTCCCCGCCGTTAGTGGCGGCGTGAGCAAAAGCAACCGCCATGGGTTTGTCTCAAAATAGGGGAAGTCTCCAAACAGGTGGTTTGGTTTCCCGCTAAACCAGTCCCACAAAAGGTATCCTCAAAAACAGAGCGAGACACGAAGGCCAAGCTGCTGCTCTTTTCTTTTTCCCAGACACACCTGAGAACAGGCGCAGTTGCTTCGGGAAAAAACTTATATATATATATATGGTCACCCCCCCCCAGGGCCTACCTTTGCCCTCTTCTAGTTGAAGGTGTCAACTCTACTCTGTGTGCCTCTTTCTTGCAGATGCCTGAAAACACTGTAAAATACAGTGTTTTTGTTGTTTTTTACCTTCTATGTGACAGCAAATGTCTGATTATTTGAGGCTTGAAAGGCAGCAAAGCGAAAACGGATTCCGTTTTCAGATTCGAGCCTGGCTTTGATTGAATCACTGGTTTTACAGTGGTTTTGAGTACACCAGGGAAAAACAATGAAAAAATGATGTTTTTGGCAGCTTTGAGCTCTGCAACCTGCACAGACCCAAAAGCACAAAATCTCCTGAAAATGAAAGCTCTGAGACCTGCACATGCCAAACACATCTCCAGACCAAGTTTGGGAGTCTGGGGATATGTGCCCTTTATTTGTTTAGCCACATTTAAGCTAAATCATATTTGGGAATGAGTTACTATTAAAATTTGATTGCAAAGGCCAAGTGATTTCTTTCCAGAATAAGCTATATTCCAATTCAAGCTGTATTTGGGGATGGATTCTTGATTAAATTATTTTGTTCAAAAGCTAATTGAATTCTGTCTGCATTAAAGTATATTTGGATTCTACTGCAATCATATTTTCCTTATTTGGAAAGGTATTCCTGTTCAAATTCTGATCTACTATAGACATTATGGTGAATTATGAATGGTGGTGAACTATGTGCTTACTACATTCTATTCAATATGCAAATTCAATTCGGATCAAAATCGTATTTGGAAAGGAATGTGTACTTGGATATGTTGGACTCCAGGCTCCAAATTATGAGGCTTGGAGAATCCAACATTAGACATCTCAAGGATTCTGATCTCCAGATTCTAGGTTTCAGGTGTTTCAAATTGGACATTTCAAGGGATTAGAGATCCAACAAAATGCTGTAAAACAGAGTGTTTTGCAGCAGTTGCTCAGATTGTGTTCCCTTGGACCGAATGGACAGCCTTTGATATAACAGTGCAGCAGTGATGACACACCCACACACAATCATCAACCTTTTAGGACCACATGCCCAAACCACATCAAACAAGGCCTCAAATGAGTGTCCTTTTTTTCCCAAACAACAGTCTCCACTTGCTACGCAATAAGCCTACAGAAGGTTTATAAACTTTCAGGAAAGTTTATAAACCTTATTGAGTGTTTGACGAGTTTCCCGCATCAAGGCAACAACACCCTACGAAGTGTTCATGGTATCGTTGAAGGAGGGGGGGGGGGTGGTTGGAAATTTTGGGAGGGGGGGGGGGGGTGGTTGGTTGGAAGTCTTAGCAGTGAGGTGTGACTCAGCCAACTTTGTAAAGACTTCTCAGTACCCCCCCCCTCCCCCCCCGTAAAGAGTTCTGACCCCCCCCCTGCCCTTGTTGCAGGGAAACCGTCAAACCCTTGACATGGTTTATAAACTGTCTTGTAAGTTTACAAACTCTTTGCTGTTGTTACTCAACATGACTTGTCACCCACAAAAATATGCAGCAACAGCACACTTCTTGCGTATATATGCTCACACCCCCTGTCTTTAACAGCAAGAGGGTTTTGTACATTTTGAAGTGGAAAGGTAGGCCCTGGGGGGGGGGTGAGCATATATATATATATATATATTAAACTGGCGAGCCAGGATTCCAGCCCAAACTGTCATCTTGCCTGAGGACAAACGGTTGTGGGAGGAAGCGACCCTCAAGGAAAAAAGGGGGATGAAGTACAAGAAACTGGAAGTTTGATCAGCGCATTTAGGACCTTTCGGGGCGATCGGTTTGGGACAAGTTCGGGTTTTGCGTCTCCAGACGTGGGGAGGCGTGATTCCAGTAAAGACGCTCTACTTCCGAGAGATGAGGCAGTCCCGATCATCCGCAGATTGGCTTTGTTATAATTGACGGAGTTGCTTGCACAAAAGCATTTGAGAGCAGCGTTTGAGGGTACCAATTTAAGGGCTGCCGCCCTGTGCGCCGACCCCTTTGTGGGTAGCTGTTGGCGCACGAATCGGCTGGCTTGTTGGGCCTAGGAAAGGGAAGTTCGGGAAACAGCTGCCCTTTTGATTTTTACTTGCATGTTTTAACCTGGTCTTGATTGTGACTCAGCCGGCCGTATGATGATGAGAAGGATGATGATGATGACGATGATGCAGCCCAAAACAAAGTCTCCCACACCTCAAATTAATAAAGTATTAATTTGAGGTGCTCTCCCTGACAAAAAGCTCACCAGGAAAAAGAGACAAGGATGCCACTCCCACACCTCAAATTAAAACATATCTGTGTCACAGAAACGATGACATCTGTTACAACACCTCTGCATCACCAATGCTGCCTGATAAGAGATGACGACGACCATGATGATAATGGACGGGCGTGATGATCGTTATCATCCGCGTCATGACAACTATCATCACAACATCCTCTGCATCCTACTGGTTCCTAAGTAACTATCATCATCGCATCCTTTGCATTGCCAGGGATGTCAAACGTCCCTTTTGATTTCTATATCTAATAAGATATTAGATGATGCTAGGTGATGATCAGATGATGATAAAGATGATGACAAGGATGATAACTATCATCGTAGCATCCTTAGCGTCACCAACGGCTGTGATGATAACTACCATCGCAGCATCCTCTGCATCACCAATGCTGCGCGATTAGAGATGACGACGACCATGATGTCAATGGCACGGGCGTGATGATCGTTATCATCCGCGTCATGACAACTATCATCACAACATCCTGTGCATCTCTACTGTTGCCTGGATAACTATCATCATCGCATCCTTTGCATTGCCAAGGATGTCTAACGTCCCTTTTGATTTCTATATAATAATAAGATATTAGATGGTAGTAGGTGATGATCAGATGATGAAAAAGATGATGACAAGGATCATAACTATCATCGTAGCACCCCTTAGCGTCACTAACGGCTGTGATGATAACTATCATCGCAGCATCCTCTGCATCACCAATGCTGCGTGATAAGAGATGACAACGACCATGATGTCAATGGCACGGGCGTGATGATCGTTATCATCCGCGTCATGACAACTATCATCACAACATCCTGTGCATCTCTACTGTTGCCTGGATAACTATCATCATCGCATCCTTTGCATTGCCAAGGATGTCTAACGTCCCTTTTGATTTCTATATAATAATAAGATATTAGATGGTAGTAGGTGATGATCAGATGATGAAAAAGATGATGACAAGGATCATAACTATCATCGTAGCACCCCTTAGCGTCACTAACGGCTGTGATGATAACTATCATCGCAGCATCCTCTGCATCACCAATGCTGCGTGATAAGAGATGACAACGACCATGATGATACTGGCACGGGCGTGATGATCGTTATCATCCGCGTCATGACAACTATCATCACAACAACCTGTGCATCTCTACTGTTGCCTGGATAACTATCATCATCACACCCTTTGCATTGCCAAGGATGTCTAACGTCCCTTTTGATTTCTATATATAATAAGATATTAGATGGCGCTAGGTGATGATCAGATGATGATAAAGATGATGACAAGGATGATAACTATCATCGTAGCATCCTCTGCATCACCAATGCTGCGTGATAAGAGATGACAACGACCACGATGATAATGGCACGGGCGTGATGATCGTTATCATCCGCGTCATGACAACTATCATCACAACATCCTCTGCATCACTACTTGTTCCTTCATAACTATCATCATCGCATCGATTGCATTGCCAAGGATGTCTAACGTCCAAGATATTAAATGATGCTAGGTGATGATCAGATGATGATAAAGATGATGACAAGGATGATAACTATCATCGTAGCATCCTTAGCATCACTAACGGCTGTGATGATAACTATCATCGCAGCATCCTCTGCATCACCAATGCTGCCTGATAAGAGATGACGGCGACCATGACGATAATGGCACGGGCGTGATGGTCGTTATCATGACAACTATCATCACAACATCCTCTGCATCACTACTTGTTCTTTGACAACTATCATCATCGCACCCTTTGCATTGCCAAGGATGTCTAACGCCCCTTTTGATTTCTATATAATAATAAGATATTTGATGGTGCTAGGTGATGATCAGACGATGATAAAGATGATGACAAGGATGACAACTATCATCGTATCATCCTTAGCAGCACTAACGGCTGTGATGATAACTATCATCGCAGCATCCTCTGCATCACCAATGCTGCCTGATAAGAGATTATGACGACCATGATGATAATGGCACGGGCGTGATGATCGTTATCATCCGCGTCATCTCAGCTATCATCACAACATCCTTTGCATCTCTGCTTGTTCCTGGAAAACTATCATCGTCGCATCCTTTGCATTGCCAAGGATGTCTAACGTCCAAGATATTAAATGATGCTAGGTGATGATCAGATGATGATAAAGATGATGACAAGGATGATAACTATCATCGTAGCATCCTTAGCATCTTAGCATCACTAACGGCTGTGATGATACCTATCATCGCAGCATCCTCTGCATCACCAATGCTGCGTGATAAGAGACGACGACGACCATGATGATAATGGCAGGAGCGTGATGCGTGATGATCGTTATCCTCAGCGTCATAACAACTATCATCACAACATCCTCTGCAGCACTACTTGTTCCTGGATAACTATCATCATCGCATCGATTGCATTGTCAAGGATGTCTAACGTCCCTTTTGATTTCTATATATAATAAGATATTGGATGATGCTAGGTGATGATCAGATGATGATAAAGATGATGACAAGGATGATAACAATCATCGTAGCATCCTTAGCATCACAAACGGCTGTGATGATAACTATCATCGCAGCATCCTCTGCATCACCAATGCTGCGCGATAAGAGATGACGACGACCATGATGATAATGGCAGGGCGTGATCCTGACAACTATCATCACAACATCCTCTGCATCACTACTTGTTCCTTGATAACTATCATCATCGCATCCTTTGCATTGCCAAGGATGTCTAACGTCCAAGATATTAGGTGATGCTGGGTGATGATCAGATGATGATTAAGATGATGACAAGGAGTATAACTATCATCGTAGCATCCTTAGCATCACTAGCTGTGTGATGATAACTATCATCGCAGCATCCTCTTCATCACCAATGCTGCCTGATAAGAGATGACGAGGACCATGATGATAATGATGATAAGGATAAGATAATAAGAAAGAGATGGTGATAAGGATGATGATGATGACGATGACTGTGATGATAACAGTCATCGTAGCTGCTGATGCTGATGAGGATGAAACTTTGGTTATACTTATGCGCCAACCACCCTTCCCGTGCGCCTCCCCTTTTTAGAGAAAGGGTCGGCGGACTTTTGCTGCATGTGAAGACCTGCTTTGAGCCACGCCCGTATTTCTGGTAAATCCATATACCTCAGGCTGCTTGTTCTCTGGCCGGGGGCCGCAGACCTACACGATTCCAACAGAAAGCAACAGAGTCGCTTCCTCAAATCTGGGCTTTTCTGGCACTAGCAAAAAGTGCCGAGGGGGCGGCCTGGCTGGCAAGTTGTGTTTGAACGACCGGATCCTGTTCCCATCAACCAAACGGAGCTTGTTCCAACCATGGAGGTTTACCCCCCCGGTCCAATGGCGGAAGCCAGAAGGAGGGTGTCCCCAGCGCCGAAGGAGGCTGCAAAATGGGTGTCTCGCCTTTTTTCATTCTTTTTCGGGGGTGCCCTTCTGGTTGGTTTTAAAGGGAATCGAATCCAAACGGACACCGCTGCGCCATTTTGGGCGGGGCCTCCCCTATGTTGAGACAGAACCAAAATCGGCCCCACACGCCCCACCTCACTCCAGCTGTGGGAACCGAGGTGGACCCCATGGCGGACGGCCTGCAGCGCAGCGGCAGACCCGCGGCTCGGCGCAGTTTTGTGGTTCTTTTTCCGAGACACCAACCAGACGAAACAAAGAAACGAGAGGTCATGGTTTGCTGGGGAAGAGACAGACACTGGCGATCCAACACTTTGGTTGTTAAACAAAAACAAGGGCCTGACTGATAGTTGAATTTTGACAAATAAAGCTGATTGGGTGTGATTCGTTTTGGGGAGCACTTTTGGGGACGCTTTAAACGGACACCAAATGGAAAGCGCACATTTTGTTTATTGGGGGTCCCCTTTTCACGGACAAAGCTCTTCAACTTTGATCTGACCAATTCATGGTTGTTGTTGCGAAACATTTTACATTTTTGCTTATTGTGGTTTAGTGGGAAATCCGAAGCCACTTAACTGCTAAAATTTGAGAATTTTTGCTTCCCTTCCAACGTCAACCAAGAATTCGGGTTTGCCCTAGCGGTTGCAATCACATATGGTCCTCCGATGTTTTTCATCCGAAGCTGTGCCATGAGACCAAAGCATGCTGCCATCCGAAGATACAAACCAACTGGTTTGGGTGTCAGGATCAAGCAACGGGTCGTCAAAGTCCGAAAATGGATGTGCCTTGTTTACTTCACGCCTCCCGTTGGATCGACTTGTGTTTCATGACCTCTCAATTAGGTTTGGCTTTTGACTCCTCTTGTTGCGCAGTTTCCTCCTTTTCCGACGTTTTCGAACTAGCAAAACTGGCAGTGAACTGGCAGTGAGCCTTGAAACCCACACGTAAATCAAGGAACTTTTGATTTGGGACGCCTGTGACACCTGTTCTACTTCCTGCCTCGGCTGGGGTTTGCAGTTATGCCCATGTTGGTAGAAACAAAGGTCTGGCTCTACTTTCTGCATGCAACACGTCAACGCCCTGATACTAAACTTCAATCATGCGGATTATGTTTCTTTTCACGTGCCTGGAGTAAAGATCAAGCTGTGACAGAGCCAAAGTGGGGTAAATAGTTCGCGCCGGGTACATACCCACCCGCGCGTTTTTTTGCGTGTCTTCGGTTTTTGTGCTTGAATTCTCAGGCAGTTTGACAAACGTGCATCTTGTGGGTCTTTGAACATCCCGGCAACTAACTCATTTCAGAGTAAAGCCGCGTATTTTTCTTCTAGTCAGGACACATGGCAGGGAGACGTGGGCTGCCAGAAGCCGGGGCACCGGCTGGAGACATGTCCTATCCCAGTGGAACTTGAAACCCACCGCCTTCGTGGACTGCGTTGTTTGTTGTTTCGCTTGAGCAGGTGCACTTGAGCGGGTGTTCTTACCATTTGGCATGCGTGCGTGCAGCGCAAAGCGGGTGCGCTTCAGCGAGTGTTCTTACCATTTGGCATGCGTGTGTGCAGCGCAAAGCGGGTGCACTTCAGCGGGTGTTCTTACCATATGGCATGCGTGTGTGCAGTGCTGAGCGGATGCACCTCAGCGGGTGTTCTTACCAATTTGGCACGCGTGTGTGCAGCGCAAAGCGGGTGCACTTCAGCGGGTGTTCTTACTATTCGGCATGCCTGCGTGCAGCGCTGACAGGGTGCACTTCAGCGAGTGTTCTTACCATGTGGCATGCGTGTGTGCAGTGACCAGCGGGTGCACTTCAGTGGGTGTTCTTACCATATGGCATGCGTGTGTGCAGTGCTGAGCGGGTGCTCTTGAGAGGGTGTTCTTACCATGTTGGCGGGGGTAAAAACCACTTCGACTTGCGGGTGGGTGAATACCCAGTACCAAATAGTTGGGCTGGGTGGGCGCGCCCGATATGCTCGGACTGCTATGGAGTCGGTAAAGGCCTTGAGGGCTTCGGCATTCGAACACCCGGACTTGGCCAAGCGCCTACGACAAGAGCGCGGCTACGCTGCTAATACGCCGTGAACGAAGCTTGGCCTTCACTGAAGACATGCAGCAAAGAAAACCAGGGAACATGTCTGGCAAAAAAGCGCGCGCGCGCCCCAAGCCTGAAGCCCGGTGAGCATTCTGAACCAACCAGCTGGAACTTGGATGGCAGCCATGTCCTGCGCACCCGAGGCACAGCTTGTGATATAAGGCTGTGGGTCAAAACCAATGGTACCATTTTGGGGTAGGTGCACCACCCATTTTAGTTAATCTTAGTGGGGATTGGGATGTACGGGCTTTTGACCCATGGCCATAAGATTGAAAATACATTTAAGCCTTCTTTGAACCTTTGCATCTAGATCCATTCAAAATCCCCCAAAAGCCGGCGGGGAGATCCCAAACATGATAGTCTGGCCGATTCCCTCGCCCAAAACCTCACCTTCGAGGGGTTGAGTGGACCTGTTGGTATCCGCGTAAAATTTGAGCCAGAAAAGCAATCGATTCAACCTCCACACGTGCAGTAGCCTTCTCGAACGTTTGCTGGCCCCCTTTGAAATCAGCCGTCTAAAAACAAAAAAGGTAGTTCTTTTCACAGGCAAGCCCAGGCGCCCGTCCCGCCTCCCTCCTGTTTTGGGGCGGGTTTTCTTCTGGAACCAACCGCCCGCGCTTGCAAGCCCGCCTCTTCCAACTCTTGGCAGTTGTTTCGGCTTGTTTTCTGATTCCAACCGCTTGCAAGCCCGCCGCGTCCAACTTTGTTAGCAGCTTTTTGGGCCCGCCAAACCGGCCGAGATCTTGCCAGGTGGGCGCGCACGCCGGGATGTTGGTGGGGCCCATGCTGGTGGAGACCTCCGAGCGCTCCGGCGCATGCCTCGGATTTTGTTTTCGCCTGGCTCGTCAATAGTCGGGGCCACGGCAGCCCCCAGTAACAGCATCGGTGTGCTGTTGGTTTCGGTTTCAAACCACCCTCACCAAAAAAATGCTCAATTGCTTGGAGCGTTTGAATAAGGTTTTGGGGGTCAAAGTCAGTAACAAGGGGAGGGTGGTTCGGAGGTTGAAACTTCAAATCACTTAGGGGGTGATTCGAAGATTGGCCAGTTCAAAAAGGGGCTGCAAAATGGGTCCAGCAAAAGGAGGACCATAGTGCTTCCACATAGCTCGACATGTCTATCCCTTTGGACCACAACCCCTGGGTCGCTGGGTTTAGCTGTTGGCCTCTCGACATAAATCCCCTCCATAAGGCTGGCAGTTTCCTTCGGGGGCAACGCGCTCGCGCGCGTTAAAAGTGCATGGTTCTTCTCGGAGTTTCAGAAGAGCCAGGGTTCGGCAGCATGGGAGGGTTACTCTTTGTTGGGGAAACGAGCGTTTCGCCTGCACCAAACAACGATATGTCGAGCAAACAGTTTCAGGCTTTTCGCGCGCAAAGCCTTCCCCGACTTTTGCAGCAACTGAGACATGCGCTCTCAAGCACTTCCCAAAGGCCTGAAATCTTTCATCAACCCCAGAAACAGCTGCCCTAAGCCAATCCCCTTGGCGATCCAGGGGTTGTGTCTCGCTACACACTGCTCAAAACTTGAGGTACCTTGGGCTAAAACGACTGGTGCCATGTTGGAATCCTGGCGCTGCGTGCAAGTCGGGCAAGCGCTCACTGCTCCCTGAAGCATCCAGCACAAGCGGAAGCCCGCACTGTGGCAGCCGTAGAAGGATCAGACCGTGAAAGCCTCTAGTACCTCGCCCAAAGCCATGCCCGCTGAACAGCATTGTCAAGGACATCTAGAAGTGAACGAACCCAATGCCAGAGTCGCCCAAAACCTCAGTCTAGGGCCGTGAGCAGCAGGCGTGAACGACACCCCCCCAGCCCCCAAAAAGCTTGATACGAGGCACGGTAGGCTCCCACAAAACCCTTGCTTTTGCATCCAAGAGGGTTTCACTTTGGGTTTCCCTACAAAGAAAGCCCGCGAAATTTGTCCGCAGTTGGCTTTTTTTGGAGCTCCCCTTTTCGTTCCCAGTCCTTTGCGATGTTCTATGTCCGACTTTTGTTTCCCGGTTTTCCTTTGGTTTCTGTCTCGGAATTGGTCCCCTCAGGCCACTTGACATCAGCCCCTCCCCCCCCGCTCCTGGGGAGCTGGCTTCAGGCCATGAGCTCCTGGGCGTGGTGCAGCTGCTCGAGAAGAAGCGCCGCGCCGCGGACGGGTCGCAGCAGCCCAGCCGGGGCCCCGCATGGACCGCATGGACCGCCGGCGAGTCGGCGAGTCGGTCGTCGGCGAGTCGGGCGCCGGCGAGGGGGAGCAATGCGCTTGTTGGGGTGCGACCGGGCGTGATGGCTTGCCATGGCTTGCCATGGCTTGCCATGGCTTGCCTATGTAGAATTGGGTGGTTTGCAGTTTCCTTGGTGGATCGTTTCACCTTTGTTTTGCTGCTGGGCTCAGCACAGGATAGGTTCATTCATCCGGGGTGCAGTCAAAGCGGACGGTTTGAGCACGGCATCCACGCCCATGTTTCCATTTTCTCTGGGGTTACTTTGCCTGAAACAGCAGCAAAATGCAACCATTGTTATGAACATGAACGAATAGTCTGGTTTTTTCCCGGGTAGCCATGTGAGCGCATGTTGCTTTCCTTTGCTCCCCAAGTTGGGCTTGCCATGCAACAATTCGCCCCCCCTTTTCCGTTATCCCTCCCCCAAGAAACCAGAGGGATAGGGGAAGTTTGAATAGCTGACCAAGGACCTGCGTTCCAACCACACTTGGGTGGCTTGTTTTTTTTAGGAATCGGACCCCTCAATCTTTTGGTTTCCCGTTAAGCACCTACCAGAAGGGGGTTCCCGCCAAAACGGACACCGCCACCGATGTTCCAGGCTCCCCCTGGAAACGTCACGGCGTTCTGTAGGCGAGTTCACCCTGGACGAGCAGCAGCTCTTCAGTCAGCTGCGCGTGGCTCAGGTTTCCCCATTTCGAATCAAACGTTGATCAATTTCGCGGTGGCTTCCATGAGAAACGATCTCCACTGTTGGAGCTTCCAAAGCAAGATCTGGAGGAAGCCCCGTTTAAGTCAAGGACCGCGGAGAAGGGAGCTCAAAAGGAGCCAACCTCAACCAGCACCTTTTTCCAACGATGCGCAATCGTGTTAGGCCACTCTTGGGATAGACCTTTAACCCCTGAACTTGGTAGAGGGAACGACTGTTCTTTTGCAGGTCAGTTGGACCAGCACTTCAAGCAACTCTCCAAAAGCCGTGGCAGAGCTCACAGATGAGTTTGGCCCTTTCTTTTTGCGAAAGAGACCCAAGTTTGGAGACAAACCCAAGATAGGCGTGCCATTTTTTCTCCTCTTCAGGGGGTTTGGAGACAAACCCAAGTACCTTTTTTTCTATTTTCTTTTCAGGGGCCCCGAGAAGACAGGTTCTCCGACTGGGAGATCTGAACATCTGCTGCCGCTCCGGCGTGCCCGAGGCTGACCGTTTGTTCGCATGCTGGCTCGAGGACGATCAGAGCGGGGGGCCGCAGGTGGCAAGGAATTGGCCAAGTGCATAGGTGTCCTTTTCGGGAAGTTTGGTTGGATAGTCATGGGTTTCACTGGTTTACATTGGTTTCATGCCCCATGTACCAGGGAAATCCATCTATTTTTTCCAAAAGGTCACCTATGTGCCAAAGTGTTTCTTTGAGGGTGTGTTGGAGCCTCCAGGACCCCGGAAAGGCTGACGTTTGGCTGAAAGCGATCGGTGGAAGTAGAGAGAGTTGAAATGACGAGGGCTTGATGGGAAGTCTGTTGCCCACTGCTTGGTTGATAGATGTCACGTGGGATGTTCTGTCTTGGAGGGCATTCTTTTACTCTTGGAGGAAAGCGTGACCCCTACAAATCCGCCAGGTTCATTCATCCCGGGTCGGCTTGACCGCTGGTATTCCTGAAAACACATTGGTCCCTGTGCTTCCCCACATTGGGGGTGAGGTCCCTTGATCTTCTGTGTGGTGTCGTTTGGAGAAGCCAGCTTTTGGTTTCAAAGAGAAACCCAAAAAAAGCCGCAATATACCATGTTGAAACAAACCCAGAAAGTTATCCCAGATATTCTGCCCCTTGCAGGATCCCCCAGGCCACTTTGAACAACCGGACCCGTTTGCCCTTGCTTCCCTTTTTGACAAGCCCCAAAAGCAATACCCTCAAAAGACGGACAACGCAAAATCGAAGGTTAGCGGATGCACGTGTTCGATTAGTTTTTTCCATGCCCAGAGCATCCATGCTTTCGTTTGCCCCGTGCAAACGGAGCCCCTGCATGTTTTGATCCTCCTTTCATTCCGCCACCCCCCTGCTCAAAAACACATGGGGCCTGGGGTTTTGGCAAGTTCGAGAGGCTCAAGGAAGCTGTTTTGGGGGTTCTTTTTCAATAAGCCAGATGCCCCTCTCCCATTTGCGTCTCTCTTTGTTCAGCGAGTTGGTACCTTTCTTTTGTGGTTTTTACAGGGACCCAGATAAACCGCCCCCCTTTCTTGGGTGGTTTTACAGGGGACGCGCAGACAAAACACCCGTTGCCGCCACTTCGGGGCCCTTTTCGACCACCAGCCCCGCCCCCATTTCGCGGACTGCTCTCTTCAGGTCCAGCAGCTCGCCGCGCAGATCAACGGCACGCCGAACCACGTGCAGGCCCTGCTCTGCGGGTGAGACGTGAAAAAACCACGCGGACCAAAAATATGTGCGGCGAGCCGCGAGTTCGGAGCGGTGGGGGGGTGGAGGGGGTGGAGGGGGGTGGAGGGGTGGGGGAGGAAGTTTGTTTGAGGGTCCCACAGGTGTAATTACTGTTTTGGTTTCAGGTTGGTTGAAGATGGATGGATTCCGCTGATGCAAGTTTGGTTTAAGTCATTTGGCTGTGGGTCAAAACCAGTGGTACCATTTTGGGGTAGGTGCACCACCCATTTTAGTCAATTTTAGTGGGGATTGGGATGTTCACTGGGGGTACGGGATTTTGACCCACAGCCATTTCTCAGTGCCACGAATTTGTCCAAGTGCTGGACACCTGTGGTCCTAGGGCTGTCCTTTTTAGACGACCCTGGGATGTATGCAACGCGAGACTTGGACACTTACATGCAGTCCCCCACATGGGCGTTGTCCAAAAAGTGGCAGCCTTTCCTGGGACGACCCGCTCACGTGGAAATCAAAGAGCATCGGGGTCCCAACAGAACGAGTTTTGCCCATGGCAGTCTGGTTTTTTATTCTGGCCACCCTTAGGTTCTTAGCTACTGTCAGATGCACAGAGAGTCAGATGCTGGTTCATGTGCTGTCAAAACATTTGGGACTCCCCTTGGATCTTGGACGCACAAAAACATGGGTGACACCCTGCGGGCAGGCCCAGCCTCGGATTGATTCGCAACGAATTGAAACGAGGATCCTCGAACTTTGGTCTAAGTCGGAGGCACAGCTTTTGCGATTGGAGATGTTAAGCTCCTGTTTGAGGGCAGTTTAAAAGGGGTCTGTGCACTTCCATGTGGCCACAAGCTGGCGCCGCCCTCTTGAAACTTTGCATGGCTTTGGCTAGAAACTTTCAGGTCTTGTTTATGACTCATGCCATGAGAAAATTTTCCAGGAGACCTTTAGGCTCTTTGCAAGGGCACCCTTGTCACTTGCCAGAGGATTCATTCATCCTCATAGGGCAGCTTGTGGATTGATTCAGCCCCCATTCTGGAGAAGATTGGAGAGCGCATATGCAAAGGGCACATTAAGATGGATTATTTGGTGCACAAACCGCTGGCTCACTCAATCATTTTTTTTGGGTTGCCTCTCGACTTTGCTTCCGGTCAGGCTCTCGCTTTGGCCAGCAACGAAGTCAGCACGCAGAGCCAAGCAAACCAACAAATCTTGAGAGCACTAGGAGTGGGACGCCAAGATGAACTCGCTTCTCAGCGTTGCTTCGTGGCTGCGGGGAGAAAGAGAGAGTCAAAAGCAAAGGCCGCAGGGGAACCTAAACCAGGCATGAGGCAAACCGGCCCGAGCAATTCGACCAGAAGGTCCCCGCAGGCGGCGCCTTCACCGTGCCTTAGCGCCCATGGCGCCGCCTGTGATTTGCGATACCGGGACTGGGGTGATCAAGGCACGTTTCTTTTTGGGCGGTCGTGGGTATGCCTGGGTATGCCTGGGAATGCCCGCGTATGCCTGCGTATGCCTAGAGCCTGTGAAGTAACATTTGTTAAAGGTTCGCTAGATCGGGTGGCCAGAATCAACAAATGCCATTTTGAGTTGGGAGGCAGAAGTTGAGTTGGATGATACGTTGTCGAAGGCATGTCAGTCACCTTTTCTGGGTTTAGCAAAGGGAACGGTTTAATTGGGGTTCATTTTGTTTGGGAGTCATTCTTCCTGTCCGTCAAAGGCATCACTCTGGACCCGGCTTTGTTCCGCTTTGAAGGTTTCGACACCACTTCAATTTTTTTTGGGGCTTCACCCCATGGAGCTCATCCCAACCAGGGCGACACCAAAAAACACGCGCGAGCCGGGGCTTATCAAGTAAGAAACCCCATGGGCGACAGATTCCCATCCCGAGCATGGATGGCCTTTGGAGCTGGCCTCGGCCGGCAGCATTGGGAGCTCTCGGATTCCCCGACTTTTACGTGGGTAGAGGGGAGGGAGAGAAGACATGGGGGACTTGTGCTTTGGCGACCTTACGATCTTGCTCAGCGAAATCGCCGATCCTGAAGGCTCATGTGCGTTCCCAAAAGCCTGCCTTTGGCCTCTACGGATTTTGGCGCGTCTCAACATGAGAACCCGTCCCCTCCAGTGGTTTCCTTTCGAAGCATCCACAAAAGCAGACAGCGAGAACACAAGCAAACCGAAAAACGCCAGGCAAACTGAGGAATGCGCACAGAGCCGAACAAACAAACCACGAACAGAAAAAACACGCCACCGCCGGCCTCCTCAACAAGGGTAAATGTTGGAGGCGGGCCTGGCCGGTGAGCAGGAGCCGCGCGGAAGCCCTGAGCCTGTGTGCGGTTAAACCGCGGAATGGGGGGTCGAAAACGCGGTTCAGAGGCCCCAGGTGACCCAAACCGTGTCCTTTTGACCGGTGAGTTTGGTTAGAAATAGATGGGTTCAAAGCTGGTTTGGATGGGTTTTATGCCCCATTTGCCAGGGGAGTCCATCTGCTTGTCCAGAAGGTCACGTATGGCAGAGCAATGGTCCACAGTTTCTTTTGGTTTCCGCGGCCGCATCGGAGCAGCCCAGGTTTGGCAGAAACCATTTCAACCTAGACACGTCAAGGGGCTTCTGCTCTTGAGAGCAAGGCCATCTTTTGTCTTCCGAGGAGTTTTTTCCATTTTTCCGCTGCTCTTCAAGCTTTTGGAGTCGATTCCTTCAAGTTCGGTCGTCAAAGCGGAAGTCTGCAAGAGCATCACAGATATCGGGGCATCTACGATCCATGGCCATGGCATCAGCGGGCGCATTTGTTTTCCGTTCCCTCCTTTTCCTTGTTTCCCGTGCCAGTTTGTTCGAACCGAAAGCTCCGAGCGATGGATTTTGGGAAATTCATTCTCAAGTGAGCGTGACTCAATTCGCGCAAGAGGATCAGACAGGGGTCCCTTTCTTTCATGGGCACTGCCAAAGCACCCGGACGCTTTGGCCAACTTTGCAAGGTGGGGGTGTCTTTTTTAAGGATGGACCCCGCAGAAAATGGCTTCGGTTTTCTTCTTGGTGTCCCTTTCAAGCCACAAACATAAGGGAGAATCCGAACAACGGCGAGCCACCCCCCTATGGCAAGGGTTTCAAGGATTTCCTGTGGGTTTCAACTCCATACTCGAAAACCACACAAAAGCTTGGTACCAACTAGAAAAAGAGCAAACACCTTTTTTCCCCCTTATTTGGTTTCAAAACACCAGACAGGTTGGCACCAACTGATCAAACAAGACGCACCAAAGACATGCCGGTCTTCCCTGGCTTCCCTTAAAAGAAAACACAAATGGCTATGGACCAACACCAATGGGATCCCATTTTGGTTGGTAGGTGAATTCACCACCCATGTTAGAACCTATTTCAGTGGTTGGATTGAATCGGATGTTCACTGGGGGCTAACCGAAATTTGGGTTTTGAAAAGCCCATCGCCAAATGGCTGTGCCTCAAAAAATCGGAATTCCAAAATGGGACCTTGGTAAGTGGAAGCATGGACCAAAACCTGCGGTTTGCCCCTCCTGTTTAATTTTGAGGTTTACACCCAAAATTGTCGGCCCCGGGTAGTGACGGTCCCAAGCGAGCGACCGCTTGAGGTCCCTGGTCTTCCCCAACCTCCTGGGGCGCCCCATGCTGCGCGCCGACGGCATGAACCTCGGCCAGGCGAGAAGAGTTGCGTTTCGGATCGGTTTGTGTTTCGGAGGCGCGGTTTTTTTTGAGCGGTTTCCAGGTGGGGGGCCCGTCGTTTATGGCCTCCCCCCCAAAAAAAACAACAAAGACCACAAGGGGTGGTGGTCCTTCTGGTATCCCTTTAAAAACCAATCTCTTTTGGAGTTGGTACCCTGTGGTCTGTGGGTTTAGGGACACTGAAAGGATGCACACCGTATTCTTATTCATTTTTTTTCTCGGGGGGAGGTCCCCTAAACAAAGACAGACCCAGGTGGACAAGGGAAACTGGCGACCATTTCTGCTCATGGCCGAGCTTTTTTTTAGATAGCCAGGTTGCAGGTTGCTGCTTTTCGTCGAGACACTTTCCCTAGAAAAGTCCCAGCTGCTGGCAAGAGAAAGATGACAATCATTTGGGAGGGTCCCTAGTTTTCACACTTAGAGGCATGCCGCCCTCTGCCTTTTTGCACGGTTCCTTCAGCCAATAATGTGTGTGTGTGTGTGTTGACCATCAGCAGGAGGATTGTTGTTTGAGGCTTACTTGAGCCGGTATGGCCCGCCTGAGCGTTTTCGTGTGCGTCCTTTTTGGTCCGTTTTTGTTTCGGTGCTTTGTGTGATGTTGTCATGGTTGTTGTTCGGAAGCATTTGACACTTTTGCTTATTGTGGTTGAGTGAGAAATTCCCACTTAACTTCTAAAATTTAAATGTTTGCTCCCCTTCCAACGTCCACCAAGTTGTTGGGTGTGTGGTTGCAGCCTCGTCTGGTCAACGCCTCGTCTGCAGGTGGAGGACCTGATGATTGGAGACGAGGCCAATGCAAACAGGCGAGGGGATGCCGAAGGGGAGAGAGACGGGATACGGATGCGGGGAGATGGGGATAGATGGGACAGATGGAGACCCACCTGGTTGAAGCAAAATCAAGTTGAAGGTCCTGAAAGTGTTTGGGAGATAGAGCCCCAGAAAATGCGCCCATTTTAGAGATGGGGTGAGATGGGTGCAGGTACAGGTTAAGGTAAATGAGTCAGAATGGCAATATATTAGTGTAGTTGGTAAGGGTAAATGAGGAATGGCCCACAGAGGACATTGTTGTTGTGGTTGGATAAAGTTTTGGATCCGGAATGGAAGGGTAACTGGGTCACTGACAATACTTGTCTATTAGAAGGACGAGAAAGGGGACTAGGAACCAACAGATCCCGCCAACACAAGGAAACCAGACACCTAGCCCCTATTGTCTCCCACATCCTTTTGGCGATTTGCACATATATATATATATATACACGTGTCCGTTGCTATGGGGAAGAATGGCTACATAAATCAAACATACTTGCGCAGCCGCAAGTTTGGAAGTAAGTATGCCCCAGAGGGGTAAATGGGAATACCTGCGAAGGAGTACATGGAGAATGATGGGTGGATGGCTAGCTGGCTTTTGCCACGAGCAATTGATCAGGGTTTGGCTAGTCTACCACAAAACATCAAGCATGGGTCATGCCTCTTTCGGGCTCCCGTGTGGGGGCGAATATGGCCCACTTCTTTGTGTTTTTGAACACCATGTTTGCCTCATGTTTCGATGGAGTTTCCCTTCTTGTCAGCAACCCTGTTATGTTCGTTTGTTGTTTTAAGCATCGGGCAAATGCCAATGCTGATTGAGTATCCATTTGGCAGTGACTCCGAAGCACAACACATGTTTCCTCTCTGCCCACTAAAGCCCCCTTTCTGGGCGAGTTTCAAGATACAGCAAACGGAGCCACCAGGTTCGCCCTACCTGGAGCGGAGGGTCTTTGAAACTTACCGAGCCACGGTGCACCGGGATCCTCACATGGTTGTTGTTGGGACACATTTTACATTTTGCTTATTGTGGTTTAGTGGGAAATCCCCACTTAACAGCTATTTTTTTTTTTGCTCCACTTCCAACGTCAACCAAGCTCAAATGGCATCACCCTTCACATTTTCAAGTGCACTACGGACGGGGCCCTGAACAAAAGCAAAAACGAGCCCACAAATGTGGCCACCGCCCTCCCCAGCGCCCGGTGGGGGGGAAAACTTCGCGAGGTCCATGCTCCAGCTGTCCAGACCCATCCAGAACGGCGTGGTGAAAGACTGGGACGGCATGGAGGCGGTTGTGGGATTTTTTTTGGGCCCCCCCGCCCCCCCCCCAAAAATCACGAAGCGAGTTCAGGTGTCTAAGGCCTTGGGGGAATCTGCCCAAATTGACGCTTGAAAGAATCTGGGGTTGCAGAGGGTCAAAAGGCGCGCCCTGCTTTGAACCGACCAATCCACATAGAGGGCATCTGGGCCCACGCTTCGCTACAGGTTTTTTTTCTTCTCATTTTTGTTTCTCGGGTGGGTGGGTGGGTGGGTAGACAGTAGACCAGCCAACAACTCGTTTTGGTTGTGAAGACCTTATTCCTCTTCAAATGGGATCTTGGCGTGGAATGATTCACCAACCTGAAGCCAGTAATGGACCTTCAAGAAAAGAAGCTTCACGGGAGGCTGACTGAGCGCGAGATACCCGAGAAGCACCGGAAATGGAAAAGGCCGCCCCGGCACAAGGTTCGGACCATGCCCCAAATCAAACAAATAGCATCGATACAGAGTCAATGACACCGAAAGCAAGGCTGCACGGATCAAAGTAGCAAAGAGCATTGCACATGAACGTCAAACACAGTACAACACGGCAAAGACCAGCGGAAGCAAGCAACATTTATGTCAAGCAAAAAAATGAAGCAGAGCAAAACTATAGAACCAGAATGAACATTTCGGATCAACTCAGCCATGAGCAAAACTAAAGCAGCACACACACAAATCGAATCAAAACAACTGCGTTTGACATCCACATCAATGTGCCATCAACACATCTCCCGTCTCACCATGTGTATGTAATTTGGCTTGCCCTTGTGGACTCTCTTGCCAGTTTCCTGTTGTGCTGGTTTTAAACTGAATCAGGACCCTCTTGGGGGCTGCCGTTTACCCTCCGCCTCTTCGATTCAGCGCCTCCCTCAAGCCGAAGGCTTGTCCAAATCTTTGAAGCTGCGTACAACTTGTGATCAACACACCGCGGAAGACGGCTTCGAACGCCAAAGGCAGAACAACAGCTCGGCCGATTTGAGTGCAAACCTGAGCTTCGAAGGTCTTCCTTGTGGCTGGATGTGACTTCAGCCATCGCTGGTTGATTCCTTCCCCCCCGCCCCCCTCCCCGAAAAGGGGCGGCGCGCTGGCTGAAAAAAGCTGGAAGGCTGTATGGGACTACACCTTCCAGAGGCTTGGCGTGTCCAACTTCAGCGACCACAAGGCGATCGGCTGGGATCGATCGCTGGGATCGCTTGGTGCCTTTGGGGCGAAATGACCACCAGTTGGCCGCTTTCTGGCCTTGGTTGTTGCTATAGCGTGTTTGCCGACCACAGGAAGTTTGGGGCGTCTCCGCAACCAGATTGGGGGGGGGGATTGGGTTCTGCAGAGCAGGGGAAGTTAGGCGCCGTTGGAGTTTTGTGGTGGCAATCCAGTTTCCTAAGGGGGATTTCTGATTGCGTGCCCGGAAGGGGTGGACAAGCACCTTTGCCAGCTATGACTCAAGACGAATGAATCCCCTCCTGCAGAGGAACATGGAACCCAAAGAATCACCAAGTCTAAAGGAAATGGTTGGAGCACGTCTTGAATCGTGGTCAGTTGCATTGACATGTCAAATGGTGGTCTATAAGGCGAGCTTCTGTCTTTGCCCTTAGTGCAAGCGACAACTTCCACCCGTGGAGTCAAGCCAACAGAAAGCTGAAACCTGCGAGTGACCGGATTGATCAGCTCGACCGGGTCGGTAGAGCAGCGGCATTTGGAGTAGATGCCGCACTGGTTCATTTTTGCAGGAGGACCCGGGACTCTGAGGAAGGGTGCTGCAGTCGAAGCCATTATCATTGCCACAGGTCCCCACGTATTGTTTTGGCGGTTTTTTGCAAACCAACCAAGAAACACACATTTTGGCGGGGGCGATATAGAAGGGCAATTTATGGGGAGCCCTGCAGAGGGACGTTTTGAACACCGGGCGGCTTTCCGGCAAATCTTAGACGGGTTTTCCATTATTTTCTTGGGGTTTCATCCATCCAACAGTATCAACCTGTTCATGTGCTTACGTATTGTGGAAGCCAAGCTTTCCTTTGGGTACGTAGAGCCAACCAACCGGCGGGTCAGCTAAATTCTCAACAAGCGTCTACAACGGCTAGCCACGTGGCCGGCTCCCGAACCATCATCCAGTGGGGAAAAGTTGTTGGTACGGTCTGCTTCCCGAACCATCCTCCAGCAATGGGTTCTTTGGTTTCCTCTGCTTTCCGGGCTCCAAGCACCGGCACACCGCAGCTTTCGCCGATTTTCGCCCGATCCAGCTGAGACCATTGATCCCGCTGACGGCTTTTGGCAGAAAATCGGAGCCACGCCTGTGGTTCCCCCGCCTTGGAGCTTTTAGCCGGAGCGGCCGACCGTCTCTGGGAAACGCCCGCACCGTGACCGTTTGGCGGGAGCTACAGTGTGGACCATCCCAAGGGGGGAAGGGTGTCAGAGGTGCTTCTTGCTTGTTTTTTCTTTGCAGGGGACAACTTCTCAAGTAACCCTTAGGCCCTTGGTGGTTTGGACTTTGGGGATTTGAACCTTCTGGGTTGGGAGAGAACCATCTCTACGGCTCCCTTTCGCTCCAAACCCCGCCGATGGAGTCGAAAGAGGTGCTTCAGACGGAGGCGGCGCTGAACCCCCCGAAGAACCGGGAGAAGATGGCCCGAGCCCCGGGCGCAAACAAGGCGCAACGGGCGCGTCAGCGCGTGTTGCGGGAGGGGGGTGTCCATGGGCCGCTGGTTTAAAGGGAGCTATTGTCTTACAAATGTGCTAGCACATATGGCCAGAAGGAACTGGTTTTTTTTGGCGGGTAAATGCGGTTGAATTGTGTTTTGGATGTGTGGATTCATTTGATTGGGGTGCTCCGTCCGTGTTTTCCACTATTTTTTCCGAATTAAGTTTCCATTTCTTTTTCGTTCCAGGCAAACTCTGAGAGTTGCAAGTGGTGAACAAAATTTGGCGTCCGCAATGGAATTCTGTCCAAGTTCCTTCTTCTACAAGCACTTTTTCTGCTTGTTACCATGACAGCTGCCCATTTCAAGCGAGTTTCCTTTAAGAAGGGCAATACAAGAAGGACCATTTGGAGACCGCGTCTATCTATGTATATACGTATATATATATATACATTCATATCACATACATAAAAATATATATACACACACACACACATCGGCTTCTCTGAATAGGGAACCTTCAAATTGGGCTTTCTGCCCCTTTGGCTTCCCTCAGGTTGGACAGTGTGGGCTAGATGTGATGCTTTCCCCCTCAAAAAAGGATCCCTTAGTTTTGCCGTTGGCATTGTCTCCAATTGGGGAAGTTGCCCTGTGTCTGAGTCCCAAACCTACCCAGAAAAGGAACTCTCAAAATTGGTACGCACACACACGAACACACGCCCAGTTGACACTCTGATATGCTCCCGGGCAAGCCACCTCTAGGTCTACGACCCGTTCTGGGGTCTCAAGGAAGGGTTCATATCCTGAAACGCTTGCTTTCGCGTTTCTTTCACCACAAGACAAAACCCCCAAAAAACCGCCACTTTCTGCAGGGTCAAGAGAATACGGTTTACAGTGATATAGTAGTCAACCGCCAAATCATAGCACAGAAAGGGTCAGGCCAGGATTTTCCACGCCCGTTCAAAACCAACCAGCAGGCATTTTGCCTGGAGGGCCCGTTTTGCAACGCTCCATGGACCAGAAGCTTCACCTCGGCCTTTCGCCCGGCCGAGGTGGAGATCATGTTTGAGCGCTATGGCTTCGGCTCGGTGAACGTGTCCGTGCAGGCGCTCCCGAGCTTGTCACCCGTCGCCCGTCACCCGTCCGTCGCCGGTCGCCAACACCGGGTTGAGCGGGCCGAAAATCGCGGCCTCTTGAAGAGGCATCGGCACTGGAGCACAAAGCGGCGCCAGGCTTTTGACCTCCCCGCTGGCGAGAAGTCATGAAGTTGTGGGGAAGTAGGACCTATTTTGTTCATGGGGGTGTCCTACTTTGAGTTGGCAGCCTTTTCAGGGAAAGGTGTTGAGGGGGAATTGAAGGGGAACTGAGTGACAATCTTAGGCTACTGGAGGACGAGAGGGGGGGGGCCCAGGCATCCCGAATGACGACAACTCCGGGGATTGCCACAACCTTCGGGATTCAGTCGACTGCCAAGTCGGGTCTCGGGATTGTGGGATTCAGCGCGTCGGGTTTCGGGGGATCCGGGACTCGGGACTCTCGGAAGTCGGATTCGGGATTTGGGCTTCGCGATTCGGAGTCCCATCTTCAGAACTCGTGCCTGAATCGTGCCGAGGCTTATCGTGTCTCCAAATTACCCACTGTGGTGAGCATATTTTAAGATAAGCACGTCCTTTTGGGGAAACAGTCACTTTTGTTTGTTGCTCGCTTGGACAGGAATGGTCATCGTCCTCTTTGCAGGAATTAGCGACCTCACACATGCATAGACAACCTTTATTTGTCAGTTTGGTGAAGTACTGTAGTTCGCCCCGATGCTTTGCGGTACGGCCGAAATAGCCTTTCAAGTCCTTCATCAGCAAGCAACCAGTCACTTTTGGCCTGGGGCCAGTCGTACCAACCTCAATAGGAACTTAGCAATCTAGACAAACAGGTGAGTTCTGGAATTGGGCACCCCATGTTTTCCGAAGCGATTCAACGCCATGTTCAACATGTGTGCGTGTGTGTGCTTTCGCAGGGTTACGGCCGTGGGGATCGAGTTTCCAATGCCACGAACTACTCTCAGAAATGGCTGGTGGGCATAAATGCCCCGGTTTTGAACAAATGCCCACAGGGATCGCCAAATACTGTAAGATTGATATCCATGTGTGCAAACTTGGGGACGGCAGACTCTTGGGTGACTTTAGACAACCTTTGAAGGGTTCGTAATAAGGCAACCGTGACTACGGCCCACATAAGGAGCCTTAAACTCTGACAAGAGGCGAGCCTCTCTCTCTGCAACCCCTCCATTCTACTTTTTGGTTTGTGGACCCCGAAAACAGATTGAGGTCGGAAAGCCAAAGCAGAGCCCCCCCCAGAAAACATAAAAACGCAAGCGGGAGAAACACTCAAGAGGAGGAACACCAGACACAGGAACAGGACAACTCTTCACGAACACCAACTCCGATTTGCGCGTGTTTTTTCTCCGCCTTTCTTTTGGGGGAAGACGAAAAAAAACATGGATTGATCCTTTCTCTCTTTTTTTTCTCCGTCTTTTCTCCGCGGTTTACCCGCTGATTTTTCCGCCCCAAAGCCAAAGGGAGGGGTTTCCCCGGGTGCGGCTGCCGCAGGCGATCCTGGCCTTGAACTCGCGGGGGCTCACCTCCGGCTTCGTGGCGCGGATGCCTGGCCTCCGGCCGAGCAACGCGCGCGTGCTTTTTTCTTCTTGTTGCAGTTCTTCTTCTTCTCTTTTATCTCCTCCTTTTTTCTCCTCATTTTTTCTCTCTTTTTTTTTTTTGGGGGGGGGGGTTGTCCTTTTGGTTTCCCTTTGAAACCAATCTGTTTCGGAGTTGGTGCCCTTTGTGGGTTTAGGGAAACAAGGATGACGCCGTATTCTTATTCATTTCTTCTCTTGTTGTTTCTTCCTTTGTTTTTGAGGGGGGGTGGGAAACCCTTGGTTGGCGGTTTGGATTGGAGGTTTGGGGATCGGAACCCCTGGTTCTTGTAGGTAGATGGAAAACCCCCGGAGCAAAACGGAAACCATAGGTTAGAAGCTCCGTTTTTTTTTTTTTTGGGGGGGGGAATGGAAGCCATAGGTTGGTTGATGTTGGCATAAGATAAGCATCCTTTTTTCAGGGTCCCCGGCGCGTGGTTTTTGGAGGGTAGACCTTTTGTAGGTTTCAAGGGAAGCCAACAGGAAAGCAACCATTTCTCGGGTTCGGGGCCAATTCGATTGCCCAATGTCTTTCCGGGGTTGGATGGAACTACATGCCTTTCACCCTTCTGTTGGTGGAAGTACCAAAATTGACATTTGGAAAGGTGAATTTGATTGTCGGTTTCTCGAAGTTGACGGGGGACATCTAAGCAGCGCTGGGTACTGATCTGACGGCCGCTTGAACCCTAGACAGCCAGTCAAAGTATCTGGCTTTTGGGGACTAGCAAATAAGACGGGTGTGTGTATTTTACCACAAGTCCACCAGCAGACGAGCACACAGGTTTCCAAGCACCAGCCAGATATGCTGTTACGAGACTGGGCAGATGAACATTAGAGTCAAATCCTCCTGGTTTTTGGAGTTCAAGCGTCGTGGCTCGTCCCCCTTCCTGTGCCGAACCCCAAATTGACTATTTTCGTTTCTACCGAGACATTAACACAACCTTGCATAGGGACCCTTTGATAAATGAGCCCAGTTGATCACAAGTGCGCGTCTTTTTTGTAGTGGCTCCTCCCCACCCCTGCGACCGCTCGATTGCCGAGGTGGACTCCGGTGATGGTGTCACCCACCTGGTGCCGGTGACGGAGGGATACCTGGAGCCCGCGCTGGTGCAGAGAGTGCCTCGATTTCGATGCCTTTGTCTCCTCTTTTGAGGGTACCCCATTTTGAAAGGGAAACCACTTGGAAAACCCGTTTTGGTGGTGTGTCCTACAAAAAAGACACCCAATTCTCTTGGGGTTCTTCTTAGCACCGAAGACTGGCTTCTCTATGAGGCAAACCAAAAGCGACTTTGGCCTAAACAAGGCATAGTTGCCCGGAAAAGAGGGCTCCCCTCCTGCTTCAAACCACAGTTTGGGGTATGATGCCACCTGATCAACATTGGAGGTATTTACCATGAGAAAGCACATGTTGTTTCAAGTATTCCCTTAAACATAAATCTGGATTCCCACAGACACCACACTTGAATCAACCTATGACGGGTTCCCTAGACCGTGAATTCCCACTGTGGCAGTGGTGGAATCAACATGGGCTCCTTAGAAAGTTACATTACGCCACCTGCTGACATGCCTGCCAGAGGGTCTACCTTGTGCACCCAAGACCAGCAGTTTTACACGTGCAGAAAAGACCACCCAAAATTCGCTTGTTTTTCCGGAGGAAGCCTGTCCCAGTTCCCTGTCAGCTTCTCCGTTCCAAGGTGAACCTGGCTGGGCGCCACGTCACAGAGCAACTCATGAAGCTCCTGGTAGGCGAACGGGGGGTCCGGTAGAAGGACATTTGGATTTAGGAAGCACCCAGAAGGTTCACTACATATGGACCCTATTTCAACCTGCCATTTTTGCTGGAGGAAGACGCTAGGCTCTAAGTGGGATTTGATCAGTTAAGTTCCATAGTTGTGGGAGCAATTCTAGTAATAGGTCCCCCGGTTTCGCTTCTCAGTTGGTTTCCCCACGTCGCTTCACAAGCAAACATGACAGGTGCGTGGCCAGCTGAGTGTGTCTTTTTTTCGGGAACCCTTTTGGTTGGCTTTCAAGGTAGGCCCACAGTATTGAGACAATCCCGCCTACGGTGTTGTTTTGGAGCGCTCACCTCATCCAACCGGCATCGATCTTCGTCATTGGTACCCCGCCAGGCCCAAACCATGCTTGATTTTCCATGGTCAGACCCCATGGGCCCGAGCTTCTTTTGCCGACGTTTTTCTTTTTTATTGGACCGATACATCAAAAGGCAAAAAGGGGAGGGTCAGATCCACAGGGATGTGACCTTGCTTTCTTGGCTTTTCCCTTTGCCTACCAGGCTCCAATCTCGATCTCTTGTCGACCCGAAGGAGGGCTCAGGCGCTCCTAGGAGGTTTCGAATACTTTGGGTTGGTGAATTCATGCATCAACAAGGAAGAAACCGGTTTTGGGCCTTGAAATCCGAGGGCGACCGTTCAAATTGTGGCATTTGCCATGAAGCCAAGCCTTTGCGTGCATGCTGTGCGTGCATGCTGTGCGTGCGGTGCGGTGCGGTGCGGTGCGGTGCGGTGCGGTGCGGTGCGGTGCGGTGCGGTGCGGTGCGGTGCGGTGCGGTGCGGTGCGGTGCGGTGCGGTGCGGTGCGGTGCGGTGCGGTGCGGTGCGTGCGGTGGTGCGGTGCGGCGGTGCGGTGCGGTGCGGTGCGTGCGGTGCGGTGCGCGTGCGGTGCGGTGCGGTGCGGTGGCGGTGCGGGCGGTGCGGTGCGGTGGCGGTGCGGTGGCGGTTGGCGGTGCGGTGCGTGGCGGTGCGGTGCGGTGCGGTGCGGTGCGGTGCGGTGCGGTGCGGTGCGGGTGCGGTGCGGTGCGGTGTTGTGGTGTTGCGGTGCGGTGCGGTGGGTGCGGGTGCGGTGCGTGCGGTGCGGTGCGGTGCGGTGCGGTGCGGTGCGGTGCTTGCCTGCGGTGCGGTGCGGTGCGGTGCGTGCAGGTGCGGTGCGGTGCGTGTCGGTGCGGTGCGGTGCGGTGCGGTTCGGTGCGGTGCGGTGCGGTGCGGTGCGGTGGCGGTGCGGTGCGGTGGGTGCGGTGGCCGGTGCGGTGCTTGCGGTGCGTGCGGTGCCGGTTCGAGTGCGGTGCGGTGCGGTGCGGTGCGGTGCGGTGCGGTGGCGTGCGGTGCGGTGCGGTGCGGTGGCGTGAGCGTCGCGAGCGTCGTGCGGTGCGGTGCGAGGTGCGGTGCCCGTGCGTGCCGAGCCGTGCCCAGCCGTGCGTGCCGTGCCGTGCCGAGCCGTGCCGTGCCGTGCCGTGCCGTGCCAGTGCCGTGCCGTCCGTGCCGTGCCGTGCCGTGCCGTGCCGTGCCGTGCCAGTGCCGTGCCGTGCCGTGCCGTGCCGCGTGCGTGCCTGCCGTGCCGTGCCGTGCCCGTGCCAGTGCCGTGCCGTGCCCGGCCGTGCCGTGCCGGCCGTGCCCGTTACCGTGCCGTGCCGTGCCGTGCCGTGCCGTGCGGTGCGTGCGTTGCGGTGCCGTCAGCGTGCGGGTGCGGTGCGGTGGCGGTGCGGTGCGGTGCGGTGCGGTGCGGTGCGGTGCGGTGCGGTGCGGTGCGGTGCGGTGCGGTGCGGTGCGTGCGGTGCGGTGCGGTGTCGTGGAAGTCGGTGCGGTGCGGCGGTGCGGTGCGGTGCGAGTGCGGGTCGGTGCGGTGCGGTGCGGTGCGGTGCGGTGCGGAGCGGAGCGGTGCGGTGCGTGCGCTGCGGTGCGGTGCGGTGCGGTGCGGTGCGTGCGTGCGGTGCCGGTGCGGTGCGGTGCGGTGCGGTGCGGTGCGGTGCCGGTGCGGTGCGGTGGGTGCGGTGCGGTGCGGTGCCGGTGCTGTGCGGTGCGGTGCGGTCGGTGCGGTGCGGTGCGGTGCGTGCGGTGCGGTGCGGTGCGGTGCGGTGCGTCGGTGCGGGTGCGGTGCGGTGCGGTGCGGTGCGGTGCGGTGCGGAGGCGGTGCGTGGGTGGAGCGCAGGGCGGTGCGGTGCGGTGGCGGTGCGGTGCGTGTGCGGTGGCGGTGCGGTGCGGTGCGGTGCGTGCGGTGCGGTGCGGTGCGGGTGCGGTGGCGGTGCGGTGCGGTGGCGGTGCGGTGCGGGCGGTCGGTGCGGTGCGGTTCGGTGCGGTGCGGTGCGGCGGTGCGGTGCGGTGCGGTGCGGTGCGGTGCGTGCGGTGCGGTGCGGTGACGTGCGGTGCCGGTGCGGTGCGGTGCGGTGCGTGCGGTGCGGTGCGGTGCGTGCGGTGCGGTGCGGTGCGGTGCGGTGCGGTGCTGGTCTGCGGTGCTGGGTTGCGCTGATGTCGGTGGGCGGTGCGGTGCGGTCGGTGCGGTGCGGTGCCGTGCGGTTCGTGCGGTGCGTGTCGGTGCGGTGCGTGCGGTGCGGTGCGGTGCGGTCGGTGCGGTGCGGTGCGGTGCGGTGCGGTGTGCGTTCGGTGCGGTGCGGTGGCGTGGCGTTGCGGTGCGGTGCGGTGCGGTGCGTGCGGTGCGGTAGGGTGCGGTGCGGTGCGTGCGGTGCGGTGCGGTGCCGGTCGGGTTGCGGTGCGGTGCGGTGCCGTGCGGTGCCGTGCCGTGCCGTGCGGCGCCGCGCCGTTGCGGCGCGGTGCCGTGCCGTTGCAGTTGCGTGCGGTGCGGCGCGGTGCGGTGCGGTGCGGTTGCGTGCGGTTGCGGTGCGGTGCGTTGCGGTGCGGCGCGGTGCGGTGCAATGCGGTGCGGTGCGGTGCGGTGCGGTGCCGTGCGGTGCGGTGCGGTGCGGTGCGGTGCGGCGCGGTGCGGTGCGGTACGGTGCGGTGCGGTGCGGTGCGGTGCGGTGCGGTACAATACGACACGGCGCGGTGCGGTGCGGTGCGGTGCTGCGGTGCGGTGCGGTGCGGTGCGGTGCGGTGCGGTGCGGTGCGGTGCGGTGCGGTGCGGTGCGGTGCGGTGCGGGGCGGGGCGGGTGGTGCGCGTGCGGTGCGGTGGCGTGCGGTGCGTGCGGTGCGGTGCGGGTGCGGTGCGGTGCGGTGCGGTGCGGTGCGGTGCGTGCGGTGCGGAGCGGTGCGGTTTCGGTGCGGTGCGGCGCGGCGCGGCGCGGGCGGCGGCGCGGCGCGGCGCGGTGCGGTCGGTGCGGTCGGTGCGGCGCGCTGCGGTGCGGTGGCGGTTGTTGTTGCTGGCGTGCGGTGCGGGCAGGCGGGCGCGGCGGTGCGGCGCGCGCGGTGCGTCGCGCGGCGGTGCGGCGCGCGGCGGTGGCTGCGCGGCGGGCGGCGCGCGGCGGTGCGGTGCGCGGCGGTGCGTGCGCGGCGTGCCGGGGTGCGCGCGGTGCGGTGCGGTGCGGTGGCGGTGCGGTTGGCGGTGCGGAGCGGTGCGGTGCGGTTGCGGTGCGGTGCGGGCGGGGCGGTGGCGGTGCGGTGCGGTGTGCGGTGCGGCGCGCGCGGCCGGGCGCGGCGCGGCGCCGCGGCTCGGGCGCGCGCACGCGCGGCGCGGCCTGCGGCGCGGCGCGCGCGGCGCGGCGCGCGCGGCGCGGCGCGGCGCGCGCGGCGCCCCCGCCCGCGGCCGTCGGTGCGGCGCGGCGCGCCGGCGCGGGCGGTGCGGTGCCGGTTGCTGTGCCGCGTGCGTGCGAGCGGTGCGGTGCGGTGCGGTGCGGTGCGGTGCGGTGCGTGCGGTGCGGTGCGGTGCGGTGCGGTGCGGTGCGGTGCGGTGCGGTGCGGTGCGGTGCGTGCGTGCGGTGCGGTGGGGTGATGCGTGGTGCGTGCGGTGCGCGCGTGCGGTGCGGTGCGGTGCGGTGGCGGTGCGGTGCGGTGCGTCGAGCGGATTGCGAGTGCGGTGCGGTGGCGGTGCGGTGCGTGCGGTGCGGTGCGGTGCGGTGCGGTGCGTGCGGTGCGGTGCGGTGCGTGCGGTGCCGGTGCGGTGCGGGTGCGGTGGCGGTGCGGTGCGGTGCGGTGCGGTGCGGTGCGGTGCGGGCGGGCGGTGCGTGCGGTGCGGTGCGGTGCGGTCGGAGCGGGTGCGTGCGTGCGTGGCGTGCGGTGCGGTGCGGTGCGGTGCGGTGCGGTGCCGTGCCGTGCCGTGCCGTGCCGTGCCGTGCCGTGCCGTGCCGTGCCGTGCCGTGCCGTGCCGTGCCGTGCCGTGCGGTGCGGTGCGGTGCGGTGCGGTGCGGTGCGGTGCGGTGCGGTGCGGTGCGGTGCGGTGCCGTGCGGTGCCGTGCGGTGCCGTGCGGTGCGTTGCGTTGCGTTGCGTTGCGGTGCGTTGCGGTGCGTTGCGGTGCGTTGCGGTGCGTTGCGGTGCGTTGCGGTGCGTTGCGGTGCGTTGCGGTGCGTTGCGGTGCGTTGCGGTGCGTTGCGTTGCGTTGCGTTGCGTTGCGGTGCGTTGCGGTGCGTTGCGGTGCGTTGCGGTGCGTTGCGGTGCGTTGCGGTGCGTTGCGGTGCGTTGCGGTGCGTTGCGGTGCGTTGCGGTGCGTTGCGTTGCGTTGCGTTGCGTTGCGGTGCGTTGCGGTGCGTTGCGGTGCGTTGCGGTGCGTTGCGGTGTCCTGCCGTGCCGTGCCGTGCCGTGCCGAGCCGTGCCGTGCCGTGCCGTGCCGTGCCGTGGCCGTGCCGTTGCCGCGTGCCGTGCCGTGCCTGTGCCCGTGCCGCCGTGCCGTGCCGTGCCGTGCCGTGCCAGCCGGCGGTGCCTGCGGTGCCTTGCGGTGCGGTGCGGTGCGGTGCGGTGGCGGTGCGGTGCGGTTCGGTGCGGTGCGTGCGGTGCCGGCCGTGCCGTGCCGGGCCGTGCCGGCCGTGCCGTGCCGTGCCGTGCCGTGCCGTGCCGTGTGGGATCACCCAGGGCCGTGCCGGTGCCGTGCCGTGCGTGCCGTGCAGCGGTGTCGTCGGTGTCGTGGAGCGTGCCGTGGTCCGTGCCGTGCGGTGCGGTGCGGTGCGGTGCGGTGCGGTGCGGTGCGTGCGGTGCGGTGCGGTGCGGTGCGGTTGCGGGCGGTGCGGTGCGGTGCGGTGCGTCGGTGGCGGTGCGGTGCGGTGGCGGTGCGGTGCGGATGCGTGCGGTGCGGTGCGGTGCGTGCGGTGCGGTGCGTTGCGGTGCGGTGCGGTGCGGTGCGGTGCGTGCCGGTGCGGTGCGGTGCGTGCGGTGCGTGCGGCGGTGCGGTGCGGTGCGTGCGTGCGGTGCGGTGACGTCGGTGCGGGGCGTGGCGGTGGCGGTGCGGTGCGGTGCGGTGCGGTGCGGTGGCCGTGCGGTGCGGTGCCGTGCGTGCGGTGCGGTGCGGTGGCGGTGCGGTGCGGTGCGGTGCGGTGCGTGCGGTGCGGTGCGGTGCGGTGCGGTGCGGTGCGGTGCGGTGCGGAGCGTGCGGTGCGGTGGCGTGCGTGCGGTGCGGTGCGGTGGGGCGGTGCGGTGCGTGCGGTGGCGGTGCGTGGCGGTGCGGTGCGGTGCGGTGCGGTGCGGTGCGGTGCGGGTGCGGTGCGGTGCGGTGCGGTGCGGTCCGAGTGCGGTGCGGTGCGGGTGCGGTGCGGTGCGTGCGGTGAGGTGCGGTGCGGTGCGGTGCGTGCGGTTGCGGTTCGTGCGGTCGGGGCGGGGGGGCGGGGCGGGGCGGGGCGGGGCGGGCGGGGCGGGGCGGGGCGGGGCGGGCCGGGGCGGGGCGGGGAGGGGCGGGGCCGGGGCGGGCCGGCCGTGCCGGCCGGGCCGCGGCCCGGGCCGGGCCGGGCCGGCCGGGCCGGGCCGGCCGGCCGGGCTCGGGCCGGGCCGGGCCGGGCCGGGCCGGGCCGGGCCCGGGCCGGGCCGGGCCGGGCCGGCCGGGCCGGGCCGGGGCGAGGCGGAGGGGCGCGGGGGAGTGGCGGGCGGGCGTGCGTGCGGGCGGGCGGGCGGGCGTGCGTGCGTGCGTGCGTGCGTGCGTGCGTGCGTGTGTGTGTGTGTGTGTGTGTGTGTGTGTGTGTGTGTTACCTCGACACCCGGCCCCTTTTGGTTCTCGCAGGCCAAGGCCATCCCCTGAACTCCACCGCCGACTTCGAGACGGTCCGAGAGGCCCGAGCGAGGGGCGCGTGTCACTTTTTAAACCCGGGGGTTGATCGGGAAACGAAAGAACACACCAGGGGTTCCAGTCGAAATGGGAGGCAGTTGCCATTACTTTGAGACCAACTTGAACTGCAAGCTTGCGTAACCAACACATCATCCCCCCCCCCCCATCAATAGGGCCACCCCAAAATGTGGCTCAGAGGGTAAATGTCAGAAGTTCCTTTTGGCCAGGACATTTTGCATCCGGAAAGGCCAATATCCACCAGAATCTCATGAACCCCTCCAAATGCCTCTCGCCATCTCGCAAAGGGTTTAGGAAGACTCCTTTCATAGGGCACCCTCAATTTCGAGTGGCGAACCACCACCAGTCACCCGGATATCTTTTTTGCGCGAGATCAAGCAGAAGCTGTGCTACGTGGCCTACGACCCCGGGGCGGAGAAGAAGCTCGTGGGGCGCCGAGGAGAAAGTTTTCGCCACGACGGCCTAGAGAAGTGCTTCCTGGAACATTCCAGACTTGGATAGGGACTGGTCTGTTTTTTTTGAGGGTAGTTACCTCCCAAAGTTGTGAAGTTCCCTCTTGGTTTACCTCTTTAAAAGCACAAAAGACGGGTACCCTTTAAACAAAACAGTGAAATTTTGTGTTTTAGGGCCACTTTCTGTGATGGGAAAGGATGCTTAAAGTGAGAAAGTCAGAAGGATGGCCCGTGTTGGTATCACAGAAAGAGTACTTGAAGCTATTGCCGACAACCATGCACTTGACACTCTTCCTTTGAACCAGGGTGGTGGTGGGGGGGGGGGTTGGTGGTGACTTATCATTCAACCTGATTTGGGTTTTCTTCATACTCATTTGGAGGGTCTAGGTCTGGTCCAGTTCAGCCCAAACCTCCCAGTGGAGACCTTTTTCAACCTTGTTTTCGTTTTATTCTTCCCCACTACAAGAAGGGTGCCCTTTTCTGCAGTTGACATGCACATGTTTGCGAAGCATCACTTTTGGCAAGGTCAACTCCGTTGGGGCGATGCTTTTCTTTTTTTCATGGCCTGTGGCTCCGAGCTCCGGCCATGGTGGACCAGATTCGGAAGTTCCAGGTATCGAGCCACAGGCTGATCCGCAAGTTTGCCGAATGGAAGCACACTCAAGATCACGGGCAATGATACCAACACCCAGTTGCTGCCTTTCTCTAGATACTTTATGTTAAAACCCGTCCCTAGGAGGGAAAAAAACAAGGTAGCAACTGGGGAAAAAAAGAAACAGTTTTTATAGCTGGGGGTGAGATACTTTATGCTAAAAAAGGTCCCTGGGGAAAAAACAAAAACGGTAGCAGCTGGGGATCCAGGTTGCTTCGGTTTCGGCGCGCGGGTTTCGGGCCATTCGCGTCGAAGTTTCGGTGAGCAGAACGCCAAGCGCCGAGGCGCGGGAGACCACGTTGGTGGACAGGCTGTGCTCCCCGGAGCCGGCGCCGGACTGGGAGCATTGGGGCAAGGCCCCAACAAAGCCTTGGGATGTGTTCCATGGTTAAAGATGGTGACATCCAGAAATCAACCCCTTGGGAATTTAGATAAGGGTTCCTAAATGAACTATGATTGGAGTTTTTTTACCATAGCAGTGCCGTGTTTTCAGCAGTGTGCCCACAGCTTGTGTTTGAAACATCCTCTGAGCACCCCTTGGCGCATCTTCTTTTTTTACATGGGGGATTCCAACTTTCTTTGGTTTATTTGAAGGGACACCGCCACAGGAACCGCGCACCAAAGGAGAGTCGTCTCACGAGGTACAGCCTGCCGGACAGCCGCGCCATGCGCATCGGCGCGGAGCGGTTCATGGCCCCGGAAATCCTGCGGCTTTGGCGAAGGGCGGTGTTCCATTTTTTTTCCGGGCTCTGTGTGTGTGTGTGTTTTGCATATTTGCATATTTGCATATTTGCATATTTGCATATTTGCATATTTGCATATTTGTCAATTTGTTCCGCTTTTGGTTTAGTTTTGTCGTGTTTTCTCCTGGCTTCTTGGTCGTGCTTTGCTTCTGTGGTTCGTTTTTTCCTTTTTCTTCCTCCTTTTCTTTTCTTCTTTTTTTTCTCTTCTTTTTATTTTTCCATGTTTGTTGTTTGCGCGGAACCCCCTCCATGGGTTTTGGTGGGTCTTTTTTGGTTCCAGGTATTTCCACGGGTGTCGTCTTTTTTTTTTTGTCTGTTATTTGTTTGTTTCTCGTTGCTGTGTGTTAGTGTATTGCATGCTTTTCTTTGGATGCTTTCTATTTTTGTCCACTGCGTTTCCTTGAGTTTCATTTCGTTTGTTTTGCTCTTTGGTTAATGTTAGACAGACGCAGACAGACAGACACAGGCAGACACGGCTATTTGAAGGGCACCAACCCTTTTTTCAGTTTTAACACAGTTTTAGGGTCAATTCGCCAATAAGGACAAAAAGGAAAGAAGCCGAGCGCTCTGCAGAAGCGAAACCAAAAGCAAGCCAGAAGGGTGTGCCTCAAATGTTTCACCGCTTGCAGCTGGGTACGATCAGTTTGTTTGTTTCTTTTTGCATTTGTTTCCGTATACCAATATGCCAGGTCTTAGGTGTCCCATTTTTTTAATATATTTTTTTGCGCGCCACGGCCAGAAGGGACCATCGGTTTTGGGAGGTTTCAAGCGTGTCTGAGGTTCAAGCCCTCGCTGGCTGGGCACGGGGACGCTGAGGGCCTGGCTGACCTGGCCACTCGTCGCAGGGGAGCGGGGAAACGTCAACATCATGCATACATGCAGGCAGGCCGGCAGAGATGCACAGATACACAGATACACAGACACATAGATACACATATTTACCGATACACAGACACATAGAGAGATACATATATATATATATAGAGATACATAGATAGAAACGTACGTACGTACATACACAGACACACATGCCCACATACAATTTTGTGTGCTCACCCGCGCCTGCAGGGTGGAAGCACTCCGATGCCGATTCGGTTTCGGCTCGCGCACCTCCCAGGTGTTCAACACCATCAGAAAATCGGACATCCACGTGCAGAAGGATCGAACATGAGCCGGGCTGACAGCAGATTGCACCAGTTGGCCCCCCCCCCCATCCCGGGTCAGCAGAGGGGTGTGCCACCAAAAAGGGTTGCTCCTTAAGGCGAGGGTTTACCCTTGATTGGAAATCAGGTTTGACCTCCAAGGGACGCTTCATCCCACCAAGAAGTAAAAGGGGGGGTGCGAAGGCAAACCCTGGCATGAAAGAAGCCATAGACTTTCGAACTCTCTCAAGCCGTGAGGTTGTAAAAAGCGCCAGCCTTCGCCTTTTAATTGACGAGCGGACATGTGGGTGGCTCCTCTTTTGTTTGGATTTGGAGCCCTGCAAGTGGGTGGTGGTTGTCCTTTTGGTTTCCCTTTAAAACCACAAAATTGCAAATTTTTTTGGGGGGGGGAGTCAGGGGGGGTGGCACCATCAAAACAAGACAGACCCGTGTTCATGTAAATCATGGAAGCTGACTGGGTTTTGGAAGACAGTCCTATTGAACAAGGCCTGTCTTGTCGGAAAGAGATGGTCATTCAACAGAAGCCCTGTATGTTTTCTGGGAGCCCAAGAGGCAGGGGGCGCTCCGAACTCACTTCGGACACGGAGACGGCGCTGTATGAGGTCCCCCTTTAAAACCTGTTGGAAAGGTGAGGAGTTTTTTCACTTCGCCAGTTGGACTAGAGACCAATCCGCTCAGGAAATGGTTTTGAATCCAAACCGAAACTGCAGGGCGGCAATTCTTTACCAATCCTTGTGTCTTTTTTTGCATTTTCCCAAGCAGAGGGATCTCAAATGGTCAGTGTCAAAACAAGGCCTCATGTGTATTCGCTCAAAATTGAACATGGGGACCCCCTCTTTGTGTGTACTGGAACGCCACAGACCCATCCCCTCTTCATATCAGCTTCTTGCTTTTTCGGCAGAAGCCCATTGCCATTTGGGATGGACGTTCTGGTCTGGACGCAGCCCCATTCATGGACTTGGTTTCAGGTCTGTTGCAACGGCCCCAATATAACGCCCGAATTTCCAGCCACAACCAGGTTTTGGGAGACAGTGCAACCAGAAGTGGAAGTGGCGCAAAGCGCCGACCTTTCCACTCGTGACGTTTTGGGTGTAAGGTTTGGGCTCAGCTTGGAATCCGCCCAAAATTTGGACGATGGATCGTCCGAAGGGATCGAACACCAGAATGTTGGGGGACCCTTCAGATCTCTTTTCCTTTCCCAAAGCAGGGTCAAGAAACATGCCCTTTGGAGCCTTCACTTGTTCACTTGCTATCAAGACTCTTGATAAAGAAGTACAAAAACTGAGCCACAATCAAAGCCTGGGTAGATGAAGGTTAGTAAGGGACAGTTTTAACTATAAATAGCTGCGAGACCATTTTAGTACCGGGTTTTGATTATGACTCAACTGACCTTTGGGAGGACTACTTCCAGACGATCCTCCTGTCCGGGGGGACCACCATGTTCCCCGGGATGTCCTCCCGCTTGGAGAAGGCCGAAGCCTCATGGGTCCAGCACCAGCTCCCCCCAGTGCCCAGCAAAAAACTTGGGGGGGAGGTGGTTGACACCTGACCCGTTGGAAAGGCCGGGAAAGAGCGACAAAACCAACCCCAAGACCAAGGAAACGAGCAAGGGGTTTCCAGGCACCCTGCAGGGCATTCCATTCTGGTCGTCCAGGTTTGTAAACATTGCTGTCACAATTGTGTATAATGCCCATCGCAACACTCTTGGACCCTTGTGCGGGCTGACTATGGGGCTGGCAGCAGGAGTTTTGACCAGAAGGAGAGATGCACCAGGAGAGTGTCTCATGTCTTTTGGTTCAAGTTGCTTTGTCGCTTTAAAAGCTCGGATCTTGCGCCCAAGTGTGGGTTCGCGCTCCCCGGCGCGACCCTTTGGGACGCGTCCGTTTCCAGCTGAGTGATTCACTTGCGCGGGGTCCCCGACTCAGCGGGCAACCAGGGACTCGAGCAGGGTTAAGAGAAGGCTGGTCTCGCACTTGGAGATGAAATGAGCAACTGAAAATCAGCATCGTAGGATCCTCTCCACAGGGCCGTACCTGGCAAAACCGAGACGGACTGGGACGGGCGGCTTAGGGCAGGGAGAGGACAACTCTCGAGTGGATTTGGACCCGCGATCCAAGTGAGCAAACTCTTCAGCCGTTAAAAGTAAGTCTCAGTGGGTCTGGGTCAGCGGGAACCAGACGTAAAAAGAGGCTAGACTTCGCACTGTTCACCAATTCTCTCGTGGCTTACTGTGACTAATTCCGTGGACCACAACTTGGAGATAAGACACCTCAGAAGCCAAGAAGCACGTAGATGGATTCAATGCCCTCAACGCAAACACTGCGCAGAAATCGCCCACGCCGTGTCTGAGATGTTTCCCCCTTGGCACCTGCTTGCGAGCAAAAGGGTTGGCGAGTGCTGAAGAGTTTGCCTGGTTGACCCCCCCAAGGGTTGGACCAGAGCCAGGGCGCGGCAGGTCAATGGTCGAAACGCCGCCAAGGGACTCCTTTGAATGGGTGGATTGTTTTGGTATCCCTCGAAAACCGCCAACAAGTGGTCCCTAATTTCGATACGGACCCCTTTTCCTTTACGGTTTCCCTTTAGACACCAAGCGAGGCCGACATTGAACCGCGCTGGTTTTTTGGCTTAGGATCTCAAGTCCCTGTACCTGCAGAACGTGCTGGGTGGGGACACGGCGCGCGCCAGCAAGTTCCGGGTGCATGTGGAGGCGACCGGTTTAGTTTCCGAGGGGTCGAGATGGAGGGTTTGAGTGAGCAACACACAGTTCCAGTGGTTGATTTTTGGCCCTGTTCATCCTTGCGGGCTGTCCTTGGTATGTGTTCTTTTGTCTTTGATCGGTTTAGGTTCCATCCATTTTTCAGGGGGATGCCCATAAGTCCTAAAATCGGAGCTCGATCTTCCGCATTTGTTTGCATCGGGCTGTCTGCAAACAAAGGTGTCAACAAGGGAGGTTCATTTGAGGAAGGTCTTGCCAGAGAGGCACTCAAACCTCAAGATAGCTACAGAAAGGTGCCCCTTTTGAGGGGTCTGATTCAGATCCTTCCAAAGTTCGGGAACAGCCGTCATGGGGTCATGGGGTCAGACCCCCCCAAAAAGCGGAAACGGCGGGGGGGGGGGGGGGGGGGGGGGGGGCGGGGAACTCGCTGGCCATAGCGAGAGAGGACCCTCCGCAGCGGCAGCACATGGTCTTCCTGGGCGCCTCCATTATGGCCGAGGCCTACGACCAGCAGGCGCACCTGCAAGACCAGAAGCGAGAAGAAATGCGGGGGGTCGGAGGCCGAAGGAAAAGAAGCGAAGGAAGTCTCCGAAGGGGTTCCCACATCCAGGGATCAAAAACACCTAGATATGAGGGCCTTTGACCCAAAAAGACCTCAGATTATAGGGTCGACAAATGCCCAGATTTGAAGGCCCCAAGAGAATTAAAAGAAGAGAGAGCAAGCATCTTTCTCAGCCCGCGACCGCCGTTTTTCTTCAGCTGCTGTTCTCTTCGTTTGTCCGTTGGTTTCACAAAACAGAGCTGTGTTTGGCACCCGTCCCCAGTTTTTTTTCTTCCTCTTTTGTCCTCGTTGGTTTTCAAAACCAGCTTCTCGCGCACACGTCCCTTGCTGCTGGGTTCACCGGAAGCTGAAACTCGCGACAGGCGGACTCCAAGTTCTGGATCTCCCGGCAGGAGTACCAAGACGTGGGGGCCGGTGAGCCCTGGCACGCTTTGATTTTGGTCGGTTTGGATTGGTTCGGATTTGGGTTTGAACCGCTGGTTTTAGGTTTTAGGTAGAGGGATGGGAAACCACCCCAGAACAGCTCCAAAACTTGGGGTGGATTTGGGCACACGGGTCCGGCTTCCCGAACCAACCAGCTTTCAACACAGGATGTGTGGAGGGTGTCCTTGTTTTGAGTGAACTGAAGGACAACGGTTCCGTTTTGGGGTCCGCCTGCCCAATGGGGGAAAACCAACCAGACTCCGGACGCACCACAAAAAGAACCAAAAGGAGTGTTCGTTTAAAGAGGGGGAGTCGAACATACAAAGGCTCCCATGGACGACGGGTTTGAGGCAAGGAGCTCAAACCAGTCGCATGAATACCACCAAACATGAAGGTTCCCCTCTAAATTGGGACCCCCCCAAATCAACTTCAGCTTCCAAACGGCGCCGGCAGCTCTTGTTCTCCGCGCCAGGTGCGGTGCAGCGATTGATTCCCACGAAGCTGTCGTGAGCCGGAAAAAAAGAAGAAGCAGGGGGCAGGCGGCTGCTCCTAGAAGTGTCGAACAGGTGGCCAAACCGGGTTTCGCCGGACAACGGGATGGGGTTCCTTTGGCTTCCTGGAGGGGTCGCCTTGTCGATTTTGGAGCCCGGGATTGAAGCCGCCCAGCTGATTTTTTTACCAAGCGGTGCCCCCCGGCTTGGCGTTTTTTCCTTCCTGCGGGGGGCTCCAGGCGCCCCATGGTTTTTTTCGCTCCGTTCATTCGTTTCGCATGGTTTTCTTTCAGTGGGGTTAGAACTGGGGGATTTGGGCCACCCCGGCATCTCCACAAAAACAGAAAGGGTGGACATGTAAAATACTCCCCAAGCCATTGCTCAATCCAGATTTTACTCCAGCAAGTTTGCCCAGGAGTCTTCTCTGGGAACCATGTCAGTGCCTGGCATCTCCTTGATTGCTTGATTCCGCGATTTCAGGTTCGTAAGTCATGAGGATTCCATACCAAGCGCGCAATCACGGTCGCGACAAGGGCAAACCACGCCGAAGCAACACACCCAGAGCTCCATGAGAGCTTTCAGATTCCGAAAGTGCACGACCCGACTGGATGCAAGACGGATGCTCTAAGTTTGTCCACATCGTCCGATCCTTCTGTTGGTTGCACTGAGCTTTAGCCGCCATGACTGCGGCCGTGGCTGAGGTTGGCGGTTGGTGGGGGGTTGCATTGACGACTTAAACTCCCAAAACTCTGAAGCAACATTTCTGTGGGTCAAAAATGGGTATCCATTTTGGAACCCTAGTAAATGGAGCCAAGGACTAAAACCTGCGGTCCCCTGGACATAACCCAGCCCTCAACGTGGGCGTTATGTTCGACGTCCGACACGCAACTGGCGAGGAGGCGATCAGCAAATTGGCACAGGAGCAGGGCATTTCCCACGGCGCCGTGGGCAAATCGTAGTGAACATCTCACTGGGCATGGTGTGAACAAATGGCTGTGGGTCAACACCAATGGGGAATGGTACCATTTTGGGGTAGGTGCACCACCAATTTTAGTCTATTTTGCTGTGATTAAAACCACCTTCAAGCTTTGGAAAATGATGGTTTTCCTGCTCAAAACAAGCTTCAGCCTGTTTTTTGCCGGGAATGCAGTTTTGGGTATCAAAAGGGCTGAGAAAAGAAACTCCGCCCCCTTGGCCCAAAACCACTTGTCTAGAAAACGGTTTGGATGTGTTTTTTGTTCATTTCACCTGTTCTTCCCCAACTACTTGAATTTTAGTAATGTTACATAATGTTTGAGTACTCTTCCAAAAACCTACAGGGGTGGATCCACAAGAAACACATGCAAGCCGTTTTCTAGACTGGGGTTTGTGGAAAACCGACCACCGAATCGCCTTTCGCTCGGGAAAAACCCTGGCCATGGTCTTTCCACTTTCTTTGTGCGTGTCTTCAGAACTTTTGGGAAACCAACCAATGCCTCAGAGACAAAACGAGGGGTGCCTGGGCAGTTCCTTTTGGTTTCCCTTTAAACCAGCCCCCACAGTGGTGCCACCCAAAACAGGACGAGCCATTTGGGTTCAACGGTTCCGTGGCTTGCGCCGCTTCGGTGCTCGCACTTCAGGCGGACCCGCCCGGCGCCGAGACATCCATCCGGATCCAGCGATCCGTCGGGCGTGTGTAACAGTGGACCGCGCGAGCCGGGCGGATCAGGAAACTGGTTGGTGCGATAGGGAATGCGCTTTCGGGTTTTGGGAAGGAACCGTTTTGGGGTTCCCTGAAAGGACACCGTAGGGCGATAGGGATGGTTTAAGGGGGTCATTCCCTGATTCCCAAAGTGGCCCCCCCGGACATGTGTCTGGGCAAAATGTTTCACGCATGATGTCATCGGGATCCCGTATTTTAGGTTGGTGACTTACCATTATTTACCACATCTGTGAACCCCGCTTACTCATGGACACCAGCCACCAAAGGGGCCCAAGTGCCAGTGGGCTCATACATCAGTGTATGCAACTAGCCTAGAACACAAAGCCGATGTCAATTAACTCATCTATCACCACCTGCTTCTTGACTCAGGTTCTTTCTGTTAGGGTTGGTGAGTCCATTTTGCGGTTGGCCGCTTTCAAGTGTTTCGTTTGGGGTTGACCGTTAAAGGCGAAAGGCCCCCCTCTGTGCCCGTTCAGTGTAATCCTTTTCCCTCTTTGGAGGGTTCCGCTAAACGTGGTCGTACTCAAAAGGATTCCTTTGTGTACCTTCTGATCGCAGGTTGCACCCGGGAGCGGTTCATTATGATTTCTTCCGGTATCTCAAAGGGCTGTTCTTGCCATGTACCAGCGGGATCCATCATCATCTTTTTTCCCCAACATGACACCCATGGTCCCGGTTCAAGTCAACTAGGATTTGGCCTTAAGGCCAAACCTTTCATGGTCAGACAGGATGTGGTGGTCTGCCGCTGTTCAAAACAGAGAGATCCCTCAGAAACTGTCAAGAACGTTTAACGCAAACAAAGGGGCAACTTTGCAGCTTCATTCGTCAGCTCTCTGTTTTGCCCCTGCTTCCCACTTTCAGCTTCCATGGTTTGCCGGCGGAGGTTAGCTCGGAGCGCTTCCTTGGATTCTTGTGTGCCGCCACCCAATGTGGACCACCTTCCGTTTTTAGCACCTGGCAGGGCTGGAAGACTCGGCCTTTGGATCCCTCCAAAAAATGGGGTTTCCCCACCAAACATCCCGCCCGGTGCCACGTTGAGCCGCGCGTCGAGCCGAGGCTTGGGCCCCGGGAGCGCACGCCGGTCACTATGGCCGTGAGGCCCGGCTTCTGCGGCTGCCGTCACGGGGGTTGGGTGGAGCCCGGCTTTCTCTGAGGTCATGACTTGCTGGCGCGATAGGTAGGGAGAATGAACCCGGGCCTTTGTCCCCGAAAAAGGGAAGCCGCCAGTTGGATGGTTTACAGTGTAATACAGGGGTCATTCCATTTCTCATTCCCGGCCTATTGCTCCGGAGCTGTTTCTGGGGGTTATCAAAGTCACAAACTGTCTGGCGGCTTTTTTTTCCGACTTTGATACCGGTAGAATAACGGGGCCGGTTTCTTGGAGGCGGAACTTCAAAACCTTTTGTTAGAACGCATGGGGATGTTGCGACTGTGTCTTAAATGAGCCAGTTGGAAGGTTCTTGCTGCTTGGTCTTCCAAAGAACCCTTTAAAACTGCTTTGCCTAAGTAGTCAAACAGCGTGTTTGACCGTTCCTTTCGTCTCCAAGCACTTGACCTGTGCAAACCTGCTTCCAGACCGTGAGAGGGGACCCAACGTCTACCTCGTGTCGTCGAAAGGAACGCCTGATTGGCCGAAGCATACACTCAAAGAAGACGGCCTGGTCTTTGGAGGATTACAGGTTGCAATTGGCAGCTGCTCCCCTTTTGTGATACCACATGGGCCATTCCTATGCCAACCTCCTATGCCAACTTTGACTCTCCCGATATAATTAGAACATGAGCCCAAACGCGGCAACTTTCTCTAAAAGGGTTTTGAATCCAGCGAGCTCAGCCATCAGATAGAAAACAGCCAAAGCCTTGAGTTTCCCGAACCGAGTTCCCGCGCAGGAAGAGCCTGAAGAGGACGCACGACCTCTTTGTGGGTAACGAAGAGCTCAAGCGGGTGGAGGACGCCTCTGCTTGAAGCGTGAAAACCGGGTGGGTTGGGGCGGGGAGGGGGAGGGGGGAAACTGCAATGATGCAACTGCTTTGTTCCAGACACGAAGAGTCGCTGTTTGAGGAAGACACAGCGTTGGCGATCGAGCTGGGTTCGTGACGCCCTGGCCCCACCACCTGCCCGAGGTATGGCAAGGGGCAACCCTGAAGGCCTGCCTCAAGCAACTTGCCGTTCAAACGGCCACGATTTGAAGGTAGGATGTCAACCCCTGACTCAAAAAGGAGAAAAAAATCTTTCTTTGGCTATGGCTAGCTGGCAGATTGAGAACTCAAGTTGGAACCCAAGGTTCCCGACTTGTACGGAGGGTTTGCTTGGACACCACGTCGGTGGAAACCTGGAATTCCAACTTGATCTTTTCCAATCGGGCCAAGGGAACCTCTGGCGGCTTCGAGTGTCAGGATCCAAGAGGAACAGAGATGATGGTACGCATGAAGCTCCATGACGAGTGCCCCCGAGACGATGCCGCTGGGCGAGTCTGTTTTTTGGTGGTGCACAAAATGGTGGTTGTCTTTTCGGTCTTCCTTCAAAGCCACCCAAAAATCGCTCCCTTAAAAACAGACACAAACGGGTGTTTCTAAAGAGAGAAGAATCTTCTCGAGCAACAGGGTCTCCGCATTGCAAATCTCTGAAGTTGGGACACATTTGTAATGAGCCCACCTGGGGGTTAAACAAGCTCACGAGTAAGGCTCGCTTGTTGATTCTAGATTTGCCAGTGTCATTTTTGATACTCCGCTTGGAGTTGTTTTGAAGGGACGTTTTTTTTTGCGATTTCCGCATATTTTGCCAGAAGCCAACGTATTCCAAAATCAGCCTGGCCCACTACCCAAATGCGAACATCCCCACTACACAAGATCATCCCCCCATCATCCCCCCCAATCATTAGATGGGTTTGCCTCCAGATGGGTTCCCCCGAAAGCGGCGCCCTGAAAAAGGGTACGACTGAGAAAGACACGCCCCAAACGTTCCGTTTCCGGGGCCGATCCTGTGGTCGCCCGTGCAAAGTCCGACCCCTGCCATTTCGGTCTCAATTTGTGGAAGTCAGACTGCGTAGGGGAACTCCCTTTTGAGAGGGTTGTGAAGGGAAGCCAAAAAGAGCCCCCACGCATTTTGTTGGGGCTCTCGCCTATTATTGAGACGCCCAGATAGCCAAGCTGCCTTTTTTTTCCAGACCCAAATGGAGCAGTGACCTAAAACAGTGGGTACATGGAGCAGGGGCAGCCAAAAATAAGGAACACTAGCCATTTTTGAGTGCTTATATTCCTTTTTTTGGCACACCCATATAGGTTGGGAACTCCACCTATTGCCAGTGAAAACCAGGGCGTGTCGATCTCGTCTTCGAGGGGCTCGGCAGTCTTTGTGACTCTCTTGATTAGGACGTCCCCGATCTGGAGCAGGCTGCCTGTGAGGAGAATAGGCTCATTGGTGCCGGTGTAACTAGGCTGCGGGGAAGCGGATGGTCTCTGCCTGCAGGTGGTGTGGAAGTTCGGCTGTGGTGATCAACGCGAGGGCTTCCGTGGAGAGGCTCTGCGCGTCCTTGATGAAGCGCATGGCGTCCTCAACCGTGGTGAGCGCGAATCCTCTTTTGTTGCAGCCTATGTCGGAGAAGGCGATCTGGGCAACAGGGTTGTCCTCATCGTCGCCAAAGATACCCTCCGGGATGACGAGATGGTTGGGATCAACTTGAAGAGAGAGAGCTCGGCCAGCGTGGCTTTGCCCCTTGAGCTTTTTGCCTTTCGCATTGGGGATGTTGGTGCCGAACTTGGAGTTGGCGCGTTCCGCGATGTGATCTTGGAGTTCGTTGTAGTCGATCCACCTGGAAGCCGGCCGAGAGGCAAGAGCCTTGAGAGCCTGCCAGTTGTTCTTGTCCTTCTGGATGGGTCCAATGCCAAGCTTGGCAATAGCGGTGTCGGCTCTGGATTGGACTGCTGCCTGGGACCTCCGAGGTCAGTGGTGTCATTCTCCGTAGGTCCACCCTGAAGTGGGAGTAGCAAAAGCCAAGTGCCATTGTTTGATGCGCCCGTCGGGGAAGTGGTTCTCATAGGTCAAGGTGCCATCCAAAATGGGCAACTGCGAGAGCTCCGCAGTCCCCATTGCTGGTAGAGGCAAAGATGTACTTGTGCTGGATGTGCGGGGAAGGCCAGCCCATCAACATGATAGTTCTCAGAACGTGATTGTTGAGTGGATGGATCTTTGAAGATGGCCGCTGTCATGTTATCCTCAAGCTCTATTTGTGGTTTATGCCATGGGGATTGGACTCTGGGCTGTTCTGATTTGTGGAGCACTCATAGGCCAGCTCTCGGTGGTGGTGCCTCTAGTGACCTTGGGCCGTGGATCATTGGCCCCTGAATCCCTTGAAGCCTCAGTGGCTCGCGCTGGAAGCTCACCACGAGAGGTTCAGACAGTTGTGCCGTCTGGATTCAGCAGCGTGGGGAGTCCAGGAGCATTTTCAACTGTCGATGATGCTGAGGCAACTCCTGCAAGTTGACAGTATCAATGGAGGCAACTCTTTGGGAGTGGAGCTCATGTTCAGGCGACTTCAGACCATTGAGTACGCCCACTCAGAGAAGGCCAGGGAGAATGAGTCGAGGCTGTCAGGAGGCAAGTTGGCGTTGGAGGAGCAGTATGTTTTCGGATCAGTTGTCCGACATGCCGGAACCCTGATGATTGCGCCTTCGTTGCTGAGCCACGTGAAGGAGGAGACAGAGAAGTAGGTGCTGCTGGCCAAGAATCTCCGCAAGGCCAAGGAGGAAAGGGAGTTGGCCGCCAAGAAAGGCGGGAAGAAGAATGCCAAGAATGAGGAAGGCCCCTGATGAAGGGGCTGATGCTGGAGGGTGGGTCGGCTTCAGCATCGATGCCACAGACCCAATGGATTCAGTCCGATGATCGAAGTGTTCCACGAGAAGTGTTCCCTCTTCCATCGTGTAGCTCGCTGCAGGACTGCAGAAATCCATCTTCGGAGGCCAGTGTTTGCAGAACTGTTCGACGGAGGCTGGAGAGACGGCAGCACGTGAGTCAGATGGTGGAGGAGTGTGTTTGGGGGCTCAATGCATTGTACAGTGGAGAGCCGGTGCAGAAGGCTTTGTCGTCTGCGCCACCTTCAGCCTCACAGCACAGGATTCTCAAGGCGTTGGGCCCTCCTCCGGAGAAGCTCACCGGCCCAGGAGCGTTAGAAGAGCTCCGGGCTTTCGACGGGTACGGCGACGACCAGATGCCGTGCTCTGTTCGACCATATTCACCCCAGCTCCTGTCTTTGCCTTCGTGCGGGAACGAAAGCGTACCGCTCGAGAAATTGATGGGAGAGGAGGGTTGTACACTAGTGGACGAGTTCATTCGTACCCGTCTTCTGCCGGAGAATGAGGCTCGCAGGAATGTCAGGGCGAGTGGCTTGAGGGAAGCGTACAGTGATCCACGTCTTCGAGAGCCTGACACTTACCGGCAGTTCGTGCATAGGTTGCTGGAGGCAGATCTGGTGGAAGTCGTGAAGGAGAAGTGGGCAGAGAAGATAGAGATCTTCTTTGTTGCCAAGAAGGACGGAAGGCTGAGGATGGTTTGTGACTGCAGGTTGTCGAACTGTCATTTCGCAAAACCTGACAAGGTTCGGCTATGCACTGCGGAAGCACTGACCCGGATACAGCTGCCACCGGGGTCGACCCTGCACGTATCTACGGCAGATCTCAAAGATGCCTTCTATCACTTCCAGCTTCCAGCGGGTTTGAGGCGGTTTTTTGGCCTTCGCGGACTCAGGGCTGGAGAGTTGGGGCTGTCTGAGATAAACGGTCACGCAGTGGGTCCCAATGAGGAGGTATTTCCACGTTTGAAGGTGTTGCCCATGGGGTGGTCGCATGCCCTTTTTTGGTGTCAGCGGTTGCATCAAAGGATAGTTGCATCAATAGGGGCTGGTCCTGACAACTGTGTTGAGGACAAGGTTGCAATCCCTGATCCAAGCGTAATGCACCTCGAGTATGTTGACAATTTCGTTTGCTTGGGAACAGATGGACCGGCAGTCGAAGCACTGTCATCCGCCGGTGTCACGGCTCTACGTGAGAAGGGTCTGGTTGTGCACGAAATTGACAGTGTGTCTACAGACAAGGAGCCAGTCAAGGTCTTGGGGTGGCAGTTCAGCGGGACGAAGATCCAGCCGGTGCCACTGCGAGTCTGGCGTGTCCGTTTGGGGATACAAGAGCTCCTCAAGATTGGCAATGTTCCCGGTCGCCAACTGGAAAAGGTCGTTGGACATGCGGCTTTCATTTGTTTGGGGAGGCGGGAGGGCTTGTCAATTTTTGGGGAGACATATACCTTCATCAAGAGGCACTATCAACACCGACACCGGTTGTGGTCACCTGTCCGTCGAGAGCTTCAGATATTTTGCTGGATTTTACCTTTAATTTGGCGGGATTTATCAGCAGACTGGAGCACGGATGTCACTGCAGTTGATGCATCAAATTGGGGTTTGGGAGCTACAGTTGTGACCTTTGACCAGCAGGAAGTTAAAACCCTTGGACAGTTTTCGGAGCGCTGGAGATTTGAATCAGACAATTTTTCCAGACCTCGGGTGACGGCTTTTGGTATTGGTGTTTCAGATGACACTGACGAGGCCACAGCAGTCCAATGGGCCGCCAACGCAGAGGGCATCAGCCACAATCAGCAGGTGTCCCCCTTAGACTTTGGGCAGGGGCGGAAGGATGAAAGTTTCTTCAAGCCAGTCCCCCTCAGTGTCGTTGATCGTCATTGGCGGGTTGTTGGAAGATACAAGTGGAAACGTCAAGAAGGGATGCCAGTGTTGGAAGCCAGATCCACCCTTTTTGCATTAAAGCATTCCTTGAGGAGGTCAGATAACATCAGCAAGAGGCTTTTGGTTTTATCCGACAGCATGACAGCCATATGCGCAATTGACAAGGGTAGAGGGCGCACAAGAGGTCTCAGGAGGGTTACTCAACAGATTGGCGCACTTTTGCTTGCCAGTGGTTGTGTGTTGGGCCTCCGGTGGTTCAGAAATGAATCCTGCAGACGGTCCTTCAAGAGGGTCCCTTTTTCCTGCTCGGCCCCACCTACCTGTTGTTCATGGTCATTCATCGGCAGATTCCAATGCCTCAGCTGGCCCCCGATCACCGGAAGAGGGAAGCAAAGAAGGTGAGGAAGAAGAAGGAAGCGCCCGGCCAGCAGCCTGCCTTGAATCTTGAGAAGCAGGCCAAAAGACAACAACAGCTGGAGCAAGTTGGCAGTCTCGCGAACGCCTCAGTGGGTCCAGTGGCTCTGAGTCGGTATCAGGCAATGAGGGAGAGGCTGCAGACGAGCGCCGGTCAAACGATCAATGCTCGAGTCTCTGCAAAGCGGATGGAGCAGATGCTGTGCAATTGCCTGCACGAGATGTTTCTGGAGGGCGAAGGGTTCAGTTCAGCCCAGTACATGGTGGCAGCCGCATTGTTTTTCTGCCCCCACCTTCGGTCGCCTCGTCAGATGATGCTGCCTATGACCAAACAGTGCTTGCAGGGATGGAGAAAACTAGACCCACCTTTGTCCCGGCTGCCGCTCCCACACGAGGTCGTGTGTCTGATGGCCGAGCACTCAATCAAGAAGAGCAAGATCGAGGAAGGACTCATGATGCTTTTGGCCATGGAGGCCTATCTTCGGCCGGGGGAGCTCAACAAGATCAGAGTGGGCGATGTGGTGCCGCCGGTAGCCGGCAGCAAGAAGCCGCAGTGGTCCCTGGTCCTTCACCCGACCGAGGAGGGTCAGATGTCCAAAGCTCAGGAGTTCGACGAGACCATCATCTTCGATCTAGACGAGCAGCCTGCCCTTCTGGAAGCCATTTACCGTGTCATGCGGCTGGCGTTCAGGAATCCTCAGGAGAAGGTATTCAGTGTGAAGTTCGAACAGGTCATGCGAAGGATGGAAGAGGCATGCCAGGCTCACAACATGACATGTCTGGGCCCGCCACATGCGTATCGGCTTCGACATGCAGGGGCCTCCCAGGATTTTCTGCTAAAAGCACGCAACATGGCGGACATACAGCAGCGAGGAAGATGGAAAGCGCCGTCCTCAACCCGAAGATACCAAAAAGGGGGTCGCTTGCAACAGATGCTGCATCAACTGCCCAAGGCCGCACGAGATGCGGCGTTAAGGGCAAGCCAGCGTCGCGTGGCCTTGCTCCGCAGCCTGCGCTGAGCAGGCAGCCGGGCACCTCGCCGGTCTTCATCGAGATTTTTTCTGGGTGTGGGAATTTGGCGAAAAGTGTTAGCAGACTCACCAACTGGGTGGTGCTGATTTGGGACATCACACTTGGCTCTGAATACGACCTGCGATCCATTAGCAAGCGTCGCTTGATTGGAGAGTGGGTTCGATGCGGCTGGGTGGTTGGTTTTCATCTTGGTACACCTTGCGACAGTTTCACCAGAGCACGAGATGTGCCGCCGGGACCTCCCCCTTTGCGGAGTGACACTTGCCCACTTGGTTTGAGCGGTTTAAGACCTTCTGATCAGGTGAAGGTGATTACAGGGAATTCATGGATGCGTTTTTCTGCATGGATATTGCGGCTGGCTTTGCAGTTCAATGTTTTTGCAACCATGGAGAACCCTCAACGATCACGGATATGGTTATGTCCGCCGATGTTGGCTTTGCTCAGAAGACCCTCAGTTTGCACGTATGTCACTCACTACTGTTTCTGGGGAAAGCCCTTCAAAAAGGCTACAAAGTTTTTGGCTGTCAACTTAGTGCTGAGCCGCCTGGACAATGCTTTCTGCCACGCTTCAAAGAGAGGTCTTTGTCGATTTACAGGGGCTCCTCACCTTCGGTTGTGCGGTCAAGACGAGCAAGGACAGTGGCTCACAAGAATCGCCCAGCCATATCCTGTCAAAATGTGCAACGCAATAGCAAAGTGCTTCAACGATGCAGAAGTACACCGAATAGCAGACCGATTTCAATCCAAATTGGCCTAAACCGGCTTCGCCAGAAGGCGTGGCAACTATGGGCCATCTTCCAACGGCTACAGATTGGTGACGCAAACATGGGTTGACAGTTGGATTTTGTTCGTGGCTTTGTCATGGACTTTCAGCTGACGATCTAAAGCAGTTGTCGAGTCACCTTTCTGGCCTAGCGGAAAAAGTGAGTGGAACGGCATGATAGTTCTCAGAACGTGATTGTTGAGTGGATGGATCTTTGAAGATGGCCGCTGTCATGTTATCCTCAAGCTCTCCACACCCAGACCCGCCCTGGAGCTCTTCGGGGTTGACAGTTGGATTTTGTTCGTGGCTTTGTCATGGACTTTCAGCTGACGATCTAAAGCAGTTGTCGAGTCACCTTTGTGGCCTAGCGGAAAAAGTGAGTGGAACGGTGCGTACAAATGTCAAAGGCGAGGTCTTGTGCAGCTTGTTGGTTGGGAGTAGCAGGAACATCCCAGCAGATGGCCTGGGTGTAGTCTTCCAAAGGCTAAAGAGTAAGGAGCGTCTAGTGGTTGTTGTACGGGAAGATGATGACGACCCGGTCGGTCAACTGCAGCTCATTGGGCAGAGTTCGCGTTGTTGCTTGGAGGAGCTCATGTGCTTGGGCCGGGGTGATCACCCCCCACGGGCGTGGGTCGATGACGCAGTGTAGTTGAGGTTTTCATGGAGGTTGTGGAGGACTGCCGTTTCATCCCGGGTGAGTCCTGCGGTTTCAGGGCCAGCCGAGGGCGCTTGTCCGTAGTCACGGAAAGGCAATGGCTTGCCTTTTCCTGTTGATTTGGCAGTGCAGCCGGTCTGTGGCACTGGCGATGAGCTCCTGGTCGGATTGGATGTGGCCCGACGGGTGAACATGTACTGCAGCTCCGAGGGAGACCAGGGCGTCCGGCTCTCCCTCCTCCTTGAGTGTCAAGGTGCGCAAGAAGCAGGCGATCCCGGAGGAGCTTGTGTTGGTATTCATGGACGTAGCCAAGAGCTGAGCGGCCTGGGCGCTTCGCGTAGATCTGGACGATCCAGTTGACCACATACGCGAAGACCCACGATTTGGCCGACCAGGCAGAGTGCGTGACGTGCTGGGTGAGGTAGCGGGGCCGAAGGCATCCACGTGTTCCGGATCGACATCCGCATGGGCAAGTCTGCGGAGCTGCCAGGTTGAGATGCCGAAGTGCCGTAATTGGGGTGCCGTACTCATCTTCGTCTGGCGAAATTGGCTATTCCTGGATGACAGAGCGTTCGGGAAGGGGTTGCTCAAAAAACAGGTCGTTTTTGGGGCATGATGCGCCACCACCTCTTCCGACGACTGGCCCATTGGTCCTGAAAGTCCAGGATGATGGCGTGGATCTGCCAATTGCGCCCATGGCCCATGGGCATATTCCTGAAGAAGCAGCATGACATCTGGGTGCTCCTTGACGTTGTGGACGCATTGCAGGATGAGGCCAACCGATTGGAGTAGCCATGAGGCCTTCAGGATTGACCGGAGAGTGTTTCCCCTTGTGTCTTGCAGCCCTCGTTGGTCTCCCTGCGCCCTGCAGGGTTGACAGGGGAAGCCAGCAGAGACTAGGCATGGCCGTGCATTTGCGGCCACGTGGAACTGCAGGAGTGCCTCCTAGTCTTCAATGTTGGCCTGGATGGTGTAGTGTCCTTGTAGATGAAGAGCAGCACAGGCTAGGGCACTGTGGTCGAGGCAGGCCACCGTCTTGATCCCGACGAAGTTGGCACAAGCCGCCAATGCCGGCGTAAAGTTCTTTGAGCTGGAAGAAGTCCCCGAAGGTGGGCTTGAAGTGGCCAGCCCATCCCGATCGTTCATCGAGTAGAAGCCGAGGTTGGGGTACTACAGCAGTGAGCTCCGCATTGTAGAGCGTGACCAGCCCAGTCTCCTCGATGGAGGGGATCACCACGAAGTGCTGCTGTGGGTTGATGCCCTCCATCAGCGTGCCCCGAGATCGGGGGAGGGGTGCACCCAGAGACGTGGCTCTCATCTCCCGAGACTCTGCTGTCAACCGGCCCTACCGCCGGGAGGTGCTCGGGCCAGGGCTCATGGACAACACATAAACAATAAATAAATAAGCCAAATGAAACAACATTAAAACACATAAACAAAGTTTTCGGACCGTCGTGGTACTTGCCCTTGCAGCTTTTCAGTGGGAAATGCATGATACCAACAGGAACTTGTGGGTATCAAAGGTGGTTCTCAGGTTCCGCAGCCATAAGAATGACGCCACTCTAGTCTTGAATGGCCTTCCAACTCCCTTCTGAAGGTTCTGCGCTGGATGGACTATGCGAGGGGATACGGTGTATATTTGGCTAACCCGGGGGTTTGTCTTCCTTAGGAGACCCGAATCAAGTCAATTGTTCCCTAGTTTGATGGGCGGGTGAGGGAAACAACACCAGCCAAACATTTGACCAGATCATTCGGGTCTCTGTGCTCTCCTTTTTCTGAATCCGCTGGGTTTTGTCAGCAACCCACAGGCGACTCGTGAGTGATACAGCACAGCACGTCGGTGGATCCACCGATCACACAGGTACGAGCACGTGCGGGACGTGCCGGAGCAGGTGAATGATGAGAACGCGGCGCCGGAGCCTTGAGGGCGAGGGCGAGGGCTCCGTCACGGATGGAGCCGGTTGGCCCCTTGGTTGTGCTGAAGCAATTATGCATGTTCAGAGATGGAGGTTCGTCAACAGCGGGCTGGGGAAGCGAGTTTTGAGAGCCTGTTTTCTGTGACTGGCCAAGTTGGAATCTCTTTCAAAGTGATCAAGCACTCATGGTTTGGATGGGCATTCCACTTTGACGTCACAGAAGGGGGCCAATTTTCCACAACCATGCTCGACCATGTTGCGCATGCTGTTGCATTTGGACCCGTGTCGGGCCCCATCAACAGTCCCCTTTGGCAGGGTCAAATTGGTGGTGTTGATCTCAGCTGACGTAAAAAGTAGACTTCTCCTCTCCATAAGGTACCACCGTTGGAGCCAGCTCCTTTTCCGCTTCCCTTTTCCAAGCCCCACGGAAAAGGAGTTCTGCGAATCCTGGCGATTTTTGTTTCTTCCTTTGGGCCCAAAGGGCGCAGAAAAAACGGAGAGATTGGGACCGAGGGTGCCCTTCTTGCGGGCAGCCATCAGCGACGACGCCACCAAAGAGGCAGACATGTCGTTTCAGGGCTCAGGGGTGTTGGTTTTTGTTTGTGTGTTTGATTGTTTGTTTGTTTTCTCTTTTGCTTTTCCTGGATGAGTTCAACATTATCTTTTGGATCCTGCGATCCGTTTGCTTGGGCGATGCGAAGGGCGGAAGATAAACACGTGGCTTGCTGACATAGGTCTTTGGTTCGACCAACCCTTTGGCTTCATGTTCAAGCCGGCAACAGGGCCCCCTTTTCAGTGGGGGAGGAGACGGTGCATGCATTCTGCAATCATACCTCGGGGGTGGGGGGGCTTTCTATACGCTGCGATACGCCCATTATCAGGAAACGGAATTCCGCCTGATACACATCGACCAGGGCTGAACAGTTTGCCAAGCGGCGGCCCTCACGCCTTGCCAAGAAACACGGTGTTGGCGGGCCATGTTGTTTGTCATGCCTTTATGCACATATAATGAACGTGAAACAGCTTCTCTCGTGAGTCCTCACATGCAACACGGACCTGATTCTCAGTCAAAACAGCTCCTCGTAGTGGACGTCCTTCAGAAAAGCACGTGGAGATTTCTATTGGGGAAAGTGCCCCCCAAAGGTCAAACGCATCCATTGCAACATGGAGCAAGCATATTTCTGAAAACATGGAGCAGGGTCGTTTCAGCCACCCTTGGGTTCTGCCAGGGGTTTGATAAATTTGTTCCCATTCTGGAGGCCGGCTATTCTCAAACGAATATCAGGGGCCTTGATTTGGTATCGGACGCCTTTGCGGGGTGTCGACGGCCCTCCCTGCATAGCAGCCGACCCTGTTGTAGGGTGTCGTTTTTGGGTTTCGGGCGTTCCCCTGTCGGCTTCTGTGGTGGGTTACTCCTGTTATCCCAACCGTTTTTGTTTGTGTGTGTGTGTGTGTGTTTTGTTTTGGAGGCGTTTGGTCTATTTCCACATTTATCCCTCTTCGGGGGCCGGGTTGAAGGCGAAAGATACCCTTCAAATACGCAAGCCATCTCTTGGAAAACACCCTCAAACTGGGGGACACCCAAAATGGCTACCCAGCATCAAAAACAAAGCACGCCAAAATTCTTCAAAGGGATCAGTCATGCCAGCTCCCTGAACTTCCAAGAGGAGAGGTCGGCTTGTGGGCCGACCCCGGAGTTCCTCCAAAAAAGACAACTCTGCTCCTCTTTCTTTGTTGTTTCTTGGTCATGTCCCAAAAGACGGATCCGTATTCCCACCTGAAAGCCTCAAGCTCGAAGCCAGGTGAATTGGAAAACCACCCACGGCTTGTGTGGGCATGGCACCCCATGTTCTGAGCAAGCGCCCTTCCGATGACTCGCAGGCCTTGCCATCAGCGATCACGCAGATGTTGACGGCGGGAATTGGGGGGGGCGGGGGTTAGTTCGGATTGGTTGGGGGCTGGCTTTTACCAAGCAATTGATTCTAGAGTAATGTGCGGCAGTCATTTGGGCCCTCATACTACCCTCGCAAAAGGGAGTTCCCTTACCCATTCAGGACAATTTTCAACCAATACGCACCTTGCCCTTGACCAGTTTGTGGTTTCGAGTGGTGATTTGGTGATGAAATCAGATGAGAAGACACCCCATACCTGCTAAGCAACCGATCCATCATGGTCCCCCAAGCTTCTCCCAGCCTTATTTTAGCAGGGCGGACCACAGCAGAGACGATCGACGCGCTAGAACGCTGGAATTGGGGGGGGTGTCCCAGCTCTCCCCACTGGCGAGTTTCCTTACCTGTACAACTAGCTGACCATCAAGTATTGAGATGACGTTTTGCTTTGGGTCTGGGCACTTCCATATTGGTGGAGGGTAGTGACCAAAAATATGGACCCCCCCCCCCCCCCTGCAAAACGATGAATTTGAGAGAAATCTCCAGCCTATGACTAAAGATGGCTTCCTGCACTAAAGCATTGTCGATGGGCTTCCCACTTCAATGGGACCCCCCCCTAGTCATCAACCAGGGGCTTTGCAATCCTGGGGTGGTCATATAGGTTTGTCTCTGAACAACCTCAAAACGCTGGCTGGTTTCCCCTTTGGTTTTCCTTTGTTGGACAACTCCCAAAAAGGGTACCATCTCCAAGAAAAAGGGCACATCCAAGGAGTTTGCCAAAAGTGTAGGCCCTTTTTGCACCTCCGCCGCCCTGCGCCTTTTAAAGGGGATACCAAGGGCCCCTACTTTGGACAACGCCCCCCATGTGGTACCGCGGGGAGCCGTTCCTTCGGATTTTCTTCGCCAGGACGGCGAGCACGGGCAGAAGCCCGGCCCGGCGGTTGGGCCAGTGCCGCCGCCCGGATTTTCGTTTTCCGGCGGAAAGTCGCCGTGAGTGCGCCGAGTTGTGTGCGCGGTGTGTCTTTTGAGGGTAGAATTTTTGGGTTGGTTTAGAGGGAATACCAAGAGGAACACCACCTTTTTGTGGGTTCCCCTAAAACCAGACAACCCCGTGTGTGTGTGGGTGTGTGTGTGTGGTTTTGGGTGGTTGTAACCAGCGGTTACTGCCACCGTACCCCGGCTTTGTTTTGACAGCATGATGTCAACCGCCATTTTGTTGGAAGCCTGGTTTTAACAGATATACCCTGATCAAAGCAGGTTTTCGGCAGGTGTCTTCAACATCTGAGCGAAGGCCCAAAAAGTCGAGTCGTGCTTTCAGAGCAAACATCTCAGGTAGAGCGACTTGGACCCCGAGGTATCGGATCTTTGAGGCTTCCCTCTCTTTGAGGTTGATCCGCTTTTGGCATCCACAAGCACCAGCTGATTTCCTGAGCAAGCCCTGCCCCGGGCCATGGACACACCACTTAGGCTTCGGCTTCGAAGCCTTGGAACATGACAAAGGGGGAGTCCTGCAGACAAAAGATGAAATGGCCACTGTTTCACACAATCTTTGCTTGCCTTATCGGCCTTTTGCGTAGTGTCAGCGAGTCTTGATTTTTTCCCCTTTTTCTGGGGGAGCCTAAAATGAATTGATTCCACAAGACAGGCGACCCACCTGTTACTAGCATGGTCCTGCGAATTGATCCAAAGGTTTAGCGCACCATGTTCTTGTCCGTATCCAGGGGCAGTTTTTCTACTTTACAAGGACGCTGTTGCCATTTAAGCTCGGATTTCACCTCTCATCCAATCACATGGAACCTGACCCGGAAATCCAGGAAGACAATTTCTTCTCAGTGGATCAATGCATGCTGGTGGACGGGAGGGTACCAAAGCAGTGATTCCAATTTTGCATGCTTGACTTGGGGAACCAGGGCAAAGAAGGCTCAAACAACGCACAGGTGCAAGTTAACGACCGCAAGCTTGTTCATTTTTTTTCGTGTACCAGCTTTTGACTATCGGAGTTGTAGTCAGCAGCTGGACTTCTGGACTTCAACAAGTTCCTCCAATCTGCGATTTGGAGAGTGCCTTTTGCGAATGTGCATTTTGGGAGCCGACCGTTTCGTTTGTTTGGTTGGTTTGGTGTGGTTTCTTTCTTCCCATTTTCATCTTGGTTGGTTTGGTTGGCGTCTGTTTCATGTTTGTTTGGCGTCTGATCTATCTTCCATTTTGATTTGATTGGTTTGGTTTCGTTTTCATTTGTGGTTTGTTCGTTTGTTTGCTTGGTTTGTTTGGTTTGTTCATGCGTTTGTTTGGTTTGGTTTTGGTTTGTTCCCATTTTCTTGTGCGCCCATGCTTGCTTGCTTTTGGATTTGACAAACGGTTTGGTTGGTTTTTGCGTTCGTCTGAGTTGTTTTGGTTTGTTCCCATTTTCACGGGTTTCCATGTTGGGCTTGTTTTTGCTTGTTTTGGTTTGCTTGATTTGTTTGGTGTTGGTTTGTTGGTTGGGCGTCGAGTCATCTCCCCTTCCCTTGGCCCTTCCCCGCCCCGCCAGGTGGTGCCGCTGGCGGCGCCCAAGGCGCCGGCGGACCCCTCCACGCAGATCCAGGTGCGGGGAGTCGCGTCCGCGCGAATGCGCCGTGGGGGCGGCAGTTGGGCTTAACAATCGGACCGAACGGGAGGTGTTGCCATTAAAAAAGCGAGAAACAACTGCAGGTTTTTGATGAGGGGTCTCTGAAAAGAGGCTTTCGCCATGAAAAAGAAGAAGAAGAAAAAGCCGCAGGTTTGAATGAGAGGCTCTGAAAGCAGGCTGTGGCCATCAAACAAAAACGTGGGTTTTTGATGAGAGGCTCTGAAAAAGAGGCTTCCCCTGACAAAAGAGGGCTGCTTTCTTGGGCCGCTTCAAAGGGTTCCAAAAAGGAAGTTGTGAAGCACTCGTTTCGTTCAAGAATGTGGGGGGAGCTTCGTTTCTAATTTTTCTTTTCTTGGGTAGTGTTTTGTCGGGTGATTTCGGGTCGAGGGGATGGCTTGCGCCTGCGCAGCAAGTTGTATGCGCATTGCCCTGCGCCGCGCTATGTTTGTCTGTGTGATTTTGAAAGTCAGGGGCCCCAGAGGCGAATGCAACACTCACAGCCTGACAGGCATCCAGTGCTCCGAATGAGGTTCGGTCGTAACTTACCGTCGATTTTGATGAAGCAGGTGGTCGAAATATTTGGGGGGACACGAGCCACGAAATGAAATTTCAGCCACAAAACCAGTCGGAGGCCTGTTAGCTCATGTGATTTCCTCTTCAGGCCTTGAGAAGGATCAAGCCAAACCACAGAGACCTTGCTCATGATGCACATCCTTCACCAGCGGTTCCTGTATTTCCGGCTGAGGATTTATTGCAACTATCTTGCTGGGGGTTTAGGCAGATGTCTTCCTCAGCCACTCAGCTTTTGCCGGTTCTCAGCAGAATGACGCCAACATCATCATCCTTTGCGGTTTCCGGAAAGGGAATCTCAAGGTTCATTTCCAAACCCCTGTTTACCAGGGTGCTTTTATTCAGGATACCCGTTTTGGATTGGAAACCAAAGGGAAACAAAAGGCAAAACAACGCCACTTTTGCGGATCTCATTTTTTTCCCCCCAAGGAAACCGTGTCGTGTTTCTTTTTCCCCAGAAAAGGACGGCAGAAGACGCCGCCGTTGCGTCGGGTCGCGGCCCATGTCTGTCCGAAGCGCCCGGGCGACAAAAACCCCGCGCGCGGACACGCGCCCGACGCCGGGGCGCGCGCCAGGTGCGGCCGCTCCGGGAGCGCCCGGACGTGCCGAAGCCGATTTGGCACCCCCCCTGGAAGCTGATGCGGGTCACGCCCGGGGCCTCGAGAAAAAGAAGCTGGAAGAAGGGCGAGGGTCTCGCGGCCGGCGCCGGGGGTCGAGTTCCTTTGCCTTTTTTTTTAGTGCTCACTCGATTTTGGTGTTTCTTCTCTTTTCAGGCTCACTGAGCTGAATGTGGGCGGCTCATCTTTTTTTCATAATACCCTTTTTGGGGTTGGCAAAAAGGGAAACCAAAGGGACACCGCTAGTTTTTTGTTTGGGGGGGTCCCCTAAAGAAAGACACGCCCATACGGCTCAGAATCACGGATCTGGGTTTTGGTTGGAGGGCAAGAGGTGAGGCAACGAGTGCCAAATCCAACTGCCGGGGGTTCCAAAAGGGCTTCAAACTCTATTTCCCAGAGTCATTCACATCCCTTCTTGGTCGCGCCGCTCAATGTGGGGAACCACGTCTACGGAGAAGGAAGACGTTGGCCATGTCGGGCTCAACGAACCCACGGCCATCTTTGGCGCGGCTTATTTGAGGCTATCGAAAGGCAACCAGAGTGGTTTTTATGGTATGCTGCAATTAGGATATGTGGTTTACATGCAGGGTGGAAGGAACTAAAGGGCTTCTCCCCTACAAGGTTCTTATCTCTGCAACGGTCAATATTCACCAGCATGTTCCGTGGTCTGACATGGGCTACTCTGACATCTGACATGCTTCAGGTTTTTCGCATCCATCCGAGTCATGAAGCGAACCAGTTGAACGACGGTCTTGAGATCGGCACGCTAAAATCAGAGCGCGAGCGTGCTTCGGTAACGGCCTGATTCTCCTCAGGAGCTCCAAGCGGGTTCCATGTGACATGTCGAGTAATTCGCCTTCCGCAGGGCCAAGCTTCGGGATGGGATGGATTCGAAGGGTTGGCCTAATTCCCCTTCTCGAATGGGAACATGAGTTGACAATGGGTACAGCTAACAAATGCTCTATTCCCTCTTTCCAACATATTTCTTTCCTGTAGTTGGCAGCAATCAATTGGCATATGCATTGGGTGCAGTTGCCTCAATGCACTGTTCCTCAAAAGCAGCGTTTTCCAACGCGGATGATGGAAGATCGGATTATCCCACCCTCCATTCTTGAAGCCCGCCAGCTGTATTGATGGCGGTCGCCATCATTCCCAGGTCCTAAAAGCAAGTGAGCACACCAGTCAGTATTGCAACTTGTTGTCTATGGCATGAAGCAAGGAAATGCGGTTCATCCAATGCTTGGAGGTGTCCTGAAATTGGATCTTGTGCACGTGGACCTTTCACCGTGTGCCCTTTTGGACACTGACTGTTTCCCAGCTCGTATCGAATTATCCACTTGCACGGGGGGCGGGTTCACCCCGGCGCGACGGCAGCCCCTGGCTGAGGTCTGGTCACGAGGGCTGGGTGCGGACAGTAGCCTGTGACCCCACGAACGAGTGGCGCGCAGCCCAGGGAGCGAAGGGGCGCAAGCAAAGGACCTCCAAAAACGGGCCAAGAAGGGACCCCCCACCCCCCCGCCCGCCCAAAAAAAGAGAGGGGGATATAGCTAAAAACAATAGCAGAAGTGATGTGGACCCGCAAACATGGACAAAGGGCCTGGTGGTTGTGGGGTTTTGATACATTGACCCTGGCTTAAAGACCACCTGGTCCTTTGGGGCAACCCCTTCTCGGATGCATCTGGCTCATTGGTCACGGATTTATGTGGCTTCTTTCACGTGTGGTTCAGTGTCTCCCTTGGGTTTCCCTTTGGGTTTCCCTTGGGTTTCCCCTTGGGAACACCGTTTACCAGAAGGCTTCAGCTCAGAGTGTCAAGGATCACAGCTTTCGGAAGTCGAGAACGGCAGTGTCAACTGGAGCACACGGAAGAAAAGCAATTCCCACGAATCTGCTTGGAAGTGTCCGAAAAAAGGAGGGTTGAAGCCAACTTATCCCCCCCCCCCCCCTCCCCAAACTCCGGGTATTTGGAGATGACGGGGCTAGTTTGTAGTTGGGCCTGGGGCTCGATGGCAAGCGGGATGAATGAAACGAGGAACGGACGCTTACGCTGTCGATTATGCTATCGTTTTGTGAGGCTGGCCTTTGCATGTGTTTTTTTGAGCATTGCTGGTTTCCCTTTGCTTTTGCTTGAGGAGGTCCATAATTTTAGGACCCCATCAACGGGGCACTGCTGAGCCCTTCTGGATTGAGGGAAATCAACGGGGTTTTGGAATAAAAACACAACATGGGGTCCCGCAGTTGGGACCCCTTTTGAACAGTGAATGGGAAGCCAAGAGAAATTGTTTAGCGGTCCCCTGTCTTAGGATGCATCTGCCTATTTCAAGAAGGTGCTGAATCTAGCCACAAAGGAGGTTGCGACCCAAGCAAGGATAGGATATTTGTCAAAACAGCACGGGCCTCTTTGTGATTAGTGCGTATGTCACCAGTTTTCCATTTGTTCGACACGTATGTCTGCCCCAGGCTGTTCAAAATAGTGAGTGATTGGGCGTCAAAACGAAACAGGATATTTGAGCTTGGTGGTTTCTCTTCAAAAGAACCTCAAAAAGGCAACAGTTCCCACTCAGCAACAAAGCACCCCATGGGTCCTGGCGCTCAATGAACATTTGGAGGGTTCCCCGACTGCCACGACCCGACAAAGGCGCGAATGGAGTGAAACTTGGAAGGTGTACCTCCAAGTTTCGTTGCCCCTCAAAAAAGCCCAAGCCGATTTCGATCCCCACCCCACCCCCCCACCAATTCACCAAATGGGTGGTTTCCTCTCAGTTGTCTCAGAACCTCCGAAGAGTTTTTAAAAGGGAAGCAGTCCCCCCCAACAAAAACAGCTCCCGTTTCCGACCCGTCCGAGGTTTGCCTCCTCCGGCAACGACCGCCTGATCAAGATTTGGGACCTGGCCAGCGGTACGCGTGACTGCCCGGATGGGGCCTTTTCGGACGGAATGACATCACTTGGCATTAAGAGGTTCCGGCAAGGTTCCGAAACTCAAAATATGAGGGTGCCTCAAAATGAAGATCTCCCCCCCCCCCCCAACAAAAAGGAAAACACAAGAACACAAGTAATGTGTGGTTTTCCTTTGGCTTCCCGTTGAAACCCAGAAAGGGTGCCAACCCAAGAACAGAACCACATCCAGATGAGGTTCCGTAGTCTATAACCAGTTTGGGAGTTTGGGAGTTTGGGAGTTTGGGAGTTTGGGAGTTTGGGAGTTTGGGTGAAACCCAAAAATGTATTTTTTTTCCCCCACAGAAACCAGGGGGAGTCGTCAGATGTTTCCCCACCTGTCCGGAGCCGCTTTCTTCTTGGCTCACCTGCGGTTGAGGGTCGGTGGAGGGCCGAGGAGTGCGAACCGTTCCAAAAACCCGAAAAATCGGCTCGCTCCGAAATGGGGGCGGCGTTTTGGGATGGTTTCTAAGATGCCCGAGCAAAAGTCTGGCTGCTTTTTGGAGGGTGTCTGGTTTGGAGTATTTGTTTAAAGGAATTTGAAAGGAAACCGCCCATCTTTCAGTTCTTCGGGCAAATTTGGAAGCAGGGGCAAGCATTCTTCCCGACACAGAACCTGCGCAGACTACCTGGAAGATCGATTTCCTGAGGGAGTGTGTTTTAGGGACCGCCAGGCACAGGTTACATGGTGGGGGTAGGAGTTTCAGTGTAAAGCCGTTTTCGGGGGGGCTCTTTTTTTTTTGGGACTAGCAAGCCGAGCGGCTCGGCTTATAGCCATTGGAGCCAAAGCCCAAACCTGTGCGGCAGCATCCGCATCGCGAGGTCGTCCGCGACGCAGTCCAGCGCGGCAGATTGCCCGAACCAGCGGCAGGGTTGGAGGTGGCTCCACCCCCTCCGCCTCCTCTACGGATCAGCTTTCCCGCTGCTGGCAACAGCCTGCCGCGCTTGCGAGCGCACCGCGGCAGTGAAGGCTGACTACCTCCCGCGTGTCCCTGGGCCGCCATGAGGCGGTGCTAAAGGTCTGCAAATGTGGACTGCTTCTGGCAAGGTGTTCTTCTTCATAACGTTACCGCGCGTGGGAGTGTCACCGCGTCCCGCGAAAAGCTCGGAGAAATCGAATCATTTTTTCCAAGGGAAACCGCGCACAAATTTCATCCACTAGGTGAATGAGGGAAGTTTGTTCAAAGTCAGGGAGATTTTGGTAGTCGTTCCCTTAGCAAAGTTGCGAGCAATTAGAGTTGCTGGGTTCATTCCCTAAAGCCTTCCGCTTTGGGGGTTGACCTACGTATTGGTAAAGCAAAACCCAAACAACTGGGGTGAGTGAGTTATGACCCGAGGGTCCACATCTAAACAGTCACTCGGGCTAAAGTTAGTTGATCCCTTGAGTCGAGGCATACATTGGTATGATCCCTCCTCCCTGTTGGGTATTCTTGAAATACTCCTTTAATGGGTGGATCCATAAAGCGAATGGCATCCAAACAGAAAGCCAACAGAGAACTGGGCAGCCATTCTTGAGGGTCGCTTATTTAGGAAACACACACATGCACAACATTATATTCGAGGATCATCGACCTGCTGGATTATTGGAGCTCAACTGGGTTCGCACGCGAACCCAGACATGTTTTGGCCCTGGTCGATTAGGCTGGTGTCTCACAGAGGGAATCCGTCACTTTCGGCGAAGATTCCCCTAATCTGCAAGGCGTATGAATTCGGGTTTTCGACATAGACTAGGTCCCCCAGTAGTGCCCTTTTACCAACTTTTTTGGTGGGGAGGGTTCCCCTACTAAAATAGACTACAGAAAAAGGGTACCCTTTTTCCTCCTCTCTGCTGGAGGACCTAGTAGACCTCCACCCCGTGGCCCCCACTCGGCGTGGCCCCAGCCGTTAGCGGCTGAGGCTGAAGCTGTCGCTGACCGGCCACGTCAGCACGGTGCGCGCGGTGGCGATCTCCGATAGGCGGCATGCGAGCGGTCGGATGGGTTGGCGCGGGGTTTTGTTGGTCGGTTTGGACTGGAATGGCTGTGGGTCAAAACCAATGGTATCATTTTGGGGTAGGTGCACCACCCATTTTAGTCTATTTTAGTGGGGATTGGGATGTTCACTGGGGGTACGGGATTGTGACCCATGGCCGTATCCCCCCTTGAACTAGCGTGGAGCTCATCGCAGCGTCTCATTTGGAGGAGAATGGTCCTTTCCTGGTGGCTGGGCAGGTGTCCCCGACTCCAAATGGGTGTGCTGTGTTTTGAGTTTGTACCATTCTTCGGGTTGTGCAAAGGGCCGAACTTTGGCTTTTCTTGATACAGTCCCTTCAAAACAAACCAAAAGCGGGTTCCCCACCCGTTTCGTGTCGCTGCATCTTTGGGCTCCGGAGAGTCACAAACGTTTAGTTTCTTTTTGGCTTAATTGGGGAATCCCCAAAACAGACATCCCCCAAATTTGAGCTGCACAAGGACAACCCATTCTGCGTCGAATTCGATTTTCCAGAGTCGCACCATCCAAGTTTGGCGCGGTGAAAAAACACACATCTTCCTTTTGGTTTTTTTCGTCCCACACCCCGACGAGTCGCCCAAAAACCCTGGCCCCCCAAAATGAGTTCCGCGGCGCCGTGCCAACCGGTTCCCTGGCCAGGCACCCGTACCTCTTCAGCGCCAGCGAGGACTGCGAGGTGAAGTGCTGGGACCTGGAGCAGAACATGGCGCGACCCCCCAGCTCCTCGCGCGAGCGAGCGGTTCTCTACGCTTTTCCGGTTGCTCCAAAACGGGCGGGGGTGCGGCTCGTCAATTCTTTTTTGGGGGTACCAATGCCAATTGACTCCTTTTTTCGTGGTGTTAGCGGGAAACCGTTGCGCCAGCTTTTGGGGGGTCCGAACCCTAAGAAAGGACACACCCAGGTTGTTTCCTTGCGGTTTCCCTCAAAACCAACCCGAAAAAGGGTCTGTACCCCCTAAGAGCCAAGTTGCATTTTATTTTTCCAGCACGAGAAATCCTAACAGTCAAACTTGGCGATCCTGGTTGCCTTTATTTTCTTCGATCGTCAATCGCCAGTTTTGTTCCAGCAACTGCGACTGTTTGTCGGGATTTTCGTGTCTGGAAAAGTAACGTGCAACTTGGCTAAGGCAGTTTCAGGGTTGCTCCGAAATGAAAGAAGGTTCACCCTGGGCCAAGCAAAGAAACCTGACGACAGTCGCAGTTGCTGGGAAAACAACAGCTCAAGATCAGGCAAGCCTATGGTGCAAATAACACTTTGTTGGAACGTCGATACGTTTGGTAATGGCAGTTAGCCTTTCCTTGCCTGTTGAAGAACCGATGGGGAACGCTGGCACATTTTTTTGGCGAAATCGTCGATTTCGCTTGTCCTTCAACAATCGGGGAAGCACTGGGGTCATTGTTTTGACTTTGGGGGGTTATCAAAGTCAGAAACTGGAGTTGTTTCCTTTTAACCTACCACTTGAGGGGTGACAATGGTAAAATATTGGGGCCAGAAGTGCCATGCTTTTACCACAACTTATTCGTTTTACTTTCCGCTCCAGTGACAGCTTGCCAGAGCCATCCAGCCGTCCGCTAGATAGTTGGTGGCAGTTGCACCAATGACCATGGAGTCTCCGGGTTAAGGACTCAGGGAAGTGTGTTCACACCAAACTTCTTGCACAAGAGGCTCAATCCAGGGCATACCACGCCCAACTGCCACAAGGGCAGGCCAGAACTCTGCGTTTCCCCAAATACGCTGCAAAGAAGGGAACATGGCTTCCTTGGGGTATGTCATGTTGGTCCCTGAAAAATGAGCAATGGAAGAAGACAAGACACACTGCCAAACGGGGGCCCTTTGACTAACAACGTGTGGGCTTACTAGTCCGGGTTTGACGTACGCACATTTTATTGGCAAAATGGCTATCATCATCACTTAGATGTATTTGAAAGAAAGCATGAAACATGCATAAGCATGGGACGTTTCTCCTTTGACAGGTGTGTATTGTTCATTGTTGTCGGCAAGGTGAGTATCCAAATGCAATGCGCACCCCCCAACAACTGTTGTTTGTTGATACCTTTTACAAAAAGGCTGAGGTATCCGGACATAATCTTCATCATCTTTTTCCGGCGCAGGTCATTCGCAACTACCACGGGCATCTCAGCGGCGCACTGGCCTCAGTTCGACTTGGGTCCATGCAACCAAAAGGCCAGGCAGCACGAGAATTCTGGCATGTTGAGTTCTACAAAATCGCTTTGGGGCGTTTTTTCACCACCATGCTCCGGGAACTTGGAAACAGTAGGGACTGAGAACCTGCTTCGACGATCTGGGCGTCGGATAAATGGTCAGTATCCCTGGTTCCACTCGCGTTTTCAGGGCGGGTTTGTTGGGGGTGCACTGGCGCTTTACCTCGACCTAAGCAGTACTCAACGAAACTCCAGGAGCTTTCTCGCTGGCTGTGGACGTGGAATTTTGGCACCTTTTTATTCTCCGGCTTGGTCAGTAGGCCGGATTTGCCTTCTGACCTCCCCAGTTTGGTTATGCCAAGCAGTGAAGAAACTCTGATGTTTGTCAGGGGTGAGTCAGCCACAGCCAACCCAAAGAGTTTTGGGTTCAGGCATTTGAGTATGATCCACCTCAAGAATATAAGTGGGTGTGTCTGTAGTTTGACGGCACCCTTGTTTTTGTGCTTTTAGCGGGAAACCGAGGAACGCCTCAATGTTGGGGCGGTCCCCCAGACCGCGTTTTCTCTTTGTTCCACCTTGAGTTGGGTTTCCAGTGGTTCACAAGCAATGAAGCATCCAAGCTTCATTTTGCAGGGGTCCTTAGATCTCCATTTTGCAACCAGTTGAAGCATTGAAGCATGGCTTTTTCCACCAAAATGAAGTTGGAAACCTACAAGTTGCAAGTTGCAATGTTCAGGTGTATAATGCATCCGGATCCCTGTCTTGTGGACTGAGGTGTACACCCTGGTTTTGCACCCCACGCTGAACATCCTGGCCACAGGCGAAAATTGCAGGGGAGAGAATTGGGGGCTGCCTTGAGTTAGGGTAGATCTACCTTCGTTTCCTGCACACCATCCCAAAGACGTTTTACGAGTGGCTGAGATTTCTGGCGAAAAAGCGGCTCCTCCAGAAGCTTGTCGACCTGAACATGGCTTCTCTGAGGGAGAAGCGCATAGAACCCGCAGCGCTCTGAGAAATGGAGACAGTTTCAGGTATGAGTATGAGATTTGGTGGCCAGATGCAGCCCTGCATCATTCCACTCAAGCATGTTTACTGGCATCAGACCATCATCAGTATTGCATATTGAATAGCGCCAGCGCCGTCAACAGCATCCTTAGCATGCCAGCAGCACCCCCTCTCTCTGGCTTAGAAACATAGCTGACATTGTCGGCATCACTGGCGATTCGGCATTTCCACAGTCATTTTGGCACACATTGATTGCCATCCATCCACTGCATCCCAAGCATTCCCCGCATCTTCAGAATCCCAAAATTCCGGCATCCGCAGAATCTCCTCACAATCTCCGCAGCATCCCTGATCAGCATGGCCAGCATTGCTTGATTGTGCAAGATATGACATGAAGGAAGTGACCGCGCTGCATGCAAAGAAGAGGCAGCTTATGTGAGATCTCATCAGTAATACAAAATAAATACTCAACAGGTGAATAATACGATAATTAATAGTGAACTATTAGAAGCTTTCCTTCTTTCTCACTCTGTCTCAGCAGCACCCGCACAACTTCTCTTGATAAGATCCATCGGCATCTGCGAGTCGCACCGTTTTATGGATTATTGACTCTCTTTATCTCCACATAAGGAAGCAAGTTCGTGATACACAGTGCCGCATGTCCTTCTAGATGCATGACTAGTTTTGATTGACTAGACAATTGGCGGAGAACTGCATCAGAAAAGACATGCAATGAACAGACAGGATCGAATCAATTGACCTAGGATACCTGTATACATATAGATAATAAACACATTCTATTATTTCCCTACCTTCCCTCTCCCACTTTCCGTGTTCCCGCCTCCCCCCTTCCCCCCCGCACTCCAAAACACAAATAAAAAGATGAGGGCCACTCAATTCTCTCCCCGGCAGGCGGCCGGGACGGCTCGGTGCGCATCTGGGACATGCGGACCAAGACGGGGATCTTCGTCTTCACCGGGCACACCAACGCCATTTGCTCCTTGGCCTCCCAGGCGCGCAGCATGTGGAAGCTGCCAAAAAGGGATTCGGGGTTGGTACGGAAACTTAGGGGCACGCTGGGTTGGTACAGGGTTTTGATGTGAAATTCAGATGCCGAAGGACCGGTGTATTATTTTCGGTCTTTTAGTTACTTACCCAAAAGGGGCGGATTAGTTAAGAAACTGACATTACTTACTTGGCTACATCATGGTAACAAGGTTTCCTTCATAGGAAGCCTTTTCTTTGGGGTTGACGGCCAGATACATGGAATCATTGCCAGGCTTAGCTTTGTGTTTTCTTTTTTGCCCTTTTAGGGGTTTCCTTCATTTTCCCGTTCAACCAGCAAAATGTGAAAACCAGCAAAAAGTGCATATTTTATGGTGGGAACTCAATCTGGCCAAGTGTTTGGGCATGCACGCACCCCGAGTTTCAGCAAGACCCGGTGACCTTCAATTTCGCCATCCGGAATCCTTTGTTGGCCAAAGGACCTGCTGCCCTTTTGGTTTTCAACCTGACTATGCAAAGAGGGTTCCTGTAAAGGAGAAGCACGTTTCCTAGTACTGAGCCGAATTTGTAGGACAGCAATGAGAAAGGTTCTCAGAAACGTGGGCATGGCCTATGGGCATAACCTATGGGCGTGACCTATGGCGTTTGGACCTACCTATGAAAACCCACCGCCTCGGGTCCGCATCCGCCGGATCCGCGGACTCCGTGCCGAGCGAGCCAGGCCTCCGAGCCCCAGTTCATCAGCGGCTCCATGGACCGAATGGCCGGGAAACCAAGGAGAGAGCAGGCTGGTGGGGAAGCTGCGGAGCTGCGATCCTTTTGGTTGGGTGTTTTCTGAAAAAGGTTTTCCGAGGATGGGCATTTTCAAGTGTGGACATCTGAAGGGCGGAGATATTTGGGGTAAGGAAAGACAGAATTATTTGGGACCTCTCCAGACTTGGCAAAGTCCCGTTGCTCGGGGCATCACTCTGATTTTTCGGATCCTGGTGTCAGGAATTCTTCGTGTGGTCGGGGCGGCAAACTCGTGCGGGACATCTTTGACCGCCCATGGATCAGAACCTCGATGAGATTTCGCTTCCTTCCTGGGTGCTTCACTTTCTGTGGGCCATCAAGCCTCGCTCGCGGTTTCAGGACTCCGAAGGAAAGTCTGGCGCCGGTTTTTCTCATTTTGGGTCCTGGAAGCCAGGGGCGTTGCGATTTCAACGATGTGGGCCGGAGAAATGCTCGACTGCTATTGGGCAGCGGATCTTTAGACTTTAACTTTCTTGGAAGCAAAGGTGTTTTCCACTAAGCCCCCGAAAAGGTAAAGACTTTTTGCGGGGGGTCGTTGCAGCAACCCCTCGAATGCCTCGGTTTCGGCTGGACTTCCGTTGCAAACCGGCTGAGGTGCGCCTCTGGGACTTGGCGGCGGGAAAGTGCTCCGCCGCGGCCCGAGAAGCCCAACCCGAGAAGGGCACAGGTGTAGTCAAATCAATGGGTTTCCCAACCCGAGAAAGAAAAAGGTGGCTTGGTGTTCAACGGATAAACCAACTGTTGAGATTTCAATGGAGAACCCGAATAGTGTTTTTTTTTTTTTCTCCAGTAAGCCAGTCTGTCACAAAAGTTGCGGCGCCTCAAGACCATGAGGAAGCAATGAAAACGGGCGAACCTTCTTGAATCATTCGCCAGGTTGGCCGTGGAGGTTTTCCATTTGTTCCTTCCAACCCCAAAGGTAGCGAGCCTTCGGAGATTCGCACCTTGGCCGCTGAACCGGAACCGGCTCTGCGGATCGGCTTTTGTGGGTTTGTCAAGGGCTTTCATGGGGAGTACCCTCCCAAAAAGGATGTCGGAAACAATCCCATGTGCCTGTCCAAAGGATCCAGCGTAACAAATGCCCATGCTTTTCATGCAGGGATGATGGAGCATCAGATTGGCCAACCCTTCGTTCTGAACCCAGCCGTTGGTTGATCTGGTGTCAGAGTGTACATACCACCTTGAACGGGCGTCGTTTGAACTCCAAACGGGTCAGCGTCCTCAAAAACGACTTTCTCCCGTTGCAGCAACCGTACTTCACCGAGGAATATCCTAAGGGACTGTTATCGTAATCGCTCGCTGGCGAGCTGCTATTTGTGCGGCATTGCTTTTTTCCCACGGAGTTCGAAGCTGGCTGAATGAATGGCGCGGGCGGAATGAAGGACGGAAGCCGCGTCGCTGCTTCTCTGAAATGGTGTGCCTAGAACAGAATCAGAACGCCACCTCCAAAGTGGTTGGTGGACATGAACCCCCACCGAAATGATGTCCACCAAAGGGCTTTCTCTAAAAATAACATCCAGCCATCCACCCGACCAAAACACGCGGGGTGCACGTGTTGGTCAGGAGACCAGTCTCCCTCCCGGATCCCGAGCCACGGATTCATATCCCCCACTTTGTATCATCCTTAGTAGGAGATTCCTTTCTTCCAGGGGATGCCCAGATTGGTAACGGGGTTCATTCACAAACATTAGCAAGTTCGTCTTGCGCCCGTGGCACCCAGATCCCTTTTTTGTTTTGTGCTACGAATGCTCAACTCGAGCAGGGTTCTATTTTTTTTCTAGGGTCAGTGAGCAATTGGGTCGTGGTTAATATTCCCAAACGAGAAAATCCAGGGGTTTTTCGTCTACCTTGGAAGCATTCCTCGGGCAAGCCTTTGAGCCTTGGAATTGCTCTCCATCTGAGTGTGAGAGGTCATGAGACTTGGGAGGGATTTGCGGGCGCCTGTGCACTTCGAGGCTAAGTAGAAAGTGTGGCAACTTACCTCTATGGTAACCAAATCTAGGGAGGGTCGCCGAAAAGGTCAGGTTTGGCCTCCGGGGAAAAGCGGCCAAACATGCACACAGGGGACCTTCCAAATGGGTGGCTTCCCTTTACTTCTGGTTTGAACAACACAACAGCAACCATGCATACTAAGAATTTCAACTATAGAACAAGGAGTTGCCGGAAATTTGTTTAGCGTTCTGTCCGATGTCCCGCGATCTTCTGGGGACCAGCTGTACCAACTCAAGAAACGGTTTCTTCAAAGTGGGTCCCTTCACCTGGCCCCAAGAGGCACCTTCCATCGGAGCCCCCCAACTGACCCGGAGCGCGTTCCACGCGCTTGCGCCACGCGCTTCTCAGGTGACCCTCACGAATCACAAGCCATGGGCCCAGCATCGGCGCTTCAGGAAGGGTACCCTACAGGAAGGCTTTGAAGTGGTGGACCTCTTTCTTTTTTTTTGGGGGGGGGGTTTTGCAACCGTCCTTCTTGTCAACCAGAGGCCAGCTTACTCAGTTTCCCAGGTTGTCTTTTCTTCTTTTTTTTTCCGGTGGAGAAGTTAGCCCTGAGGTAAGAGACAAGGGCTTCCGCCAGCAGGATACCACGTGGTTGCGTCTTTTGGTTTGGGACCCCTAAAAAGCAAGATTGGTCAGTGTCCTTGTAGTTCCCTTATAAAACACCCCCAGAATGGGTACCAAAAAAACAGTCAGACCCATATGAGGAGAGCCCAAAGCGCAGCAACCCCCCTGGATCCGAGATCCGGGTCGCGGAAGCCTGCCCTGAATTGGGGTAGCTTCAGGTGCGCGTGTCTTTGTTGAGGCTACCCCATTGTTGGTGGCTTTAAAGACAACCAACAGGAACACCAGTGTTTTGAAAGCTCCCCTGCAAAAAGAGATCGCCCAGGTGTCGCGAATGTTTGCAGGCAACTCTCACCATCCGAGTGCTTCATTGGTACAGAGAGGTGGGTATTTATGAGTTGGGCTGAATGTTTGGAAAGCGGGAACTGGACTTATTTGTCTAGTTTTCAACAGTCAAAGTGCCTGAATGAGCTTGTCTTCGCTTCGGGGGCCCCCTTTTTGGTTGTTTTCGCCGCAAGGAAACCCAGGCATTTTTGGTGTCCCGATTTTAAGCCACACCCGATTAATTTGCACGCCGGTGAGGTGACGAGTTTTTGTTTTTTCTCGGTGAAAGTAAAAGGTGCAGCGCCGGCTCTGCCTTTTTTGAAGAAGGCGCGCTCCTTCGGAGATGGGTATGTGGTTCCATTTAATTACCAGGATTCCATTTTGGGCACGTCATGTTTGACCCACAGCCACGTGGGTGTGGCTCAAAAACAGGGGTCCAAGATGGAACCCTGGTAAATTGAAAGGTAGACTAAAACCTGCGTAGCCCCAGCTGTGTAATTTTTTGAGCCACGCCCCCATGAACGCGGCCTTTTTCAAGGCCGCAGAATGGGTCGGATTTCGGGGAGATCCCATCGGGAAAATCCCTCGAGCCTCCGGTTCTGAGGAAGAGCATTCGTGCATTGGCCACGCATCCTATGGAGTATACGTTCGTGTCGTGCTCTTCCGACAACAACAAGGCTGGACATGACTTGGATCTGTCTTTTCTTGGGCGGTACCGCATTGTTGGTCTCTTTGAATGATTTTGTGGGGGTCCCCCAAAGAAAGACACACCCACTTGTTCGTTGTCGTTTTGATGTGTTTCGTAGTTTCTGTGGTCCCTTTTGGGGAACCCCAAAGTAGTCATAGACATGTTTCGGTGTCAAGGGCTGAGACTCATCTTATACCGGACACGGAGAGATGGCCTCGGTTTCCTTTTGATTTTCGATGAGTGAAAGGCCATCCAAAGGTCCCCTTGTCGTTGGATTTCATTTCAAGTGGACAGGGAAGTTCCCCAAAGGAAGGTAGTCTTACCACACCTTCCTGTTTGCTTCCATTGCGGATCGTCGGGCCACACCGCGGGAGAGAGTGTGTGGATCTCCCCCCCCATTTCGAAGCCATTTCCCGGGGTTAAGTGGTTGAGCGCCTGTCAAAGGGTTGTTGAAGACCAGCTTAAGGACTGTACGGAATTCTCCCCCACCATTACAGGATGCTAATGAACCTTTACGAAGGAAAATGACAAAGCAAGTGTTCCTTCTAGGTAATTTTACTTTTTCTTGGGGTTGACATCGTGTCCTTAGAAGCGGGGAGCTTGGAATTTGGTCGGAGACGGGGGCGTGAGGAAAGGCCCCGCCTCACCCGGCGGCTTCCATTCAGGCGCCCCCGAAGTGATGAAGCTCTCTCCGTGGCTGGTGCGCGAAGTCCAAAGGAAATGCCCAGGGTGGTTGTCCAAAGAGAAGCAACAAAAAGCCAGCCAGAACAGAAAGTCGATTTATTGACCTGGGCGCGTTAGACCTCGGCATCGCAGGTCTGGAAGTGCCCCAAGGGCGCCTTCGAACGTAACATCCAGGGCCACAACGCCATCGTGAACTGCAGGGCCCACAGTGGAGCGAAGACGTCTGCAATGCGCAGCGGGATCTTGGGAAACAATCTTTGGTTGGGTCTGTGTCCGAAGCTTTTGAAGGGATCTCAGCAGGATCAGCAAGATCTTTTGGACATTTGCGCAAACCGCGCGCAAGCCCATGTCATTCTCAAGGGAAAAGGCCTGGTTGAAGCTTTGCAGAAACGCTTGTTCAGTTGGGGCTTCGCTGTATCGAAACTGGTAACCTGTCCAGAAGGTCGGTTTCACAAGCTCCCAAATGAGCCAGCGACCCCTGTGTGCCTTTGGCGCCCGAAAGTCCCCAGATCTCAGACCGTCCTTGCCTCCTAGCGCGGGTTTTTCGTTTTATCGAAGCTGGGAGATTCGCGCCTGGATCAGGCGCTGTCTTTCCCTAGCTGACACTGCTTTTGGAGAAAGGTGCCTGGGAAAAAGATGGCTTTAGTTCGGAGAAGAAACATGTTGCGAAAGAAAGGCCTGAGCTTGCCGAGCGCTTTAGGAGAGGAAACATGTTGCGAGAAAAAAAACAAAAAAGGCCTGAGCTTGCCGCGCTTGCTGAGCTTAAGCTGGAAAAGGTCATCAGCCTTCTAAGGGCTGACCTCAACACCTAATCGTGCGCATCGGCGCCTCAGCTCGCTGTCAGCTCAAGACCCACGACCTTGCCGCCTTCTTGAACACGGAGTAGCCAACGATGATGATGGATTCCGTCCTCATGACTCTCTTCCCTTGCACACCCTGCAACCGGGACCCTGGAACGGAATCAAGTCAGCCTCAGACCTTTGGTCCCTGCTCCGTTCCGCCCTCGATACGTGTCATAGAGCTCGAGTCGGGCTCCGACCTGATCCCCGGGCCGAAGCGCTCCGCTCTGACGTAGCCCCCCGTGCTTGGTCCAGCCCGCTTCCTCCTCTGTTTCCAGACCTTGCCCGCGCCCGCGTCCCATGCCTATGGCGCCCGCCCCCAAAGCGTCGGGCTGAGCATGCAAAGCTTCAATCAGGCCTTGCCTTTGAGCATTAAAGGGCCTCTGCGGCTCGTGCTCCAATCCTCATGCAGTGTCAACTCATTTCGGAAGGCTGGAGAAAGGAAATCGTCTTCACATCTCTTAGAATGCTTTTGGTTGTGTTATGGTTCTCTTCGTTAATAGTTCCATTTGTTTGCTTTCCTTTCTAGTTGGGGGTATCTCTTTGCTTTTCGACTGAGGATTCTCTTCGATTTTTTATTGGGTTTTCTTTCCGCTGTTTGCGGGGGGGGGGGGGGGAATAAACGGTTTGGGGTTTAGAAGGATCACCACAGTGAGCTGTGCATTGGTTTCCAAAGCGAGTTGGAGGGAAACCCCCCCAGGTTGGGGTTTGCGGTTTCCTGGGGTTTCCAATATCATCATACACTTAGCTGACTAAACTTGAAACAGAATCTGAACATATGCTTTTGGGGTGCAGCCTTGAGTTGGCAAGGCCAAGTTTCCCCTAAGGGCTTCCGTTTAAAAGAAGACTCTCAAAAGGAGGGTATCAACTCAAGGCGGAAAAGGCCAATTGCAAACTCTTTCTGTGGAAGCTTGCTTTTGAAAACCAGGTTTTCCACACTAAGGAAAGGTGCGGTATTTTGGAAAGGGGGTTGCCCGTGATTTGGTGTTTAACGTCATATCATTGAATTTGAACCACCCCAATATGAATTGTGATATACTGACAAACTTGAATGGGGCTACACACCGTTTAACAGCAACAAGTTTACTGTGATTTGTCTGTGGCTCAAAAAACTGGTACGAAAATGGCACCTTGGTAAATGGAACCAAAGACTAAAACCCGCGTAACCCCAGGTCTTTAATTTTGAGCCATACCCATTTGAGCACCCCTTCATGCCCCGAGGTTTGACAACTCTTGGCTTCATTGCACCAGCGTGCGTGTGCAACGGCCGACCCCCACCCCCAAAAACAACGCAACAACACCCACCCCTGTCCAAGGCAAACAACAATCCCAAAAGTCCTTATATCTCCCTTTCCTTTTGGTGAGGTGATGTGATGACCTTGAGGGGAACTTATCAAGAGTTATATATGATTGACGGACAACATTGTTGGTGGTATCGGCTTTGCTGGTTGACATGCGGGGGTTGAAAAAACAACATCCTTTACATAGGATGGCCGTTTGGGAAAACCACAGACAATAGTGTATGTCCCACGAAATGAGAAAAGTTTCCCATGGCATTTGCGGGCCAGGAATATTGACCCACCCCCATGTATCGATTTCTGGCGGTCCCAAAAGGTTTCGTGTGGTAATGTTTTCAGCTGCTCATGACATGATCCTTCGTCAACTTCAGACGAATCCGGAAGGACTCTCCAAAGCGAACCGTTCCTCCTTTTGATTCGTCCGGAGTTGACCTTCTGCTGCAAGGAAATCTACGTTGAGTGTTTCCCATGGACATACCTATATGGCTGTGGGTCAAAACCAATGGTACCATTTTGGCGTAGGTGCACCACCCATGTTAGTTTATTTTAGTGGGGATTGGGATGTTCACTGGGGTACGATTTGGATTTTGACCCATGGACACCCATCGTGGGCTCAGGCTGCACCATCCGAGAGGGGCAGCAGGGTTCGTCCCAGCTGATCGCGGGCACAGACAACGGGTACCTGCACTTCTGGGACCCCTCGACTTGTCAGCGGGTCGCCGCGTCCAGCTGTCGCCGTGTTTGCCCCGTTAGGCGCACAGAAAGTGGCTGGCTTTGGGGACGCTTGGCAAATCGGCCATCCTGCCGCATGAAACGAGCAACCGAGCAAATGGGGAAAGGTTTGTTGGCACCAGACGATCTTGGTATGTCGATTGGCATTGGTCCGTTCATTTTCGTGGGAGGTAAAACAAACCACACTCTTTTTGCTTGCATCTGGTTCGGAAGATTCAAGATGTGCGGTGTATTGTCAACATTGACAATCCGCAACGGAGGGGTTGACATTGGGTATCACCGAATTGCAAATGCGGACATCCGGGGGGGGGGGGCGGAACCCCGGCCCAAGATATGAGTTTGAGGACAGCGGAAGAATGTTCCTTGCTTGGTGGAGTATTTGGGGATCCTGGGACCCAAAAAGAAGCTTGGAAAACCCGGTTGCCACCTTAACCCCGAACAACAAAGTGGCCGCGCAATTCAAATGGACCCAGGTGTCCGCATTGTTTTTCGGGTTGGGATCCCAGCACTTCCGGATCGAGTTCTTGGCCGCAGGACTGGAAGAGCGGCCACAAGTTTCAGAGCTTGGAGGCCCTGTCAATTGGGTTGGTGTGGGACTGGACTCCCCATGCCCACTGAGCGGCGTCCAACGCCTTCCAACGTGTACACGTTTAGGAAGAGACGTGTCATGTCGACCTGCGCGCAAGCAAACAAGTTGGTGGCGTAAGCAACACCTCCACATGTGTCGCGTAAGGAAAAGCTCCGCGCGCGTGAGGTTGCGGAAGCTAGTGACGCAAGCAAAACGATGCGACATAGCAAATCATGACACGTTTAGGACGTGGCTCAATAACTGTCTTTTTTGCTCTTTCGGTTTCCCTTGAACCACCCAAAAAGGGTGTCCCAAAAAAAGGTAGAGATAGAGATCGCCAAATGGCTTTGTTCTTTCTGTTGCCCGTTGCGCTCACGGGAACCTCGTGTTTTTCATCAGCCTGCAAAGCCAAGCACGTAGGTGGGGGCAGCTCGAAGTAAAGTAATTCTGAGGGTACGCCCCGTTGAGGGATGCCAGTCTGGGGTTTCCCACATGCTGCGCATTGAAAGCACATACAAAGGGAAGCAAGGATTTGGCTGCATTGAAAGCTGCGGGAAACCTCGCTTTGGGTTGCATCAGCCAAATATGGCCCACACAATCTAACACCAATTCCAGCCTTTTTATTCGTGAGGATGTCTTTTAAAGAAATACTGACTAAACAAGCGAGGGATGCCGCACGGTTGAGCTGAAGCATGTGAGGGAGGAGAAGCCATTTTAAGTGCTTTTTGAAGGCGTCTCCTGGGTTCATCCTGAGCTTGTCAGGGGATGGACTACAGCAGTAGTTGGAGCCCTTAAGGGATGACTGCAGATTCACGTTAAGGACAGATGGTCGGTTCAATCAAATTGCTTCTGAGTTGATTGTTGAAAGGGTCTCACAAGTAAGTCCATCCCCTGTTTTAGCCAAGCATTGACTCAGGGTTATAGCGAGTGGAGGCACTAAGAGTCACTACTAGGCTGCCATGGCTCCCCTTTCTATCGCACTATAGCTTGGGCAACATATTAGTTTTCCGAGAACTGGCGACAGGACTTTTTGGTCAGTGTTGAGTTAGTCTTCTGCGGTGTCCACGCTCGCCCGCTTTTCGTCGGCCGCCGTACAAGGCGTGCGTTCCCGTTTGCAGGCCATCCCGCAGCCCGGCAGTATGAGCCCGGGCCCAAGTGATTTGGGACTTCCTTCGAGTCATACGCATTGTGCCCCATTTACCAGAAAAACAAACAAAACACGTCAATTTGTCACCTATGGCCACGAGTGTCCAATTTTGCGCGGCCCCGAGACGTGTGGTCACGCCAATATGTCCAGTTTCATGCTGCATGATGATGCGGGGAGAATGACACACTAGGGTTAGGGACCATGTGGGCCTCCGAAACCAAGGGCAGCGTCTTTTTTTTTTTTTGTTCTGGAGACCCTTCTGATGGCTTTTTGGGCAATGGATCGTCAGCTGCTTTTCTTTTTTTCTTCTTCTTTTTCTCCAGCAACTAGTGTCTCTTTGTTGGGTAGCGAGACGGCGGCAACTGGGCTTTGGGCTGCCCTACTTTGGGCACTCCGAACTCCGACATTCACCCGACTTGCGCCAGGTGCGGAAAACGCCATCTTTGATATGACGCGATCAGCTCGGATGCGCACCGAGAGAGAGGGGCGACAAGCAACGTGCACGGATGAAACACCAACCGTGTACGCAAAAGCATAGGTGTCCTTTGTGGTTGGTTTGTGTAGAAAATAGAGGCCAGGGTTTAGATGGGGTTTATTCCATTTACCAGGGCCATCTATTTTTCCAAAGGGCTACCTATGCGCATAAAGGGACCCAGGGCTTGATGCGCCCCCTTGGTTTTGATGGGGGGTGTCCAAGCCTGAGGCATGCTGCTTGGGGAACACGCCCGGTGAATCCATGAGGATAACTCCGCTGTTGTTTGCGTGCATTCTTTTTTCGTGGACGTGTTTTTAACCAATTCTATTCAGAGGTGTGTATCAAGCCCCTAGTGTAACACTGGGAGCTGATTCTTCCACACTTCTGAGAAATGCAGAATTTATGGCGATCGATTCCTGGGGGTAAAATCAGCTTTCTTATGAAGGTTGAATTGGTCCATGGCAATAAAATTCTTTGGTGGCTTCGCGGTTTTCTCCGATTATGTTCACTACTCCAGACAAACATTGGCATGTGACCCTAAAATTGTAGTTATGTGGTGGGTACATGCGAAATCTTGCCCTGGGCACAGTGGTTTGGGTGTGGAGATCCTCTTCGCTTGCAGGTTACTATAGATTTTATGTGGGTAAATCTCCAACCACGGCTTTTCATGTAAAGCCGCTTTGGAAAATATGGGTTTAATCCCCCCCCCCCCCCCCCAAATCATCGGGTTTTCCTGTACTGCTCCTTTGAACATGTGAAGCAGCCCAAAGCACCATCGGCTTCCCCGGCCGACCGGACACTTCCCGAGCTCTTCCGGGCTTAGGCTCGACCAAAGTGGGAGCCGCCTGATCACGGCAGAGTGCGACAAGACGGTGAAGATCTACAGAGAGGACCGGGTGGGTGGGCCGAATGGGAACCCCAAACGCCCCTTGTAGCTTGCATGTAAATCTTTCCGCACCAAACCAGCTTGCTCTTGAAGAAAATCGTCGCATGGAAGCGGCTGCTTTGGTGCGAGGCGTTTTGCCTCCACGAGTCGGACAAATTCGCCAGGATCCGAACGCCACCCCGGAGACGCATCCTCTGAATTGGAAGGCGCGTTTTTTTTGTGTGCGGAGCTTGCTGGAAACCGCCCGCTCTTCCCATCGCGTTCGGATGGGACAGATTTCAAACCCCGAGCCCTGTAACAGAAGCCCCTGAAACTTTTGGGAAATCGAAAATTGGCAGTTTCCGTGGAAACCACCAGTAGTGATTTTTCCCCCCACCCCGAGCTGAGGTTTGTGGTTCTTGGGATCAAGTGGAAAACCGCGCCGGCGCGTATGGCAGGCGCCGAAGCTGAACACCGACCACCGGTACTGAGTCCATTTTGCTTTCTGCCTTCATGGGACTTGCAAAGGCAAAGGACGAAGCCGGAGAAAATGCGGCTGGGGGGAGACTCTAAGCGATTTTTAATTCTGGACTTGAGGTTGATCCTGGGCGAGTTGCCATTGGCCACTCGTGGCTGTTTGGGCTTTAGGCAACCGGGTTGGCTTAGGGTGTGTGGTTAGGTTTGATTCCAGGCGGTTTCGAGTGGGTTTCCTGTGGGCAAGCTTCGATAAATAGCGTGTCCAAACAAGCAGTTGAGAGACTTTTGCAGGAACTGGTTCCCATGGTTGGCCTGTGGTAGAGCCTGAAAAGTTCTTTGATCTAATGGACAACCGTGAGTTTGTTCCAGTAGTTGCCCCCGCCCCCAATTTGGGTCAGCGATGTCTATTCGGCACGCAATCCGGAAAGAGATGAGCAGAGTGAACTGGTCTTTCTGAAGTCTTCGGGGAACCCACAAGCCTCGCCCTTTTAGCAGGTTCTTCAGGGAAAAGCCGCGTTTTGCGGGGAGCCTACAATAAAGAGGGCTTTGGTTTCCCATGGTTGGCATAAGATGTGTTCCTTCCAGCACTCCAATGCTTTTGATGTCTCCGAAATGCGTACAACCTCACGGGTTGATGGGGAGCCATTGGTCGAGTCCTGGTAGAGATTCATTTTACAACCAAACATGCTGGGGGAGGTCTTGTTCAAAATCGGCCGCATGTTGGAGTGTCCTCTTAGGTTTCTTTCAAAACCATCCCCGACAGATCTCGTGCCCTTCAAATGCGGGATGTCTCGTTTCAAAACGCTCGTGTTGCAACACACTAGGGTTGCATCCTGCTGTTTGACCTTCCTCTGGCTGTGGCTCAACGACAAGCACTGAGACAGGCGACAGTTTGTCACACGACACTTGTTTTCCGCGGCGCTTGAGCCGATGCGAGATAATGCGAGGAAATCAGACGATTATTTGCATATGATGAATTCTCCTGGTCCTCAGAACAAAGAGAACCCACCCAAATGGTGAGAAGAAAGCAAAGCCAGACTCCAAGCGTCCAATGCCAACTTTTACATAAGACATTTGAGGAGGAAGGTTACTTTTCAGCAAATTGGGAGCAGATATTGCCTGCAGCCAGTTGGAGACAAGAACCTTGCGCCGGAGTGGGGGTGTTCTCATTAGATCTTTCCGAATGCGGCCGCAGTTGCATGGAGGGACGCTTGCCAGCATTCAGCCCTAGAGCCATTCAGACATTCAGAGGTCCTTATATGTCCCCTTTTGGGTTAGACTAAACATCGCAAGATGGGTGAGGATTCAAAGCAGTCGCTGGTGGCAAAACAAGTTCTCTCTGACAATGGCGACCGGGGGGTAGAATTGCCAGAGCAGAAATCCTGCTTCAAGGCGTAAGGATCAGCCACAGGCCTTGCAATCGGTTGAGTACCCCCCCCCCCGCCCATGTCCCAAGCATCCGAAGCGTTGATCTGTCAAAGCGCCCACTGTGGGCGGTGAATACTTACCGTTGCTCAAGTTGGCTTTAAAGCAGACGAATGAGTAATTGGTGTGGCAGTGTTCGCTACAACTTGCGGAGTTTTTAAAGGACACTTTGCCCCAAACAGTCGCAGTTGCTGGGAACGAAGTGCAACTGGCGATCCAGGCATGGTAGCCCATCCTGCTTTTGGGATCGGACTGGTTGCGGGTTCCGGTGAATCCCGTTGGGGAATGCAGCTCCAAAGAATTTGGGAACGGCCCTGAGTGTGGTAGCCTTGACTGTGCGATGGCTGGATTCAATTTGGTTTGCCAGGATTTCCACTCAGAATTGCCGCCCCAATTCCGGTTGATTTTTCGCGGGCCACTTGCCGTTCCGGCTTTTTTCCCCAGAGCAAGCAAGCCCCGGCTGAAAGGAATTGGGCATCAGGAATTTGGACCGGGCAATTTCGTGATCTTCCTTTTTGTGGGAGGGTGGGGATGTTAGAGTGTGAAACTATTTTTCTTGTGTGTGAAGCTGAATATGAATTCCCCCACGGGAAGTTGGCATTGCTGCCTTTTTTTTTGAAGATGGGCCCAGAAGGGGGGCATCAGGACGGGCCCTTCCAATGACCAATTTGTCTGGGGAGGTTCCCGATTTCAGTAGCGGAGCGACCCAAGCCCCTGTGAACCTTTTCTGAAGAGCACAGTGTTCCGTTTGGACATGTGTGTCCCAAGCCGACTTGTCCAAGGAGCCCCCCCTGGTTTTGCTCCACGATGATTGACACACCACGCTCGCAACAAATGCGCGGATGGTTTTTTTTTTGCCGTCGGTTGGAGCTGACCGGCCGCGAATTCTTCGGCCCGAATTCGCCACCGGAACCTAGGAGTTGGGACTGATCCAAAGATCGATCAGGCCGGGGCATGGGCTTCCGAGCCATTTCCAACAAGAGAAACGGCACAAGTGGAGATTGTTTTAAGGGAAGCCGCCAGGAAATCGAGGGGAAACTCCAGTGACCCCTGTTCTTGTTCTTCTTTTTTTTAAACCGGATGCCGGCCGAAACTTTTCTGGCTTGGGGTGCTTTTTAGCCAGGTCCTCAGTTTGGTTGAAGGAGCCCCCCAAAAGGGTGAGAAATCCTTTTAAAGATCTGCAACCCAACGTGCTTGATCCCGTCACTGAAAGGCGTCGACTCACTCTTTTGAAGGCAACTGACAAACGCTGACCCCAACTTTGCACCCAACCAATACGACACCTTGGCATAGAGATAAGACGGAGAGTCGACGCTCCGCTAGGTAGGACCCCCTCCAGGTAGTTGGCTTGGCTTCATGTAGGGTTTGTTTCTAAGAGCAGCACTCCAAAATGGCTTGTTTTCATTCGACAGACTCATCTTGGCATTCGCAAAAGGCCGTCTTTTGCGGACGCACCCAATAGGGTTCCCCTAAGCCAACATGAGCTTGCTGCCAAATACAGGGTTGAGTTGGGTCCTGCAGGGAACCGACAGATACGACGGCACCCACGACGATTTTCTTTAGAAAAGCAACCTGTATATTCCCTTCAGACGTCAGCCTGCTGAAAGGATATCTACTATCTACTTTAACTTCGCAACCGGCGATGTTCATCACCATTGTTTGCAGGTCAGAAGTGCAATCGAGCTTTGGTTGGTTCCCACTTTCCACCAACTCAAAAGACCTAAACATGAAACCAAGGAAGACTAAACCCCCTTGTCGATCAAAGATGTTTATTCACCTGCAAGGGGAAGAACCCCTCAGTGAAGTCTTAGTAAACCCCAATATTATTTTTGTTTCTGGAGGTTATTCCAGCCCAAAAAAAGGTTTCACCGGGAGCTGAGCGACTGCAGCGTCGGTTTCCAGGCGCCGAGCGTTTGGATCTCAGCGCTTGGGGCGTCAAGCTGCGCTTGTGATCCCTCAGGTCGAGAGCGCCGAGCGCGAACGGCAGGAGCGCCGGAGCGCTGGCGGTTCCTATTGGCTCCACGGAGATGGGAGTGCGTGTGGTGCGTGTGTGTCTGTCTTTTTTCAAGGGCTTAAAAGGAGAACCACTATGTTGGTTGGACATCGCCCGATTTTAGACATGTGAGAATATGGATGGGGCATTTCACCACACAAACCAGAGAACGGGCAAAGTAGAGGTTGCTTAGTACCAGCTAGTTTCAATTTGTTTATGTTTGTGTACGTGTTACCCTTTTGCTTTTGGATCTTGGGACGTTCTAATAGACGGGTCCCAGCTTGCACCAAAAGGACACTATTTTCAGTCGAAAGGAACCAATTGGTTAAACCCATCTGGGATCGCCCTAAGCGATCTGCTGTTTTTTTGTCGTAGCATGATTTCATGGGGCCAGTGTCCATTTGCGCTGCGAGAGGACGTTCCAGCGGAAGGCGGGAGAAGCCGACAGAGCCTGAGAGAGAGCAAGGGGACCCAAATGGGTGTCTCCGTCTCCATTTTTGGGCCGCCCCGTTTTTCTTTGTTGTAAAAGGGAAGCCAACAGGAAACCGGGATCCATTTTGCCCCCAATTTTGAGACACCCGATGCTTGCTCTTCTGGGACTTTTGGCGATTGCCTTTTCCAAAGGCCCAAATTTTGATGAGTTTGATGTTTAAAGGGCAATGCGGAGGAACCTTGACTGGTGCTTCTCTTTTCACCCCATTGTCTGGTATTCTTTTTGAAAGCCTGGCTTTCCACGGTAGATACCTTCTCTTTAACATCAAGGAGCTGACATCTTGCGGCGTTGATTGGAGTGACACATTGAGTGCACAATATTCTGATCGATGGTGCTTAAACTTAAATCGTACAGTGACCAAGGGGTACACAAACTTTCAGCAAAACTAGACATACAAAAATCACTAGGGTTAGTAGTATATAGCCTCCAACATCCCCCTTCAATCAATATTTGTGGCTTCTGTTGGTTTTATTACGTCATAAATATGTTTGACTGGTAGTTAAAGTGCCAGTTCAATACACTATTCTGAAGTTTACTACTCTCAACAAGTTGACTTTTAGCGAGCGGGGGTGGTGGCGGGGGGGGGGGGGTACAAAGATACATCTTGGGATGCAAAGATTCCTTCAAATCCAAAGATTCCATGGTATTTATAGATTGCATCAAATCTAAAGATTTCATCGTATTTATAGATTCCATGTACTTGTGGATTTCATCATAATATGAGTGATATTCATAGTTATTGGTGATTGGATGGACGCGATCAATTGGAATGAACTATAGCCAGTGCGAGGACACCGACTATAGTGATTGAAATAATTATTTGTATCAACATTAATTTTGTTTCAATATCAATAATATTCACCCAGGACAATATTCACAGTTACCAATTCCAATTCCAATTAATGCTGACTATACAATATCCAGCCTAATATTGCAACAAATCCTAGGACTAGGAAGGTCAAACCAGACACTCCATTCCCAAACCCAGACGTTCTCTGAGGTTTTCTCCTCAGCAAAAGCCTCCTTTTCTTGTGCCCAACAAGACATGTGGGACCATAGAGTCTGCCAGAGCCGTGTTAGCATTCTTTTGTTTTTTTGGACAAAATAATGGATTTTGAAGCAAGAGACCAACTACCTCAGTTTTCTCCAAGCGTGCGAGTT